CCCCCCCCCCCCCCCCCCCCCCCCCCCCCGCCCCGCGGGAGATTTGATGGGTATATCATTATGATGCTCCGGGGGATTGGATGGTGGGATGCTGGATAGAGTAGAAAGGCAAATAGCTAAAGAAAAAGCTGCTGGTAACAGACAAAACTTGTCTTTTTCTATTTACCCTCAAGTGCCTCTTTTTCTCTTTTCAAGTCGGACGAATCTCATCCATCTCATTGTATCTCATCTCAACTCTCACCCGATTCTCGTTTGAGGATATAGACATCAACAACAACAACAACACCAACAACCACAGCAAACATGTCAAGTCAGTCAATGGAAAAGGAGCGCACCGACTCGGCAGAGGAGTACGGCTCCGACTCTGCCCCCGAATCAGTGCCTCCCCGCCGTGAGCGAAGACAAATGCAACGGACGCAGCGCCGCGGACAGCAGCAGCAGCAGCAACGAAACGGACCCCTGGACCAGCTGCCCGTGGGCGGCGAGCTGGGACAGGTCGGGCAGACGGCAGGCGGCGTGCTGGGAGGCGTGACGAACACGCTGGGCGGCGTTACGAACAATGCCGTCGACCAGAAGGGCGGCGGCGACGGCGGGAAGAGCGACACGCTGAGGTTGCGGCTGGACCTGAACCTGGATATCGAGATTCAGCTCAAGGCCAAGATTCACGGTGATTTGGAGCTGGCGTTGTTGTAAGTCAAAACTACCCCCCCTTTCTTTTCTTTTTTCTACTCCTACTTCCCTTCCCTAGCCCAGCCATCTGTCCTATCATCTACTTCCGTCCCCCTGGGTATCACATTTTCTTACAAATGCGGCACCCGCATCTCTCTTCAGGACTGGCTAGTTATGAGGCTTAAAAATTATGAACCACCAGAGAAAAATAAATACTGGACGAATCGGCTAATGACGTTGCGCTCTTGTTCACATCACCAGGAACTGAGAAGACAACGAAGAAAACGTTTCAACAATACCGGGCTGGGCGCTTTCTGCCTATAGCGAGAGCCCCCTTGATCGATCCGACGTCTTACGATTTTGGTGGATGTTTTTTTTTACATCCTTACGTTATTTTTTTTTGTTTTAATCTATTACAGAAGCCTCTTTTTTTGTTTTTCCTTTGTACTTTGGGAGGATCGGGGATGAGATCCGCAGGGGTCATGAGAATGGATGAGGCTATTTGGATTTAGTGTGTGGGAGTGAACCAATTATAGCGCGGGAGGATGACGGCTGCCCTGTTTTTACGGTGGACTATTACGATTGTCTCACGTATGTATTGTCGCATAAAGAATGGAGATAATGAGTACCTAAGAACTTGTGCTCCGGATTCTCTTGGTTTAATATTATACAGTACATGATTCTACAATATCTCTACACATTTTGATGATAATGAGGCTACGACAAGTCCAGCCACAGAGACGCGTCAGCCACAGTGTCACGAGCCACATGTGTTGCAAGTTCATCTGCTAACCTGAACTCGAAATCGTCGACACAGATCAAGCCACGCCCATTGTTTTGGGGCGTGGCTGACACACTTTGTGGCTGTTGACTTTTTGTCGACATTCGGAAAGTTCGTTGCCAGAAACTGGAACTAAACAGCTGAGGCGGAAGAAACGGTCCAGAAACGGCAGATTGGCTCAAACGGAGGCTGCAGAAACAAGAATCATTTGCAAAGTTCCTGCAGCCGCGGATCAAGAAACGTGGAGCAAGTTCTGCAGAGTTGGGAAATTCATGGCACATGCATGGATGGAGCTCGTGCTGCACGCAATTCGTTGGAGACGAATCCCTGCAAAGTGCGGATGTAAGTAAAGCAGCTGGTGCTACTATTGCGGGTTAGGGATCGGCATGCGGGATGATGTACGGCCATGTCATCATCTGCAAGGCATGTGTGTGTGTTTTTCGCACATGATGACGGCATTTGCTCTTTATTTCTGACAGTTGAAGGGCCTGGTGCTTGTATCCAGAAAGCGGCATTACATCAATGTTGAGCTTGGCTCTTTGTCAAGGCGCTTGTCTGGTGGGAAACGCGCAATCTCACTCTTCATAACAAAAATCCCTTTGATCAAACTTATTGCTTGTTTGCTACTATCTCTGGCCTGATGCCACATATGCAGTCACCCCTCAAGAGCCCGCAGTTGCCGTCCTGCGACAGAGATCGACAGGAACGACGACCTTCGTCTAGCCACAGACTCGTCATGCTACCTCGACCAGAAGACAAGAAGGAGTCTCACAATAGCAGTAGCAGTAGCAGTAGCAACAACACCAAGCCTAAAAACCCGGACATCAAAATCCCGAGGATACAGCCCATTGAGCAGGACGAGCCGCTGGCGTCCCGCGCCAAGGGCCTGGTGGGCAAGTTTGTCGACGAGTTTGGCAACATCCTCGACTGGGATGGCACCGTGCTGGGGTCCGCGGAAGGCGATCTGCCCTCCATGGTGGGACGGCCAGTGTCCGAGTCCGGCGAGATCCTGGACAACGCCGGGGAGGTGGTGGGTTATGTGTCGGAGAACCACACGAGGCCGGCGCTGAGCGACCTGGAGGGCGGGCTGAAGATTGACGGGGACGGCAACATTTACAACAAGAACGGCGACATTGTCGGCAAGATGAATAAGCCTTCTACGGGGGAGGGAGAGACTTCAGGAAAGCAGGATGCGGATCAGGGCAAGGCGTCGAATGATGCGGGAGCAAAGGCGAATGCCGCAACACCAAGTCCTTCGGAGGTGTATCTGGATGTCAAATCAACACACGACGGCATCCAGCTCACTATCAAGATACCCACCATTTTCAAAAATGGAAATTGAAAAATTCTACTTAGATGGCTGCTTTTGGGTATACCAAGGTCGTGGGCAGGGATAATTCAGGCGTTGGTTGGCGTTGTCTGTCAATCTGGCGATAGCATCATCTACGATGTTTTTTTGTGCAAGATACTATTAGGGGCTACCAATGATTGATTTCCCATGATTTTCGATATCCTTACATCTTCAAAGCTTGCGAAATACAGTCCATGCGTCATAACCATCCCTCAACAACAAATCTTCAACTATGCCCCCTACAGTACAACAGCTACTCAAGGGGTGCAATGATTTCACCGCCACACTTCTTCTATCCAGACTCCCCAATATAAGAAACCTGTTTGAACGTGAGAAACCCAACGCCACATGATAAATGAATACGACACCCATACAGCTAGGCTGTGGCGAGTGTGGCTTGCCCACGACGACAAGATCGCCTCTCGGGTCTCTCTGGCGAGGACATCCCTGCCGCGGGCCCGCGCTACCGTGAGCTCCAAGGAGCTTCTCGTCCTGTGTGGGAGCTCGAGAGACAGCTGGTGGCTTTGTCTGATATCATGGTGATATGATATCCCCTTGCTAAACGTGTTCAAACATGTCCTTTGTTCAGCCACGATGCTTTCCATCGGGGATTATCCATGTTGGAAAGACGTAATACGGGGTTCCGCGTGCGTCATGCCGCGTTGGATATATTGCTGAGATGGGGTATTCATCGAGAATCGAGATCATAGATGTTCGCAGTGACGCTGTCAAAGAATGGGAGGTATTGCATGGCAGTCAGGCATGTGTTTGTGCAACCTGCTGGAAATGTATGATGAAAGGCCGCAACTTTATTTTCCTGTCAGCTTTCATGTGAATATATAGATATATATATGTCCATGTGATAAGAAAGATTATCATCCGATTGAGCAAATCATAAACTACACACTGCGAGCTAATTCCTCTCTTCACATGTAAACGCTATTCAATCGCAAACCCCAAACTTAACCATTTCGTGAATCTGAGTGTTGAATCCAAAATGCCGTTCCCAAAGCCAGTCGCTGTTCAAGGAGGTTGGCAGGTCAAGGAGAGCCCTTCTCAGGAGCAGAACAACCCAGGTTGGTGACAATACATCTTTACTGGCTTACTGTCATTCTGTTATTATATGTCTAACGCGGTTCCAAAATAGTTGACATGCGATCTGTCCCTCGGTCTGCCGCTGGCGTCGTGACCGACTCGGGAGATATCCTGGACCGGTCTGGAAAGTCCATCGGAAAGCTTACCGAGTCAGGAGACCCTGGCCAGCTCGTGGGAAACGCAGTCACAGCTTCGGGAGATATCCTGGATTCATCAGGAAATGTTCTCGCCAAAGCTACCCTCAATGAAGAGGAGGAGGGTGGCGAATACACAACCGAATCTACTGAGAAGGACCAGAAGGACCAGAAGGATCAGAAGGACGACAAAGGCTGGGACCTGATGGGCAAGGGCAAGTCGGCCTATCAGACAGCCAGCAACCTCCAAAAGCCCGTTTCCCAAGGAATGGACCTGGTTAGTAGGATGCAGAAGCCCAGCGAGGATGGACAGAGCTCACCCACTGATTCCTCGATCCAGATGAGCCAAGGCGACACCAAGCAGCCACAAGAGGAGCTGGAGGGTCAAGAGAAGACACTCGAAAAGGCCCCTGGAAAGCAAGACGAAGAGCTCATCTCGATGGAAGATAAGTCGGAAGAAACCAAAGAAGAGGTGGGCAAGGGCTCGGGCAAGGATGTTGATGTCGAACCAGATACCAAGGAGCTGGAGTCGCAAGACAAGCTTCAGGAGGAAGCCCCCAAGCCAATCGAAGGCGAAGGACTTGACAAGGAGAAGCCTGACGAATTGACAGAAGGCGAAGACCTCGCCAAGGACAAGGCGGAGGAAGGCGAAGAACTTGCCAAGGACAAGGTCGAGGAAGAAGGAGAAAAGATTGACTTCTCAGAGCTCAAGGGAACCAAGGTCAACAAAGCCGGCAACCTCGTCAACAAGCAGGGCGATATCATCGGGCGTCTGGTTGAAGGTGATCCCAAGCAGCTCATTGGCAAGAGAGCAGATGAGAATGGAAACATCTGGAACGACGAGGGCAAGGTTATTGGCAAAGCCGAGCCATTGTCCCACCATGAGCGTGGCGACGAAAAGGACTTTGCTCCGTTCGAGAACTTCCCCGATGCCGTCGTGGAGGCCGATGGTCGTGTAATGTTCGAAGGCAAGCAGGTTGGTGTTGTTGTCGAGGGCGACGCGAAGCATCTCAAGGGCAGCAAGGTCGACGAGGATGGTGATATCCTGGACCGCCGAGGAAACGTCGTTGGCAAAGCAGAGGCCTGGGATGAACCCGAGGCTGAACCCGAAGCTGTCGTCGACAAGTCTTCGCTGGCGGGCAAGAGAGTCAACAAGGCCGGCAATGTCGTTGACGGTTCGGGAGCCATCTGGGGCAGAGTCATCGAGGGTAACATTAAAGCCCTGGTTGGACGCATGTGCGACAAAGAGGGTAATGTCCTGAGCGAGTCTGGAGATGTCATTGGCAAGGCCGAACTTGTCGGCGAAGGCGAGCGAGAGGGCATGAAAGAGGGCCCCTTTGCCGAGCTGTCTGGCTGCACTGTCGCCAAAGATGGCACTGTTGTTACGCCATCCGGTGATGTCGTGGGAAGACTTACCGAGGGAGACCCCAAGAAGCTCTTTGGTCGTCAGGTTGATGAAGACGGAGACGTTGTCGACAGCAACGGAAACGTCTTGGGCAAAGCTGAGCGCTGGGAGGAGGAGGTGGAGGAGAGGAAGAAGGCCCCCTATGCGGGCCGCAAGGTGAACCGCGAGGGCAATGTCCTCGACGAAGAAGGAAACCTCATTGCGAAGCTGGTCAGCGGCGACGTTTCTGCCTGTTCCGGTAAGGAGGTTGACGAAGACGGTGATGTTGTCAACTACAAGGGCGACACCGTTGGACATGTCGCTCTCCTCGAAGACATTCCCAAGGACACCGAGGAGGACATCAAGAAGCGTGAAGAGGCTGAGAATGACCGCAAGCTGGCTTCGAAGCTGGCTGGGTGCATCGAGCAGTCTCTTGACAAGATCCGTCCCATCTGCAAGATGATTACGGATAAGATTAACACCGCGGAGAGGACCCCCAAGGAGGAGCTCGATGAAGAGCAGTTGGTCAGAGAGGTGAAGCCCCTGATTGAAGAGGGAGGCAAGATCTTGACCGAGACCAACGGCACCATCCGCGGGCTCGATCCCGACGGCCGCATCCAGCGGAACGCAAAGCACAAGGCGGGCACTAAGGAGGCATCGCCCGAGGAGTATCATCTCGCAGATGTGCTCAAGGAGGTGAGTACATGCCATTCTACGTGGGTTCATTTGTTAAGAGGATCGCCGGCTAATATGCAAATTACAGCTCACTGGCACCATCACCCAGACCATCGACAACGCAAAGAGCAAGATTGAGGGCATGCCTCACGCAAAGAAGGAGCTCAACCCGCTCTGGGGTCTCTTGTCGGAGCCCTTGTTCCAGATCATCGCCGCTGTTGGATTGCTGCTGACCGGCGTCCTGGGTCTTGTCGGCAAGCTGGTAAGCATCTACTTTTTTCATTCTGCCATTGACGATGTTTGTAAACGATCCATATGCTAATATGATGTATAGCTGAGCGGCCTCGGCCTCGGCGGAATCCTCGACAATCTCCTCGGAACGCTTGGGTTGAACAGGGTGCTCGACGGCCTTGGACTTGGCGGAGTCACCGATGCCTTGACTGGCAAGAGTGACAAGAAGAAGAAATAAACGAATAATGTCTGATGATTTTTTTGGTTTGTGTGAAAAATATGATTTATGATTGGGAATTATGAGGGTCAGAATGGGCTGGAAATGAACGAAAACGGAAGCTCGGATTTGTACCAGTTTGTATGGACGATGTATTATTACTTGGTGTTTTCTTTCGATGACTTTATTAGTATCGTTATAATGCAAGTAATTCCTTTATCGAAAGTTCAGTAATTGAGCATCTCCAACGTAACAGTGCTAGAATGTCACCGTGCCATTCCCAGGCGTGGCGGTGATTGTGATACCTCGGCTCATTCGAGCTCCAGGGTAGTAAGCATTAGCTCATTTTGACGTGGCGATGTTGTGTGATTCGTATTCACCTTTTGCTTGTCTCAATGCTGCACAGTCTACCATTGAGCAGCTGAGTAGAAGCAGTGACATTGATTGTATTCAATACGATTAGTGTAAAACGTCGCTTCAATGGCAAAGATTGTCTTCTTGATGGCCGATTATGGTCATGATCCTACAGGTAGGCAGACGGAGATTTGTACCGTCGCGTCAGTGTTCGTGAGAGACTCATCAGTTGTTTAGAAACCTGCGGGCCTTACACGGCTTTCAAAGCCGCTGGATTCGACGTCAGTTTCGCGACTGAAGCAGGCAAACCACCTCAATGCGACACCAAGATGTTGGAGGGCCTTACACAGCGCCTCTTGGTGAGTCTCCTGCGTATGATAGCGCGTCATCGGGGATGGGATCTAACCAGAATCACAGGGTGCGTCATCCTCCATCGTGAAAAAGTATCGCGTCATGGCCGAATCAGAGGAATGGAAGAACCCCTTGTCATGGTCCGATGAGCAATTCACCCTGGACGCGTTTGATCTCGTGTTTCTGCCCGGAGGACACGACAAGGCCGTGACTCAAGTCATTGACTCGGAGAGAGTTCACCAGTTGCTAGTCGACTTCTTCCCCAAGACGAAGAAGCCCGGGAAGAAGGCCGTCGGAGCGGTTTGCCACGGCGTCATGGTGCTATCAGAATCTAAGAATCCGGATGGAAGCAGTGTCATTCGCGACTGCGTGACGACGGCGCTGCCGGCGCGATTCGAGCAGCTAGCTTTCTGGGGCACTCGCCTCTTCTTGGGAGACTATTACAAGACGTACGGAGCGGGGAGTGAAAACGTCGAAGACTCGGTGAGATTCTTTGCAAAACTTGCATCTCGTTCAAAACATGAGGCGAAAATGAAATTGCTGACGCTAGAGCGACAATACGATTAGGTGCGAAAAGCGCTGGCGAGTCCTAAACAATTCAAGAATAGCATTGTGCCATCACCGTGAGTTTCGCCGAGAACGAGAATTGTTGTGTTATAATGGTAATCCCGGCTAATATGGGTTTTTCTTCCAGCTTCGTCGTTGAGGATGACAACTACAACTACGTCACGGCGAGATTCCCCGGCGACGTGGACCTTTTGTCGCAGAAGCTAGTCCAGTTAGTGCAAGGCCTTTGAATCAAGGGCAACAAGCGGAAATAATATTCCTTCTTTTTTGCCGGTAGTGGTAGTGCTGCCAAGTGTTGAGATCGGGGGGAGGCGGCGGAGAGATAAAAATTGGGATGTCATGCAAAGTGAGATTTTGAAGTATCCACACCAGACCAAGAGATTTGTAAGGGAATTGGAGTGGTTTTCGATTTTGGATTTGTTTATTTGTCTAGACCCTTGAGAGTTGAGTCTTTCGGGGACCAGTTGGCCGACTTTCGTTTAACTCGGTATTCAGTCACTAACAATCAATACTCATGTGTAATCATGAACCAAAGCATCATCAGTTTCAAAAGCTTTTGTGTAAGAATTGAAAGAAGACAAGTTTAACACAAAAGGGAACAACTAACCAAGCTTACATCGTATTCGATCTGCATCAAGACAGATGTGGTTCTCGTTTCCCGTATAAGGCGGTGTTGCATTCGGATAACCTTAACACAATACCGCCTGGAACGCTGCCACACGAGATGCTACAAAGCAAAGATCAGCTTCCCGATGCTACCGTGCCATGCAACTGCTTCAACGAGTATACGTGGGGTTCTCCAGTAATGGATGCATCGTTTTGCTTACCGCTGGCAAGGCGGAGCCCCAATTTGCGGGAACCGCAGGTTGAGAGCTGCGAATGTGAGGCGCAACTTATGCCGTCGGCCGAAAGCATCCATCAAGACAACATCAGGTTTCCTCCTTGGGAGCTCGGCGAAAAGTATCCGCGTTGCGTGGGGAAGCGTCAGGGGGGCTCAAGCGGTTTGTTCCCCTGCATCGTCCATTGCTAGCTTGAGCTTCCCCCGCACGCCAGCAGGAAAAGGGCCGAGATGTCAGTTTTTCCTTTGAGAAGGACTTGTGTTGGCCTAGCCTTGTCGGCACAAACGATGAGATGAGATCCCCCCGGACTCAGTGAGACAGGGGGGAGTGGCAGCAGGTTCGAGACGAACATGCCGAATGGGTCGACCATGACATGCTTGTTTTTGCTGGCCCTTCTCCGCAAACAGTGGCCCGCGGGCATGGATTGGAGGAAGTTTCTGCAGACGTTGGGACCTTGTGATGGTCTGCAGATGTTGCCAGACGTGGAATGTCCGTCCGGCCGTGTGCCGATTCTGCCAGTAGGGCTCTCTGGGGTAAAAGGACGAATGATGAGATGATTATGCAAACTATAAAAGGCCGTGGGAAGCCCTTCCGGTGGTTACAGAGGAGGAAACCGGCTCTTCCAGCAATCCAATTGAGGCACTGGGGAACACTGTTGACCCTCTGGAAAGATGCGATTCACGCAATTCTTCCTTGGCCTGGCTGCCGTTGCAGCCGGTAGTTCTATGCCGGCTGAAGGCGTCGAGGCCAGACACTCCTCGGGCTACTGGTACGAGAAGATCCAGCACAACGGCATCAGCCCTTTCATCACCAATGGCAAGAACTGGAAAGTCTTCCGCAACGTCAAGACGGACTTTGGCGCCAAGGGAGACGGTGTCACTGATGACTGGGCTGCCATCCAAGCTGCCTTTGACTATGCCAACGGCACGGCCAGTCGCAGCTCGGGTGCTTGGGGTACGACCGGTGCTCCGGCTGTTGTCTACATCCCAGCTGGCACGTATCGTCTGAGCAAGCCCCTTCAGTCGTACGTTGACACCGTTGTCATGGGTGATCCCACCAACAGGCCGGTGCTTCAAGCCTCTTCCGACTTCACCGATCCCTTCCTCTACCTGGGCTATGACCCCGGCTATGACTCGACCATCAACTTCTACATTGGACTGAAGAACGTTGTCTTGGACTCTACCAAGGTGCCCCTTGCTCACAACATTACTCTTCTCAACTGGGCCGTGAGCCAAGCTGTGCAGCTTACCAATGTCTTGTTCAACATGCCCAATGGAGGTGTAGCACACACCGGATTGTCGATGCCTCAGGGCGGCTCGCCTCTGATGATCAACGACGTTGTATTCCAGGGTGGATCTGTCGGCATTCGCATGAATGAGCAGCAGTACCACTTCAAGGGAATCACCTTTAAGAGTGAGTCATCTGCCTCCTTTTTTTCGCATCAAGTAGATGGGATTTACTAACGAATTGGGCTGTGTAGACCAGGATATTGGCTTGAAGCTTGACAAGCTCTTTGAGGGAACTGGCCAGAATCTGCACTTTGAGTCATGCAAGGTTGGTGTTGAGACGACAAACAACAACACCGGATTCTTTGCTCTCATTGACTCGACGGCCAGTAATGTCGGCATTCTGTGGAACGCCGCAGCTTCCCCGACTGCCCAAGGATCAATGGTACTGGAGAACGTCCAAGTGGACAGAACTGTCGGCTCTGTAAGTCATCTTTTAATACCATACGGTTTCAACGAGAAAGAGACTAATGCCTTCGATTAGACCGTTACCGCTGGAGGAGTCAATGTCCTCAAGGGCTCTGTCAAGGCTGGCCAGTCTTGGATCTGGGGCAACGTCTACGGACCCTCAAGCGGCCAGCGTGCCCAGGGCAAATTCTTCCCTGCATCTCGCCCTCTGGCACTTTTGGATATCACTGGGTCCTACCACACCGTTGCTCCTCCGACATTCAAAGAGTATTCCGTGGACCAGGTGATTAACGTCAAGAGCGTTCACGGGCTCCCGGTCGCCGGTGATGGTGTTACAGACGAGTAAGTTCTGGATAAAGCCTGTTCAGTTGGTGCACTTAGACTAACGTAGTTCATTAGTACCAAGAACCTTCAGAAGATCATCAACCAGGCTGCTGGCAAGAAGGTTATTTACTTCCCTCATGGAACCTACCTCGTCAGTGACACCATTGTGGTCCCTCCTGGAAGCCGGTAAGTAGGAGCCCTCTCAATGGGATTGAATCAGCATTGGTCATGGAAAAGAAAAGAGACTAACGAAGCTTTAGATTCCACGGAGAGGTTTGGTCTGAGATTAGTGCCACGGGTAACAAGTTCAAGAATGCCAACAAGCCTGTTCCCATGGTCCAGGTCGGAAAGCCTGGCCAGCTCGGCGTTGCCCAGTTCGTCGACATGCTCTTCACCGTTGCAGACATTCTTCCCGGCTGCGAGCTCGTCGAGGTCAACATGGCCGGCTTGAAGGCTGGAGACGTCGGCTTCTTCAACACTCACTTTCGCATTGGAGGAGCTCGAGGATCCAAGGTTCAGACCAACTGCGACGATCCCGCTACCTGCAAGGCGGCGCGAGTCTGCGCTCATCTTACGACTTTTTCGTCTTCGTACTGGGAGAACAGCTGGTGCTGGAATGCCGATCACGATCTCGACGATGGCAACCATGCGAACCCCTCGACGGCTGGTGGTTTCCTTGTCGAATCCATCAGGGGGACCTGGATGCTGGGCATCGGCAGTGAGCACAACTCGCTGTACCAGATCAACGTCTACAAGGCACAGAACGTCTTCCTGGGCTTCCAGCAGAGCGAGACGCCGTACTGGCAAGGAAACAACTCTGGTCTTTTGACGCCTCTGCCGTGGACCGGCTCGCTGTTGGACAGCGATCCAGACTTTAGCTGGTGCGCTCCTGACGATGCCCAGTGCCGTATGGCTATCTTCCAGTACATCCACGACTCAAGCAACGTCAATGTTTACGGAGGCGGTTACTGGGTCTTCTTCAACGGCATTAACCGGAATGGCTGCTCTGCCGAATGCCAGCAGAATGCCGTCATCTATGCTGACAATCATAAGCTCTATAGCTATGGCGTCAGCACACACAACGTGCGAACCATGGTGCTCGAGTCTCAAAGGGGCAAGGACGTGGCCGAGGTCGTTGATACGGCGAACGCGGGTGGCTGGCAGAGCCATGGTGGTGTCATGGCTGCTTATCTGGGACAGAGCGGCTATTAATTAATGCCATTGTTTGTAGAATGCAGTGAATGGTAAATGAATAAAGAAATGAATGTTTATGATTTATGTGCTATATTTGCCTATGTGTCTATGCTAGTTGCGAACATGGCCTTGTTTCTCAGTAAGCCACTGAATGCCGTCTATAAGATCGCGATACCATGTCTTACTCATGGCAAGATCTGGAAATATCCAAAAGACATGAGGATATCCTGCATATGTATTGATTTTTGTCGGAACACTACATACGTCCTAGTTAGCAACGACTTCCTCTGTAAACTCCATGAGGGTGGTATCATTATGTCTTACCCGAGACGATCAAGCTTCTGCTCGTAGATCAAGCCGTGGTCTCGCAGGGGGTCGTCTCCACAGACCATGACCAACGTAGGAGGCAAATCCTTGATACTGCTCTTTTCATCAAATAGAAGGGGGTTCAAGAGCAAGCTATCACGATATTCATCTGGCACCCCCATCAGAGTACGGTATTGCTCGATTTGGGGGTACGTCAGGAAATCGGCGTCGCGCCACTGAATATGCGAAGTTTTGTCGCCAACTTTGGGGTCAAAGGGAAAATTTTCTGGGAGACAGAGCCAAGGAGCGGCGAGGAGTTGGCCTTTGATATATGATTCCCCCAGCTGTGAGATGATGTCAACTATGTTCTGTACATGTAGTTTGCAACAAGGCGAAAGTATTGCCACGACCTACCTCTCTTTCTCTATTCACAACGCTTGCTGCGAGAAAACCGCCGGCGCTGGTACCGGCCACGTACAGATCAAAGCCTTGTGGCAATCCCAAATCTGCCGCGTTGTTTATCACCCAAGTGCGAGCATCCCAGGCATCGTGAAACTGCGTAGGAGCCTTCCACTCGGGTATCACGCGATAGCCGACGCTGATGACTGTAAACCCTGTGTCCCGGGCCAAAGATATGCAAAAGGGATCTTCGGTCGAGATTGAACCCGTCAGGAATCCGCCACCATGATAGTAGATTAAGACGGAGGCGTGTCCCTTTTGGGTGGCAGAGCGAAAGACTCGAATTGGGATTTCGAGGCTATCTGAGGTCGGTATTGTTCGTGTTTCCCAAGTGACTTGATGGTTGCCGAGAGCCTTCATCGCTGCATCTCTGGCTGCATATCGTTGGGGGTTGTGGGCACGACGGAATTCAGTTGATATAACGTCAACCTTGGGCAGAGGGTTCTTGGCTATGTATGAAGCCCATTCTTCTGAAGGACCGGCAAGATGGCTAAAGTCTGGCATGGTGAATGTTGGAAAATAGGGATGCTCTTTTAATTCTCCCTTTTGCTTCTGATGCTATGAAGGCCGTATGTATAATGATACTGCACTGATGATTATTGGCATCGTCATTCGGGAACCAGCTCCTATATATGAATAAAGAATATAAATAAAGATTATACGCATTTGTTCATACGTACTCGTAACCAACATCATGCTTGACATCTTGAAGTGGGATTGCCGAGATCAGTAAGATCACTAATACCCGCTTACCGCAACCCTGCCGCAACAAGATCCAACCAGTTGCAGTTAGTTGAGAAAAGGCTTCGGCCGGCGTCTCAACAAGGCTGTTTACCAACGACGTCTTGCATCGATTTTGCACAAGAACAGACAACTCTTGACTTGTGCTAAGCCTATTTCTCCCGCGCGAACACCGAAAACTCCAGTGCGGATCGCGACTTTAGCGCGAGACTATGCCGGCTCATAACCATAAACTCCGATACCAAGCGAGCTTTCGGTAACTGAGAGACATTGTGACGATGATTAAGCCGCTGAGCAATATGCATGCCTGTATTGAGCATGGTAAAGAGCTTCTTTCGGCTGTATATTGCTACACATCCTTTGGAATCTTTTTTACACACTCTCTCATCATCATTATTAAGCACGCCGACAACCACACATAAGCAACCTTTTTTAATTTCACAACCTGGCAATGATACTAGCCCAGGCGCTTTCAATGGCCGACAACCCCGCAGACAAGCAAGTTGTGCTCGTTACTGGCGGCAACCAGGGCATCGGCTATGAAATTGTGAAAAAGCTCGTGGCGGAGCAACCCACCTATCATGTCCTTCTTGGTTGTCGAGATCTTTCAAAAGGAGAAGAAGCTATATCAAACATTGAGAAGCTTGCTGGCTCGGTGTCTCCGGTTGAGATTGACATTACTTCAAACGACTCAATTGCGGCTCGTGTTGCGCAAATCGATCGCGAGTATGGCAGACTTGACGTTCTAATCAACAATGCTGGCATTGGAAGACATGCAGTAGAGGGCCTACCCAGTCTCAGGGCCAAGATGCGTGCGTTGTTTGATGTAAATGTGTTTGGCACCCTAGAGATGACGGATGCAGCTATTCCTCTGTTACAAAAGGCTGCCGATCAAGGCTCAGTCCCACGAATTGTGTTTATTACCTCAGAGATGGGCTCCTTTGGAAATACGCTCAACCCTTCGTGGAAGTATTATCAGCACAACACATCTATCCCGTACAAGTCCAGCAAAGCAGCTGCAAACATGATTGGTGCGTGCTATTCGACATTGTTCGAGAAGCAAGGGTGGAAGATCAACTGTTGCTGTCCTGGGCTTCGCAAAACGGCATTCAACAATCACCTATCTGTTGCCATGGACGTGGAAGAGGGAGCTGTGAGGGCTGTAGCGTTGGCCACCCTCGACAAAGATGGCCCTACAGGGACTTTTACAAATATTGATGGAACTGAGCCGTGGTAATCGAGCAACATGTCATTGAGAGTCATCTATTCATACTAGCTAGCCTTGGAATCTGCATCGTACAGTATATCATTTCATTCTGATCCGTGCTGCCAATTCGTTATATCAATTCGTTCCGATTCAAAAACTAACAATCTCATTCAAACCACGCATTAACAGTTCGCTCCATAACTACCATATTAAAAAGGTAATGCTTCAAACGTTCCAGCCCGAAGCGCGTAAGATATGCAAGACAAAAAAAACCAGCGAGCAATGCCTTTAGTTCCAAGCAGCCTAAATTGTATTTGGCGGAAGCCTCAGCCAGTCAAACGTGGCTAATAGCCCGAAATTAAAGTCGTTCATATCTTCCAGTAAACTCGTGTCCCATGTCATGTCAAACTCCTGTTGAGTTACGGGTCTTGGAATCGCTGGATTCAAAGCTTGCTCCATCACTCGCTCGACCACCGTCTTGATGCTGTTACACAAATGGGCTCCAGGGGCTCCAGGTCCGATCCATTCGAGGAAGCCCATGAGTAAACTGAGCTGCTTTATTATCATGGGCTTTGTGATTTTAGGGGTAGTTGGTGGTCGAGTGCCAGAAGGCTGTCTCAGGAGCTCCATGCACAAGATACCTGCTGCTGGCGCGGCATGTAGCATGACCAGCCACTCGTAGTCGCCTTGTAGGCCTTCGAGACGATTTTGCTGCGTCCAGAAAGAAAGGGTGAGGGATATCATCTCGAGGCTGATTTCGAGCATTTGAGAGCTGTATAAGTTGCTTCCTGTATACGAGAGTCGCTCGATGAAGAATAGGTTGCTTAGATGCTCAAGTCGCGTCAACAGTCTGATGTAAAGGGTGGGAGCGTCGACGGAGGGATTGCTAAAGTCATCGTTGTTAAACTGCAGTCCGGTTGGAAATCGAGCGAAAACATCCATTTCCCGTTTCCGCAAAGCGCTTCCAGTGTGTTAGTGGACGAATTTTCTCTCGGATTAGGTGTAACGGCATCAACTTACTCAAAGTCATGCTGGATGCGAACATGAGGTGCCTGGAGTACAATCTCGAGGATTTCACTCCTTATCCCAGCGATTATATAGGCCGCTCGCAGAAACGTAACTGGATGATTCTTCCCTTCCATGTTCCATCCATCCTTGTCCAGCCGGTGAGGCCGAACTTTGAGGTTGAGCAAAGACTCGTCACTAACATCAAGAGGCAACGGCGTCGAGCAAAGCTTGCTACTGACTAACGGAGGCCGGCCCGTCAAAGTAGAAACAACCATGTCGATGTTGAAGACGGAACAGAAGAGTCTTCGCTTGACCTGAACAGATACCGACTCCTCTGGCACCGAGCTGTTCGGTTGAGCTGTGTGGAGGCCAAGAAAGGTGGCCAAGGCGACGGCCTCTGCATGCTGCCGCCAAAATCCCGCACCTGAGTAGGACTTGTTAGGCACGAGAAGACAGGGGATGGGCTGAACACTGCTGGGACGAATACGAGACGCAAGGACACTTACCTGTATCACCCGTGATGAGTGACTCGGTGAGACCATGCATGTGCAAGAGATACACCATCATGGTGTTGTTGCAGCTCATCAGGCGGCAAAGATCAACGCTTCTTGAGGCACCGTTTTTGTAAACTAGCATGAGATTCTTACGATTATGATGTCCAAGCCACTTGCGCTGCTCAACCGTGCCGTTCTCTATGAGGGAGGCAGACCCAAAACACCAAAACGTGAACAAGATGCCTAACCCTTCCCACCGAAAATTAGCGCCGGAGAAGGCATCAAACCACTGGTCTGGATCCGGAAAGTCTTCTTTGAGGGGCTTGGAGCTGTTCTGGAAAAGCAGCAGTGCCAGCTGCGACATTGCCTCATTACTTCTTTCGCCGTCGAGGAAGTGGCCCAGTGCTGTCCACAGAGATGCGTGAAGACGATCCAAAGCAAGGCGACACCAGGCATCGTTTGGATTCACATTCCGCCTAAGCAGAAACTGTGCCGCCTCTTTGGTTGGGATGGTCCGAAGCACCGTAAAGGCAAGCTCGAAGGCCGCTGCGTCTGGAGCCATCTTGGTCGACGTCACATTGTTTCCGTTCTTACCAGCTAGGCCATCATGGGTTGGATTAGGGCCAGCTACATAGTCGAGGTGTCTCTGCGTCTCGCGAAAGAATTCCGGGAAGCTCGATGCGCCAAGATAACCGACATTTTCATCCGGAGGCGAGGAGAGATCTTCCAGTGTCGACGGGCTCACTGTAGTTGGGTTTGGTCCCGTCGGCTCTCGAGGTTGCCGCTCATCGAGCATCTCTGCCGACTGGCTTCTGGTTACATCTGGGGGCAAAGCCGGCGTTACGAGCTGCCCCTGGATAAGATATCGACAGCTCTGGGGCGTGCTCTTGCGGATACACCGTGAGCAAATGGGAAGCCGGTGGTCACACGCGACCTTGCGCCGACGGCAGGGTTCACAGGCTTGTGGACGGCCATTGCGTCTCCGGGGGATTTCAGAGGGGATGGCGAGGCTGGGAGATGCGCTGTTCATGGTGGATAGCGATATACGGGTCCGGCCACAGCCGCTGTTGCAGCTGTATCACACTCATGAATATGTGAAGACGGAGAGCCGAATGCCTTAACGATGCGAGGAGTGTGCTGAAAGATTTGCGGCTCTCGGCCTCGGCATTCGGCTTGCGTTCGGAGGTCGGCTCCACGGTTGGCATTTGTCTTTCAGCTTGACCAGGACGTGGCTGAAGTTTGGTGGCTCATGTCTGGTGGACTTTTGAAAGAGGCATGTGAGTGAGCCTTGAGTTTGATGACGAGATTATAGATGGCGATATTGGCGAGAATTGCCGTGGTTGACGATATATGTGCTCTGTGGTCGATGGTTGTATCTGGGTGGATATGATATTCTCACGCCCTTCACTCCCTTCACTAGTGGGCACACTGACACATTGTTACCACCCACCCTTGTTTGATGAACTATAGCCGAATGTTGAAGATGTACGGAGTTGGACTGGCATTAAAGAGCAAACAAAGTCAATTGGCTGGGATGCCTTGTCTAGCAAAGACAGAGCATGGGCGAAGCTGCGAGAGCAAGCGTCGATATAGTGGGATACCTCATCATGCTGACAAGCAGAGGTTAGCTAGTATAAGTTATATATTGCACGTATCCCTGGGAGTGAGTCTTGACATGAGAATAAAAAGACATACCTTGGAATTCCAGTAGTGTAACACCAATTCTGATTAGTTGTACTTAATCCCCACGTTCTTCTTGAGGCCGTGTAAGTGGATATCTGCAGCCATGTCCGGCCCATACCGCCGTCCCGTGGTCCGGAGTCCGGAGTATATCAAGAGACCCGGAGCGCCGATACGGACGACATCAAAGCTTCGATTACCTCTACCAAATATGAAAGGGAGATAAAAAGATGCATTGGGGGTAAAGGACGTATCAATGGTTTTCTTTAAGATATACGTATGTATACCAAACTCCGTCCATAATCTCTACTATACCATTTGACTATATTCACTTGTCTTTGTTACCAGTATCTCAGAATTCATTTCTCTACTCTCTTTTATTATCTTCATTCACAATAATCGCAATGACTCATTCGCCGCATCCCTCTGAAAAGGTCCTGGGCATGCCGCCCTTCGTGGCTGATTTCCTCATGGGAGGTGTCTCTGCTGCCGTCTCCAAGACCGCTGCCGCTCCCATCGAGCGAGTCAAGCTCCTCATCCAAAACCAAGATGAAATGATCAGAGCCGACCGCCTGGATCGCAGATATAATGGAATAGGCGAATGCTTCAAGCGCACAATAGCTGACGAGGGTTTCGTTAGCTTATGGCGCGGCAACACGGCGAATGTGATTCGGTATTTCCCCACGCAGGCTCTCAACTTTGCCTTTCGAGACAAGTTCAAGAAGATGTTTGGCTATAAGAAGGACCGCGACGGTTATGCCATGTGGATGGTGGGAAATTTGGCTTCTGGAGGCGCTGCCGGAGCAACTGGCCAGCTTTTCGTCTATTCTCTTGATTATACGCGGACTCGGTTGGCGAACGACGCAAAGAAAGGAGGACAGCGCCAGTTTAATGGATTCATCGACGTATACCGGAAAACAATAGCATCAGACGGCATCGTTGGCCTTTACCGCGGCTTCTTCCCCTCTGTCTTTGGCGCTGTTGTTTACCGAGGTCTGTACTTTGGCATGTACGATTCCTTCAAGCCGCTTGTTCTCGTTGGGGCTCTTGAGAACAACTTTCTGGCTTCATTCTGCCTGGGATACTTTGTAACAACAGCGGCGGGCATTGCTGCTTACCCGTTAGACACGATCCGCCGGCACATGATGATGACTTCGGGAGAGGCAGTCAAGTATAAGAGTTCGTTTGATGCCGCTAGGCAGATTATTGCCAAGAATGGAGTGCGAGCTCTCTTTAATGGCGCTGGAGCGAACATTCTTCGGGGTGTTGCTGGAGCTGGTGCATTGTCAATCTATGATGAGCTTCAGGTTGCTCTATTTGGCAAGACGTTTAAGGGCGAATGAGGAGCTACTATTGCTTTGTAGCTCGTAGCAGTGCATATATATATATACAAGTAGTATAAGTAGAATGAATTAAATTACAATATAGAGATATCAAATGCCAGATAAGGCCGTCATACCGGAGTGCCGTCTTTGTCAAGCCCTTCACCCTGCAAGTTACAAAGCCAGTATTATAGGCTCATAAGAAAACAGTCGATCGATCAACTTCTCATCAGCCCGTCGTAGTTGGGAAGCGTCCATTTCACATTCTCCTTCAGAATCCATTCTCCAACAACATTCAGCCTCAAAAAGGCAGCTATTCCAAGAAGCAAGTTCACAATCGCAATAGTAAATCGCGACGATGGCATCTTGTTCCAAAAGACGGTATCGTCGCCCACTCCGTGAGTTACCTGATCAATGAACGGCCGGAACTTGTCATCATAACTCTTGAGTGCCACGTCAAGGCCATCAGTAGGCTTGGCTGCCTCCTTTGTTCCGCAGTGACGGCTAATCTCCCCAGCGAGGACGTAAGCTCCTACAAGACCAGAAGTTGTTCCCATGCCGGTGAGTGGTGAAGGACAGTATCCGGCATCACCACAGAGGGCGACATTGCCCTTGAACCAAGAATCGAGCTTCACAAGGCCCAGGCGCTCGCAGTAGAAATTCTCCGAGTCAAACATGTCTCGTATAATATCTTTCGACTGCCATCCGGCGTCGGTGTAAATCTCTGCCAGAGCCTTTTTCTGTTCTTCAACGCCGTCTCGGTGAGCCTGCTTCATTCGATCAGAGTTCGAATTGAAAGGGAGGTAGATCTGCATCTCCTGTGGATTATGCCTTCGCGTCATGATGGCTCTCCTTCCAGTTGCCAGGTAGAACGTTGAGTTGTACTCTTCGCCCTCTTGAATCGGACGAGGAATTGTAAAATACGCCGTATATGCACCCTTCACTGGACGTAATGCGTCCCGGGAACCGGGACCCAACATGAGTTTGCGAGTGTTTGAGCCCATGCCGTCAGCACCGACCAAGAAGTCAAAGTGATCTGTGTTGCCATTGGTGAAATGAACTTCAACACCATCGTTCTTTTGCTTGAAGCTTTCAATGGAGATGCCAAACAAGTAAGTGACCTTGTCTTTTATAACATCGTACATTATGCGACACAGGTCACCTCTCATGATCTCATACTCGGTAGTGAAGCTCTGCACCCCCTTGCCTGAATTGTTCACTCCGAAAAAGGCTCGTCGTCTGTTGGAGCTATCGACGACGGCGATTCCTTGTTCTGGCACAGCCTTGGCACGAAACGCTTGGTCGAGACCCATCAACTTCAGGACTTCGACTCCAGGACCTCGGAGATCGACTTGAAGACCAGTGGTTCGAAGTTCAGGATAACGTTCGACGACGGTGACATTGTGGCCCAACTTGGAGAGCCAGTAAGCGAGGGCATTGCCAGTGATGCCAGCACCACTGATTAACACTTTCATTTGTGCCATTGGTGTTTGTAAGTCGATGTTGATGCTTGAAATGAATGAATCTGGTATCGATGTTCTTGTTGGGTAAGGTGCAGTGTAAGCGTTGACTGAGGTCGAGATGAGGTGATGCTAACAAACTTGATGAGTTTAGATGAAGGCGACATGTAAGGGATATATATATATGTCTTACGCGTCTATATAGAACTGCTGTCTCGGTATATTGAAGCCGTAAAGCTCTGCCGCGCGATATATCCGGGCGCTGCTCTTTCGGCCGAGGGGCGGCGATCACCGTGTGAATGGGGCATCGCATAATAGATCAATTAACGGCCCCCTTTAAATGTTGTTCTATAAAATCTCTCGTGGTTCCGCCACTCATGCGAGTGGGTTAAGCTGTGCATGAAACGTGTTACATCTGGTCTCTCAGAATGGTAATTATAACCGCTGCGTTATATCTGCGTAACCATCAAGACATCACGCGACCATTGCTCTTGTACAAAGAGTAGAGTACAATTTTCAGTTTAAAAATACATCATTGGCATATTCGTAACATGCCAAATTGATCCTAATAAGTCCTCGACTTTCTGGAGTTCAAGAAAAGCCAGTTTCCGCCAAGAAAAAGTCCATGTCAAAATCCAATCCATATATGTAGTCATCCCTTTCACCAATGCTTACAGACTCGACATCTGGCGTGGGTATTGATAGACCAGTGGTACCCAGACGATTCTGCAACAGTTCCAAACACAACGAAATGCTATCCCTCGCACTCTTCACAATACGCCCTTCGCCAGATACGCCCTGTTCCGTGGCTTCCGCTTGTGCCGTGATCATGCATAAGAACATGTGGCTCTTGACATTTGTCTCGTCTTGCCGGATCCGCTCTAATGATTGGGAAACCATTTCTGCTATAGTCTTCTTGAGATGATTTATGTAATGTGAGCTGCGGTGTAATGTTCCGTCGAGATACTGGGCTTCGACTTGAGCAAGAAGCTCGAGGCCGATAATGCTTGTCGCATATCGGATGCCCTCTCTAAACAATCCTCCCGCAATCGCCATGAGATTGAGAAATCCTTCATCTGGCTCAGGTGATGCTATGGTCATGGCGGTATCTATGCTAACCTTGAGTGAATAATGAAACAAAGGATTCACCCGTGCTTTGTTGGCAAAAGGACAATGGAGGGGAATTAAGAAACGGCGTAAAAGGTAGTCGAGCAAATTTCGGTGAAAGGGGGTGACGCCCGATGCCTTGTTGTCTCTTGCAAAGGTATTCCACTGACGACAAGTTTGGAGAATATCCGCGCTCAAGTCAAGCACATCTAGATACGAGAGCTCGGTGTTTAGACCGTTCAGGAGACTGAGTATTCGAAGGCGCGTTGGCAGCGAGCCAAGGAGGATGAGCTGCATAGACGTCCCAGTAAATATTTCTTTGGGGTGAGGCTTCAGTTCCGTCGCCGACTCTCCTATCTCGCTGTCATTACTATTCGCCGGCGCCTCAGTATCGAATTCATCAAAAGAGATCCTCGACGGTAACGCTGAGTCGAGCGATGATTGAACAACCAGCTCCAGGATTGTGGCCCATAGTCTTCTACGCAGCTGCGCCTGCAATACGGACATGGGAGGGAGATGCTTGGGGTCCCGATGCAAACCAATCTGCATCGCCCGGTGGACGAGCGACCCCGACGAGATCCAAATGAAGTCGCCTCCGATGGAAAACATTTGCCGAGCAAGCATCACCAAACAATGGATCTGGAGCCCGGAGATGTTGAGACGATCCTTTTCCAGCGGCCCAGAGAGCCAGGTTTCAGCTGCGTATATCCATTGATGCACCGCGTGGTGAAGTCCGGCATCGGATTCCACATGCGGAACCAAGCTGGACCCTATGGCAATCACGAGAAGCACCTGGAGGCGTAATGTGTTTGAAGCACTCTCGGGGCTACTCCAAAACCTCTCATAGACTCTCCAAAAGGTGGGCTCGTGCAAAATCCGATGTGTTGACTCAAACGATTGGAAATACAAGGCTGCCATCTTGTCCGCCACTTCACGGGAAGGGGGCGTCAGGTCAAAATTCAGCGATGAAAGGCATCTACTAGGCCGCCCAATCTTGAGGCTTCTAGCTACGCTTTTGCATTTCCGGAGCAAGTCGCTAGTCTCGACGATGAGAGCTCTGGTTTCGGTACTCCTTATCGAGTTGATGTCTCCAAAACCGCAAATCACTCCGTAGCAGGAGATGATGGGGTCAAACTACATGGCAACATGTGAGCATCCCGAAGATATACAATGTACAAACTAAAGCTGTAGACTGTACCTCTTTAGCTATGCCGACCCAATGGCTCCATCTCATGATTCTTGTTTTATTCAAGATGATATGGGCATCGGGCATGCCCGGCTCACCAGCAAGGACATCTCTGCCGGCCTGGGATATATCGTGCACAGGAACATGTACAAGGGACCGCTCAAGTCTCCGTACCCGCTCCCTGAGGTGATGGAGCTCGGGATCCACGAACCGGGGGCGAGTCGGATTTTGGATCTCATTTGCACCTGGTGTATTCGACAAGTCATTTGGCCCGAGCGTCGATGTCGCAGCATTGAGTGTCTCGTTTTCTCGGCCGCCATGATCTGATGCCGTCCTATGACTACTCGTAGTGACGTTACAAGTAGTTGGAGTAGTAATTTGCCTGATTGGATGGGCATGTGACAAAGGCGAGGCTGGATGGACAGCTGGCGGGCTTGGCACCGAGGAGCTGGATATTCGGCGAGTTTGCCGATGCCTGACTCCGGGCTTCTCCTGATGGATCCTGTAGGTGCACTGTGTCTCGGTCGTGACGCAGCGGCCGCAAGGGTTACTTCGGTCACACTTGAGCTTGCGCCGGCGACATTCAAGACATGAGAGCGCGGGTCTCCGGCGGCGGTAAGGTTCGTGTTGCTGTTGGTCCATGGCTTGGGGGGTTTGTCTCGGCGGTATCGCAAAAAAGTGCTGGAGTCACATCAAGGGATACAGCATTTGGATGGAGCAATGCAAGGGAGATCAAGACATGGTGATGTAAGGCAAGGGGGGGAGGCAGAATTGAGATTGAGACTGAGAAAGGCGAGGCTCGGCCAATTCGGACATGGGTTGCGTGAATATGCCGAGGACAGCCACAAGCTCTCGGCCGACAGATTTCAATGATGCATCTTAGCGCCGCCCAGTGCCGACTGTGATCTACTTGTAAGTACATGTATGAAATTTACTAGGGGAATCATTCCGTGTTTCCTTTGCACCATAGTCTTGTTAGAGGTTGGACGGAATTACTTTGTACTCGTAGCTGCTTGTCGTGTGCAGATCATCATTTGCCGTGTCTAAGTATCATGGAGGTGTGCAAAACACCAAATATTGGCACAGTCCGCACCTCCTCGAAGCCCGTCTTGTCGTACAGCGTCTTCCCGGCAGGCGTCGCCAGCAAATAGCAATCCTTTCCCTCGCTCGCCGCCCGGCTGATGCCCCAGTCCAGGAGGATCTTCCCGATCCCCTTCCGCTGCTGCTGCGGATCCACCCCGAGGTAATCAAGATCTTTGTGAGCCGGCAAAGCTTCCTGTCAGCTACCCGTTTTGGGCAGTTTCGGATAAGGGCCACGGAGAATTATTTCCCAGGGGGAGGGCAGGGAAAACTTACGCCAGACGTCCTTGATGCCTCTTTCTCCGAACATCTCCTGGTGGTCGGCTGAAACGATAGCGCGGAGCTCTGCATACGCCTCCTGGTCGAACGAGGGTGGCGGCAGTTGTTGAGCGGCAGACGGGGGTTGATTGGCCGCCTTTGCGTTTTCTGGCTGCGATTGTCCGTATACATCCCACAGGGCAAAGCCCACCACCTGGTCGTTTAGGGAGTCGTCGACGGCCACGACGATGATGGCGTCTGTGGAACTCAGGCTTGCCGTCTTTTTGGCATATCGCCAGGAATAGGCCTCGCCCTCTCCAACGAGCCGAGCAGGAAATAGCCGGGCCGCAATGGCATCCGTTTCCGGGTGAAAGGCCGCCGCAGCTATGCGAGCAATGGCGGGGATGTCGTCCTCGGTGGACTCGCGCACACGTATCGTCATGTTGAAGAGACCGGTAGAGACCGTGATGGGGAGCAAAAGGATCAAAGTATCGAATACAATCCAATTACAAGATCAAGATACAGACACGAGTATTCATATCGCTGACTCTAGCTCTAGTTGGAGATGGGGGATGTGCCGACGCTAAGCTCGCCCAATATGTCAAATGTCAACCAAAGGGCGGAGAAGGTGGATTTATTTGTCATCACTCCCAATTATAGAGATTCCAACGAATATGAAGCTGTTGATTATGAAGATGTGTAGAAATATGGTGTTTCGAGAACCATATGCTGCTGTTTGGATTATCATTGGTCAAGCACTGCTAATGTTTCTCTCAAATTGGCTTTGGCCAATCTTGTAAGCCATCGGCGTCAGACAATAAACCATACTCTACCATGTAGAGACAACGTTCTGGGTATCGATGGCATGAGATCCAATTAACTTCCGAGAGTTGTAGGATGAAAATCCTTCTCAGCAACACTGCAAAATAAATCCCGAATCCCATATTTTTTTTCTAGTAGTGGAGATCAAGGGTATGAAAACTCACATCACAAGCATGAAACTTCAAATCCCACCAACACGAGTAAGATTCCTCTTAAAAGCACCTTACTAAGCGGGAAAATAACGTTGGACTAAGCGGTCGCCACGGCCTTTAGCACGGAACCATCAAAAGACGAGATCCATTCACTCAAAACCTTTACGTAGAGCCAATATCCATCCAGTGTCTATCTGCTGCATAGAGGGCGTGAGGACGAATGAATATGACGGCTTCGGTACTGCGCATCACATAATTCAGCTATTCGCAAGGGTCACAATGAGCGAGATATATGACTACATTTGTGGTTTGCAGAAGGCACCAAGACTTTACTTAAAGTTGAGCTATAATTGAAACTTGATCAACGTGGGAGCACTCATTGAAACCAATGCAGGGCCAAGTTTACGGTGCTTACAGGCGGATACCGAAATATTCCTGTCAGGCCGATTAGCGTCGAAATGATTCATTACGGCTCTCTCCCATTGGCTAAGAAGTTCCTTGCGGAAACGCGAGATGTCCGGCCTCACGCCATATCTTGTTGCTTAAGCTGAGCTTTCGTTACCTTGAATATCTATATCCGATACCAGTCGGATATACCAGACACAAGTAAATTTCTCAATTCCTCTCGTAGCATCATCTATGTCATGATTGTCATCATTAGAAAGAGGTAGAATCTTGCGGGAACCGAATTGACCAGCAGAAAACTAGGCGGCATTGACACCAAGTCAGAGTCCACCATGGACTGCAGAATCCCGTACACCACGACGACCCTGATATGGATCATTTACCAAACTCAGTTAGTCGCACGAAATTTAGCTTCCATCGATCATTCACGCACTCGAATTTTAGGAAAATCTCTCTACACGATATACCAGCATGCGGTCGGGTCGGATCTAGATTTCTGGGCGGATTGTGGACACCTGAGATGATGGGCGGTTCTCAAGAGACTGCGGCGGATGAGCCAACTTGTCTTCTAACATCACCCAGAGAGCTGGTTCACAAATGCTGAATTTCTTTTGAGAGGTTCAAGGACTCATCGCTTCAAGATGCAAAAGAATGCCTGCCTTTCGTGCCGTACATCCAAGCTTCGTTGCTCGTTGGAGACGTTCGCCGAGCATAACAAGTGTAAGCGCTGCTTCACCACCAACAACGAATGCGTTTTCAAGACGGTTGCACCAAGGCAAAGGAGAAAGCGCACCGACACCCGCGTCACAGCTTTAGAGCAACACCTGGCAGAGCTGCAGGCCTCGATAGACTCGCAAAGGTTGAGCAGAAATGTTATCGAAGCGCCGCCGCCAATGCCTCAACACATTAACGGTGCATATGCTGGTGAAACTGCAGCTCTGGTTGAAGACAGAAAGTGGTTGCCTCAAGAGCAACAAGACAAACTGGTGGATAGTTGCCACTTGCAGTCGTCTCTAGAGAGGCTGCTTGCCTCCGACCTACTATCAGCAGGCAAAGCTATAGCTCTGTTCAACGACTTTGCCAGCAATGTCCTTACCCAGTATCCCATCGTGGCATTTTCCAGCCACGAAACCTTTGACTGGCTAAGAAAACGCCAACCTACATTACTCCTCGCCGCCATCACTGCAGCATGCAGAGCATCCGACCCGGGCCTCTTTCGAAAGCTTCATTTCCAGTTACGAGGCAACCTATCAGAGCAGGCCATGGTCCGTGGGCACAAGTCTGTTGAGCTGGTCCGGGCCATTCTGGTCATGGTTGAGTGGTACGACACACCCGACGACATGGGGCACTTGAACTTTTACACATGGATCCAGACTGCAGGCCTGATGGTGCGTGAGCTGGGCCTCTGGCCGTGGAGCGAGGAGATTTCACCCGTGGAGCAGCATACCATCGTTGAGTGGCGTACGTCGTTTGCTGCCTATCTGACCATGTCGATGTAAGCGACCTGTTACATCCCCTTCTTTTCTTTCTTCTTTTTTTGGAGATGTTTGTTCGCCTCAGCTGAGACAATCTGAAAGGATTGCTGACCCGACGGGTAGTGCCGCTGTCAGCTTCCGTCGACCCATGTCAATCGTTTGGACTGAAAGTATGCGGAAGGGCTTGGATACCTTTGACAAGAACAGTGTGAATGATGATGACAAACGGTTGGTTGCGTGGGTGCGACTGCAGATGATAGCAGAGGGGGTTGAAGCCGTGAGAATCAAGGCATCATTGGCGCAGCCTGGAGCTGATGCTGCAAGCCTTGTCGATCAACATACCATCTCGTCACTAGAGAGCCGCTTTGGCAGATGGAGAGATGCTGCTCAGCCTGTACTGAACGGTAAGGGGCTTCTTCTTGGGTTCATACCTGTACATCTACCCAGTTTCACTGCCTGGAGTGGCTTTGTTTCAATCTTTTAGCTAACGACAACACACATGGTAGGCTCACTCCGGATGCATTTCTTTTACTGCCGCGTCAAGTTTTACGAGCTGGCCGTCACATGCAGTCCAACGCGGTCAGCACCACACCCAGAGACGCAGCCACCAGCCTTGGCAGCTGTTCGGGACGTGGCCTACATCCGAGCCATCATGTCTCTCATACAGTCTAGTCATTCAGCTCTGGACACCCTGGTACTTTTTGACATTGCAACGTATCGCCGCTGTCCCACCGTCACCAGCATCCGGGCTCTTTATGCGCTGCAGGAGATCATCACAGTGTGGAAGTCGGTATACCATCAACGGGGGTATCTGTCCGAGTTTGTGAGCGAGGAGGTGCTGGCACTCTCGTTCTACGCCAGGCAGACGGAAGAGTTCTTCAAGCAGGCAACAGGGGCAGAAGGATTCGGCATTCCAAAGATGGCACTCGACGCGCTGGCCAATGTCCTGCTCTCTCTCGGAGGCATGAAGAGCCACAAGAGACAGCACCGGGTGCAGCAGCCGGAACTTGTTGGCCAAGAAAAGCAGCAGGGACCAGCCAGAGCGCCACGTCGGATGGCCAATGACCTGGACGTAATCTTAATTATTGACCTGGGCAACATCCAGGCGCCATCTGCGGAGCAAGTCCAGGGACAAGGCCAGGTCCAGGGCCGGGAACGGGAGCAAGACCGGGACCGAGTCTGGGATGATGTGCGATCGGATACAACACTGGAGTGGCCGCCGACGTCTGCCAATGACGGGTTCAACGTTACTCTGGGGGATGTGCTTTTGGCACCGGAATTGGAAGCCATGACGGCTCCAGATTCGGTGATGGACTCGGGCTGGCTATTGTCAGAGTGACGGTGAGTACTGTAGGTGTGTCGATCTGGTTGATCCATGCAAGTACTGTACATGCGAGATGGGAATATGCACGCAGTATGCAGTGATGTTCTGATGAGGAATAGTTACGAGCATGGAGTACGAGTACAGCAATGAGACAGGATTTGATGAGCCGACGAATCAAAAGCTGTCCATCATTTCGTTTCCGTTTCCCCCATTTTCCAGTCGGTTCAACAGCGAGAATGTGATTGATGCTTGAGGGACTCCCCGGTCACAGGGTGAAACCCTACTAACGGACTAATGCAGCGCAGACAAGGATGCTGCTCGTTGAAGTGAGGCTGGGAAAAAGGAACATGTCACTACCGGAGTTTGTCATTGGCCAGCCTAGGTTCTCGTTGTTTGACTTGGTGCTCCTGTTTCAAATGGTTGACGCTCTTCTCACCGGCTTTGCACGACACCCCGGAAGGAAAAAAAAAAGACAGCCACAACTGCCGACAGATTAAACCGAAGCGGCCAGCCATGTCATGTGGCTTGTCCTGTGCATGTACTCGTATGAGTATGAATAGGTACTTGGAGTTTTTGCATTCAGGAGAGTTCGGCAGAGGAGGCTCATTCCTGGTCAGCCAGACAGCCGCATTACAAAAGGGGCTGGGATATCCGTGATCTTGATGATGTAGCGTTCCGAATACACGTATCGGGGAGTGCATAGGAAATGGAGGCTCTTATAGGCTACATGTAGATGTGCATGTAGATGTGCATGTAAATGTGCGTGTAAATGTGCATGCAAATGTACATGTGACAAACCACCCCTTCTGTACTTGGGTAACTGGTACACAGAAAAGCAGGTGCCGCGCTGCGGGATGCCGCGGTTCACGATACCACAACGGCAAGCATCGCCAATCTCAATCTAACCGTTGCGACCCTCCCGCCGGGTACGAGATTTTAGCGTGGGACATCCATGGCTCAACAATGCAAAGAAACAAACAAACCGATGGTGCCGGAGTGGCTGCGGCTGAAGGGCAGGGGTGGCATTTCCACTGTATACAAGACAAGGGTCGGGATATGGATCTGGCGTTTGGTCAAATGCTTGTTTGTCTGGACGGACGGGAGAGGATGTAAGACTGGGACAGATGGAGGGGCCTCTGGTGTCTTGGCCGCCTTTGTCTGGACGCCTTGAGAGTGCTAATATAACGGGTTCATCCATACATCCCCTTGTCTCGCGGGGGATTTTTCAGCTAGGCCAGTACCTGTATCTCGGCGATGCAGTGGATGGAAGGATGAAGCGCTGAGAGAGGGCCCTGAAGCTCAATTCATTCTAGGCTGTCAGTACCTAGGTATCCATATATTATACTGCCTTGGCCTTGACCTGATCTGGTCTGCACTACATGCAACAGGATCGCCTCGGCAGATCTCAGCGTATCTTAGCTCATGGCTCGAGGCACTTGCCTCCTCCCGACGGACAGATCCCGAGCCATCTCCATGATGCCATTGGAAGGAATCAGTGCTGAGATGCCCTCAATCCGATTCACCGTCAGGGCATTCCCGGTTCTCGGATCTCGTACACAGTGTTTCTTCCTCCCTGCGCACGTGCGCTAAATCCAATCTGCGCATCCACGGCCCACAGGCATGGACCACCTAACGGTCGCTAAGCCACCTTGGGAACTGCCTGCGACATCCGCAGCCAATCATCCTTCTCCTGCACCCACTGTGAAATCGCCGCTAATGTACCACGTGATTGCGCCATTCCCTTTCGGACAGCTCCCGCCGTTCTTGCTCAAGCTCTCAGCCCCACCAAAGGGCCGCTGTCTCTCTTGTGCCGTTTTCGAGATGGCAGCAGCTCGGCCTTCTGCACCGTTGGATCGTCGCCTTGGCAGCTGGAAGCACCAAAATGTGCTTTTCCATCGTCAGTTTTGTTGCTGTTGTTCCTTTTCTCACTCCTCATCTCTGCCCCTATTTATCTCTTCTAATTCAGTTCCACACCGGGGTTGCGTGTATATAACCTTCGCTGTCGTCTCTCCGTCTCTTCTCCTTGACTTCCCACAACCACCGCGAAAGAAGCCAGTTATAGAGTCTCAAAGAGCTGAAAGGGGGGGGAAATTACCAACATGGATCAGTCCGCCTCTCCCCAGCGATTCAAAACTTCGTGCACCGAATGCCAAAGGAGGAAACAAAAAGTACGCTCGCCTTGAGTCACGACGCCCAGCAGTTCTGGATACCTGTATATTGACTTCTTCTACCATCCAGTGCAATCGCATCTTCCCTTGTGTACACTGCAAGAATCGGGGAGTTCAACGGAATTGCAACTTTAAAGAAAAGCCATCGAAACCAGCTAATCAACCACCACAAGCGAGTGGTGCCACTACCAGCAAGACAGCCGGTGGAGTTGGGGCTTCCAAGAAACGATCTCGAGGCAGCAGCGAAGATTCCAGTTCCGATGGTGAATCTGATGAAGACACTGGAAATGGAGGACTCGGTTCCGTTGGTCAAGATGGCATCGCTGTGAACTCGGATAACCCAGGCCCCCTCGTACCTGAGCAGTCTGGTGGTCAACCTACGCAGCTTCCCCCCGTTATACAGGTACGGCTTGTTGAATCATCAGAGTTACTACCTGTTGATGAAAATCCCATACTTACCCGTTACTCTCCTTTCCAGACCAGACAACCCCGACCTCGACGCAGCAGGCAGTACTACCTTTCGCCCGCGACCTGCCCAGAACTCCGCGCTGCACTCTCCATTCTTCCAGAAGACCGAAATCACGTAGGTATGTCTGCTGTCAGGGCGACCGATTTCCTCTTCCCGTCTCCGACTTATGCTACATCGTTCTCTTTCGACTGACCAGACGCTGCGATTGCCTACTCATAGATGCCCTCATACTGAGCTTTTTCCAAAACGTAAACCCGCACTATGGCATGATTCACAAAACCGATTTCAGCAGGGAGTACAATCGTTGGTGGAAAAAAAGGGGCAGAAATCAACCGTTGCCCGGTCCGTGGACGTGTCTGTTACTGATGATGTGCGCGTGTGCCTGTCAGCATTTACCTGTCGACATACAGAAGAAGCTCGTGAAAATGCTCGGACATAGCTGCCAGGAGTGTACCGAGGCTTTTCATTATTCAGCACGCTATCTCTACAGTGCCATGCCTACCGGTCATTACCACAAGAACAATGTCTTGTGGCTCTTGCATTCGACGTACTGGTACAAAGCCGAGGCCATGTTTGTCGAGGCCTGTCATATGTTCTATACGGCCGTTCGTGAAGCCCAGGAACTCGGTTTGTTGTTTCCGTGGCTCAGGTCTCCCATTATGCTGATAGCCGCTGACCTTGTCCTCATGATAGGATTCGATACGGAACTAGATGTAAACAACGTGCCCAACTTTGAACTCGAAATACGGCGGAGAGCTTGGTGCGTAATCGACTCCTGGGACTGGTGAGTTTTCCGCAGACCTTTCTTTCGCCTTAGAAGCAAAGCGTAGTACGTGCATTTAGACATTGTAACTGACGTATTGTTCAGGCAGATAGCTTCCGGATTGGCTCGAGATACACTGGTCGATCATAGCAAATGTAATGCGAAACGCCCATCATTGACGTTGGAAACGGACGGCGAATTCTCTCCTTTGATGCATATGAAGATGCAGTCGGACCTGGTACATAAATTAGCTGGCCGCTTCCCTTGCCCGGCCCAAATCAAAACACGCGGCGATGTCATGGAATACAAAGGCATGATTGACGAGTGGATGCGGAATTTCCCTCCCATCTTTGCATTGACAAACCCGGACACGTCAAATGACAAGAAGCAGGCCTGGATCGAGTATCACCGCCATTACAACTACACCATGGGATACATGATGGTTCTTAACCCGTTTCGGCCGCACATGGCGCTGCCATACACCGACGAGTCTTCTGCGGAGGAGCTAGAGCTTCGTAGGATTGCGGTTGATTTGACCTTGCTGTTAGTTCAAGTCTTGGACAACTGGCTAAAATTCCTCACCTTTCGGGACGGGCGATTTCATTTCATCATCTTTTCTCTCGTTGATGCCGCAACTGTGATGAGCAACATGGTGCTCAACGACAAAGCCCAGACGCTTCCTCGCCGAGATGATGTTTACCGCGCCATCAAGACTACCCTGGTGCTCCAGAGGAAGCTCTACTTCTTGTCAGACTCTGCCAAGCTGGGGTTCAGAATGGTTCAGAGAATCGTCAGGCACCTATTTCGCTCAATGCCTACAGAATACTTGAGCTCGCTGGAGAATGGTGGTCACGACGATACAAATAGCGACAACACGCGACCGGTCCCATCAGCCGCACCAGATCAAGCCTCGGGTGGTGCGCTGATGAATATTCAATACATTGATCCTGAAGCTCCCTTGGGCCCTAGCTTGTGGGATCTACTAGCCGCTGAGATCCCGGTCTCGGCGTCTGATGCTGGAACTGGATCACAACTTGTTCCGTATTCTGAATATGGGGTACCTAGTTACAATGGTGGTGCGACCGTGGTATTTGACGGACATATCGGCAACATGAATTCACACATGATGCCTAAAGACCAGGCAAACACGTCTTGCCAAAATATTTCAGCTATACCCGCGACATTTCCTCTTGCTGAACCCACAGTATTCACTATTAATGCGGAACCTGCACCCATGGATTACCCATCATCGGCATCTCTAACTTCAGTGTCATCTGCATCTCCAAGCTATGTTACAGCATTGACTCCAGAAAGCGTTGCAAGTGCAGCCGCTCCTATTGAATCTGCGTCTCCCAGGCACGCTTCTACTTCATCGCCAGGCTACATTTCCGCCGTATCTCCAAATGTTGTTGCGGCCCCGTCTTCAGGCCACATTACATCTGCGGCTTCGAACTATATTGCGACGACACCCGCTTACTTTGGGCCTGTCCCGGCTGGTCAAGTCTCAAATGCGCCGCTGAGCAATTTTGCTGATGCTTCTTTACCGTTGAATCACATGGCTAGTGTGCCTCTGAACGATGTCCTGGACTATTCTACAGTCTATGCTGCGGGCGCATCTCTGACCTATAATGCAGCCATGCCAACTTATGTTGACCCCTTATTTCTTTCGACACTTAGTCCATCTGAATCTTCCGAGTTCATTCCGGATGCCTCTGCATCCAATATAGAGCCTTTCACCGGACTAACGCCCTCATCTTTTTCTCAAATCGTTCCGAATACTACGACTCACGACACTTCCACGCCACATCTTTTTTGGCCAGGTTATCATAATGCAGCACTGTATACCACACCCAATTCTCATGAACCTTTATTAGGGTATGGCATTGCCGCGCCATTTAATGCTCCCTCGACTTATGCAACTCCCGCCACATATCGCTCTCCGGAAAGCCGCGAGAGCACTGAACAAAGCTTGACTCTTCCGGCGGGATATGGCACGCCTTCCTCTGTGCTTTTTCCTACGGCTAATAGCCCTTCTAATACTTACACGTCACCCTCGGAGGGCTATGCGTCTCCGGAGAATCGTGGTGCACCAGTGGATTATACTAGTCCAACACCCGCTCGAACTGCTTTACTTTGCGCTGATGGGGATTATAATGCCCATACAGTTTCCACGCTGTATGAGACTCCGGAGTCTTATCACACTGCGCCAGCTTATGCCACGCCTGTGGATGACTCTGGATCTGATGTACAGCCTCCCGTTTGAACTTGTACATACTGACGGGTCGCATGAAGACTAAGGGATGGTTTTCATCTTCTTTGCCCGCATAATTGTTAGCGTTGACTGGGGTTCCTTTGGCGTTATTACATGGTTTATATCGCCTTTGGAGCCGATTTTCTGTATTTTTGGATAACATCTTGGGATTGGTTGATCCAATTCTAGATATACGCATTTCCTTTGTAATAGTGAGCTCAATTGGGCCTGGGAGGAAATTGGATGCCTTTTTGTACTGCCTTAATAACCCAAATGATCTCCAGCTGACTGCATACATCAATACCTTACCCAGCAATAGCATATATAGAACGTCAATGGCACACACATGTCCCCCTTCAATATAAACTTTGTGCTTTTATATATTAGTATGTAACACCTACTTACAGGTAACCCACTTCTACTTCGTCTTCACCTCAAATTCATGTGTCATTGAGCCTCAATCTCACCGCGTCAAACCGCAGCACCTTTCCCTTTGCGTACCGTGTCAAGGAGCAAGGGCAAAAGTCCCTGTTCCACGAGAAGAGCGAAAGTGGCCTGTTTGCCTCTCTGCCCCACCAACTCCAGGGATCTTTTGTGATGGATCTTCATGGTTAATCCTCGGAGCCTGGGCCGGACTGAAATTTTCGGGACATCCATTCCTTGCGTGAGCTGCTGTTTTTCATTGCATGGCATAGCATAGCATGGCATAGCATAGCCGTGCGCTCTGCAGACGTGACATTTGATCTTATCAAGGTCGGGGTTGGGTGTCAATAAGAACCTTGGAAACCTGAACAAAGCACGGGCAGCAGAGATTACCACTGGAGAGTGCACAACGTCAATTCCATTCCCCTGAAGCGAACCCCTCCAGGGCTCTCTCTACTCTCTACAGCACCAGGCCGACAGCAACAGCTCAATACAGCATGGGGTGGCTGCAGCCTCTCCGGGCCGCCAAAAGGCCCCCCCGCCACTCACTGACGCTGCGACCGACCCCGCCATTCAAGCTGGAGGGGCTCTCGAGGTCCAGGAGCTCCTCGGGCTGGTGTGTCGCCTGCCGTGCTTCTGCTTCTGCTTCCTCTCCTCATTCTTATACACCGTCACCGCCTTCTCTTCGCAAGAGGCCACTTTCTTCTTCTCTTGCATTCTCCAGCTCTTCTTCATTCTCCTCTCTTTCTTCTTCTTCTTCTTCTTCTTCTTCTTCTTCTTCTCACTCCTCCATTTCCCCTCCATCAGCATCCGCATCATCCGCATCATCCTCACTCTTCTCCTCTCCTCTCTCACTATCACTATCATCGTCGTCGTCGTCGTCGCCGTTCCCGCGCCTTCGTCTTGCTCGACGTCCTCCCGTTGCTCCGACTCCCTCGTCTGCTCGCTTCTGCTCCGCCATGTGTCGATCCAGAGCTGGTCTCGAGGGCTCGGCCTCGGCCGCCGTCCAGGGCCGCGAGCTGCTGCCCGCCAACGTGATCCCTCGTCATTACCACCTGACGGTCGAGCCCGACTTTGAGAAGCTGACGTACAACGGCTCTGTCGTCATCGATCTTGACGTTGCCGAGACCTCCAACTCCATCTCCCTCCACACTCTCGAGCTGGATATCCATGGCGCAAAGCTCTCCTCTGGTGGCCAGGCCGTTAGGTGAGAAACCTGTCCTTTTGCCATTGCCGCAGCTCTATTCGTTACAAAGACAATTAGAAGTGCTAATAGTTACGTGTGCCGCCTTTACAGTGCCACGCCTGCCGTCACCTACGATGAAGCTACCCAAGTGACCAAGTTCGACCTTGGCGGCTCCCACACCCTCGAAAAGGGCACCAAGGTGCAGCTGCAAATCGACTTCACCGGCCAGCTCAACGACAAGATGGCGGGCTTCTACCGCTCTACATACAAGAGGCCAGATGGTACTGAGGGTATCTTGGCCAGCACCCAGATGGAGCCCACCGACGCCCGCAGAGCATTCCCCTGCTTTGACGAGCCGGCGCTCAAGGCCAAGTTCACCGTCACGCTCGTTGCCGACAAGAACTTGACGTGCTTGAGCAACATGGACGTTGCCTCTGAAACTGAAGTTCAGTCCAAGATTTCCAAGGGAACCAAAAAGGCTGTCCACTTTAACCCCTCGCCTCTCATGTCCACCTACCTCGTCGCCTTTGTCGTCGGCGAGCTCAACTACATTGAGTCGCGGGACTTCCGAGTCCCCGTCCGAGTTTATGCTCCTCCCGGCCAGGACATTGAACACGGACGCTTCTCCGTTGACCTGGCCGCCAAAACTCTTGCGTTTTACGAAAAGGCCTTTGGTGTCGACTTCCCCCTCCCCAAGATGGATCAAGTCGCCATTCCCGACTTTGCTCAGGGAGCCATGGAGAACTGGGGTCTGGTCACTTATCGAGTTGTCGATTTGATGCTGGACGAGAAGGCGAGCGGCGCCGCCACCAAGCAGCGCGTGGCCGAGGTTGTCCAGCATGAGCTGGCACACCAGTGGTTCGGTAACTTGGTTACCATGGACTGGTGGGAGGGCCTCTGGCTCAATGAAGGATTCGCCACCTGGGCTTCGTGGTATTCCTGCAACATCTTTTATCCCGAGTGGCGCGTTTGGCAAACATACGTCACGGATGATTTGCAGTCTGCTCTGTCGCTCGACTCCCTCCGAAGCAGTCACCCGATCGAGGTGCCCGTCAAGCGTGCTGACGAGATCAACCAAATTTTCGATGCCATCTCCTACTCCAAGGGATCCTGTGTGCTCCGCATGATCTCCACATACCTTGGAGAGGACAAGTTCTTGGAGGGTGTCCGCAAGTACTTGAACAAGTACGCCTATGGAAACACCCAGACTAGCGACCTTTGGGACTCGTTGGCCGAGGTTAGCGGCAAGCCTGTCCACGAGGTCATGACTGCTTGGACCAAGAAGGTCGGATACCCAGTCCTCACTGTCACCGAGAAGGAAGGCGAGAGCTCTATCCACGTGAAGCAGAACCGCTTCCTCCGTACCGGTGACGTGAAGCCCGAGGAAGACACCACCCTGTACCCCGTCTTCTTGGGCCTCAAGACCAAGGATGGTGTTGATGAGACCATTGCTTTGAAGGAGCGAGAGCAAGAATTCAAACTGCCCAGTACCGACTTCTTCAAGCTCAATGCCAACCACACTGGAATCTACCGAACTCTCTACTCGCCTAGCCGCTTGGAGAAGCTGGGCAGGGCCGCAAAGGAAGGTCTTTTGTCCACGGAGGATAGGACCGGCATGATTGCAGATGCTGCCGCTCTCTCCAGCTCCGGCTACGGAAAGACGTCTGGCGTCCTTAACCTCCTCAAGGGATTTGACGCGGAGACGGAGTTTGTCGTGTGGAACGAGATCATCTCTCGAATTGGATCGATCCAAGCTGCCTGGCTATTTGAAGACCAAGCCGTTCGGGACGGTGTCCGAGCATTCTTGAGAGAAATTGTCAGCTCAAAGGCCCATGAGCTTGGATGGGAGTTTTCCGACTCGGACGGCCATGTTGAGCAGCAGTTCAAGGCTACACTCTTTGGCAGCGCTGGCTTGAGCGGCGACGAGAAAATCATTTCAGCCTCCAAGGAAATGTTTGCCAAGTTCATTGCTGGCGACAAGTCGGCGATTCACCCCAATATTCGCAAGAGCGTTTTTGCAATTGCTCTCAAGTTTGGCGGCAAGGAAGAAGTAAGTTTTTATCCCCTCTTATCCAAGCAAGTAGCGAGGAGATGTGCATAGGAATGGAGTTGTACTGACAATGCGCGCGTAGTATGACAAGATCATTGAGCTGTACCATGCTTCGACCAACAGCGATGAGCGCAACACCTGTCTGCGGTCTCTGGGCCGAGCCAAGGACCCCGAGCTTATCAAGAGGACCCTGGCCCTGTTGTTGAACGGCGAGGTCAAGGACCAAGACATTTACATGCCTGCTTCGGGCCTGCGCACCCATCCGGAGGGTATCGAAGCCCTGTTTACTTGGATGACGGAGAACTGGGAGGAGCTCTACAAGCGACACCCACCCACCCTGCCCATGCTCAGCTCCATGGTGTCGCTGTTGACATCTGGCTTCACCACGTCAGAGCAGCTGGCCCGCGTCGAGAAGTTCTTTAGCGGCAAGAACAACAACGGCTACGACCAGTCGCTTGCACAGAGCAAGGACGCCATCCGATCCAAGATTTCCTGGTTGGAGCGAGACCGCCAGGACGTGGCAGACTGGGTCAAGACCAATGGATATTCGAAGTAGGTGGGCTCACTCCTCTTTGAAGGGATATATCACGGCAATGCAAATGAAATAAATAAAAAGAGAACGGGGGAAGAAATTTTGGCCGGTCTTTGAGCATATGATACCAGTTTACCATTGCTAATACACCGTGGTGAAGATATATGCTGTCGTATAAGTTGTGACACCCTGTCTGCACAAAACTGGAAATGCCCATCTGGGAGAATGTATACGTGCCCGTGTCCAAAGTACATGCGTATAAAACAACTAAAACATAGTATGTCAAACACTTGACTACACAAAACGCAATCATTCCTTTAAAGTGACGTCTGGAAGAAGCCACCAGCACACGCCGCCGCCGACAATCAAGGCGGTAACAATTGGCTGCAGAACCTGAACACCAGCACTGGTTGCAATGAGGCCGGTAAACGAGGGAAAGATGGCGGCACCAGCTTGTGCCAGAACAAAGATGAGGCCTGATTCACACCAATTGTAAGCATCAATACTTGAGTCTTATCCGTCTGAGTACTTTGAAGGAGAAAGAAGAGGAAACCCACCCAGTCCTGTAGACTGAACCTTTCTCGGGATAATCTTGGCCGACACCCTCATGCCCGTGGCAAAGTAAGGTCCGAAGAAGAAGCCCATGAGGGCGTAGGCGGTGGCGCTGGCGACGAGGTTGGGGAGCAGCCAGAAGAGCAGCTGGAGGACGAGGGTGGCGAGGCTGTAGAGCAGGATCATGCGCTGCTCGCCGAGGCGGAAGGTCGGCTCGGCGAGGAGGGTGCGGCCGAGGACGACGCCGGCCCAGAAGCCGGTGGGGAGGTAGCCGACTTGGGAGAGTTTGCCGTGGCGGCGTTGGGTGATGTATTCGACGACCCAGCCTGTTGTTGATTTACGTTAGTTGATGTGTTGGGTTGTGGTGTTGTGTAGATGAAAGTGGAAGAAGGACTCATACCTCCTGAGGTGGACCAGGCACCCGATTGGAAAAAGTAAAAGGCGCTCATGAGCCAGACGTTCTTTAGCTTGAGGAGTTGGCCTACTTCCTGTAACGCCTCCTTGTTGCGTCTCTCTTCACGCTGGGCCTCTGCGGACTGTGATTTCATGAGGAAGAGGGTATCCCCAAAGGCCAGCGCAACGGCAACCAGATTCAAAGCACAAGTCCCGAGAGTCACGTAGTACACCATTCTCCAACCCCCTTCACGGCCCCCCTCAGCAGTAGCAATAGCCGTCGAGATGAGCGGACCGACGAGGCCTCCTAGCGCGTACATGGCGTGGATGAAGCTCAGCCAGCGATGGGAATCCCGGACAGCGCTGACGTACGTGTTGGAGTGGGTGTCCTGGAAGGCCATGCCCAGGGCCTGGAAAAAGAAGGTGGCGAAGAAGAGGGAGTAGGGAGCCCATGGACGGAGGGTTTGGGCAAGGACTTGGAAGAGGGCGCCGATGAGGAGGAGCTTGCCGAGGTGGAGGTGGGCTGCGAGGAAGGGGTTTGTGAGGGCTGCGAGGAGCCAGCCTGCGAAGATGCTGGCGTAGCTGGCGGTTGATTTTGTTTTTAGATGCGACGGAAGTTTTGTATAAAGAAGGATTTGACTTACATGATGGCGATGTGACCTGTGCCGATGGAAAACGCGTCGAGAATGTGTGGTACTAATGGGCCGAGAGTTGCTGAATCCAGGCCGGCGCAGAAGAAGGAGAATCCGGAGACTAGGATCTTGAAGATGGGTAGAGGGGGTTGAGGGTCGGATGTTTGTCCTCCTGTTTCTGGATCTGCGACGGCATTGGAACAAGATTGTCTGGGTTGAGCTTCGTGGATGATGGTTCCTAGCTCGATGGGGGCTGAGGAGGGTTGTGGAGGTTCTACTGTTAGGGTTGCTGTTTTGGAGCTGGACATTTTTTTTTATTGTGATTGGTGTAATTGATGATGAACAAACAATGTTTTCGATACAATTCAATTCCATTCCTCCGGCGTGAGACTCATTCACGCAGATACGACTGATACGGCTCATCCCTGATTGCTGCATATCCCCGCTTATAGGCACCCTCCGTGGCTCACCTGCGGCTTCGGTGGCGGCCGGCCGAAGCGGATCCCGGAGCGGCTCTTTTGTGTGTCATTAGTTCAGTGTATTTTATGCTTTTGACTCATTTGTTTTTTTTTTAGTAGGGGCTTTTTGGAGTATAAAGAGCTGGGAGACGTCGCTCTTGTTTGGGGAGATTTCCAAAACTTAAAAAAGGTTTCGCAAATTGGCGACGATATTCTTGTGCTACTGCTATTGCCCGTTGTTGTTAATTTGCTTTACCCTCTATCTATCATATCTTTTTTCTTTTCTAAATTAATTGCAACCGTCCTTCATTTGCTCTGGTACGTGGAGCTCTTTTTCTCTTTGGTTTTTTTTCTCTTTTCTTTTTGTTTCGTTGAGTTTTCGCACTTTTATTCAAAGCCTGTTTTTAGCTGTTGTCTTGTCTTACGTCAACGTGTGCCTCGGAAATGTCGTCAGCCGTTCATAGTTGTAATTGTATCAAATAAACATTAATTGACGCCAATCCTCTAGAAAGACAAAGAACAAAAACCACCATCCCTCACCTCTTCAGCCGTAAAATAAAAGGCCGTGGTGGTTGGGTCATTTCCCTCCTCCCAAAATGTGTTCTCACCACAGAGAAGAGAGTGACAGAGAAAATACCCCTCAGCCGCCCGAGACTCCTCAAGATGGCGTGCTTCCAAGAGATATTCCTCAACGCACGACCTTTTACGACTCTGTCGTTGAGCGGCAAATGTCTCAGGCTGACGCTAAGCTGTTCTATCAGCGAAGCCAGCTAGACAGCTCCGGTGCTGCGGACCCAGTGTCGTCCTCGTATAATGACCCCGTTGCAGCGCTGGCATCAAGCGGCGGCCTGGAATATGAGGGCGACTCTGCGCTGTCCGAATCTTTTGGCAAGGCTTCTGTGCCTGGACTTGACAGTGCTAGACTTGCAGCTGAGGCCACCAGGGGAATCTCCAATATCAACTTCCTCGACCCTCAGCCACAGGTGACGGCAGAGTTGAGCTCTATTTCCAGGAGCATCGAAGACATTATCGCGCTGAGGCAAAGATACATGGCCCTCTCGCTGCAGCGATATGGCGATGACCCTAGAAATGGTGCCGACTGGCAGATTTATCCCCCTGGAGACAAGCCTGGAGATGGCTTCGACATGGAGCATGTCCTGCCGCTGCCTTCAAACGACGACGGCATGACGTTCAAGCTGAGCGATGCTGGTGTCTACGAGGTCTTTGAGGGTGCCGATTCCGAAACACCCGCTTTCCAAATCCCAACCATCAGGCAGTTCTACATGGACCTCGACAGCATCCTTACCGCCTCGTCAGACGGGCCTAGCAAGAGCTTCGCCTTCCGCCGCCTCCAATACCTCGAAGGCAAATTTAACCTGTATGCACTTCTAAACGAGTATCAGGAAACTGCCGACAGCAAAAAGGTGCCTCACAGAGACTTTTACAACGTCCGAAAAGTAGACACTCACGTGCACCACTCGGCGTCCATGAACCAGAAGCACTTGCTGCGCTTCATCAAGAGCAGGATGAAGAAGAACCCTGATGAGGTTGTCTTGTTCCGTGACGGGAAGCACTTGACGCTTGCCGAGGTGTTTGCTAGTATTAATCTTACGGCGTATGATTTGAGTATTGATACGCTTGATATGCACGTATGTCATCTACGACTTGTTAGATGATGACTTTGTGAGCTGACTGGAAACAGGCCCACGTGGACTCTTTCCACCGATTTGACAAGTTCAACTTGAAATACAACCCCGTTGGAGAATCTCGACTTCGAGAAATCTTCTTGAAAACGGACAACCTAATCAAGGGCCGCTATCTAGCCGAGCTTACCAAAGAAGTCATTTCCGATCTGGAAGCCAGCAAGTACCAAATGGCTGAGTGGCGTCTATCCATCTATGGTAAATCACTAGATGAATGGGACAAACTTGCAGCCTGGGTCGTCGATAACAAGCTGTTTTCGCAAAACGTCCGCTGGCTCATCCAGATTCCCCGGCTGTATGATGTTTACAAGGACAATGGCTTGATGGAGTCGTTTGACCAAGTCGTCACCAACGTCTTCCAGCCACTGTTTGAAGTTACCAAGGACCCGTCCAGCCACCCGAAGCTGCACATTTTCCTCCAGCGCGTCGTCGGTCTCGACAGCGTCGACGACGAGAGCAAGATTGAGAGGCGCCTATACAGGAAGTTTCCGGTCCCAAAGGAGTGGAACACGAAGCAGAACCCGCCGTACAACTACTGGATCTACTATCTCTTCGCCAACATGGCGTCTCTCAACTCTTTCCGCCGGAAGCGTGGCTTCAACACTCTTATCCTGCGGCCGCACTGCGCTGAAGCTGGAGACCCGGAGCATTTGGCCGTCGCGACGCTTTGCTGTCATAGCATCAGCCACGGAGTGCTGCTCCGAAAGGTCCCGTTGTTGCAGTATGTGTTTTACCTGGAACAGATCGGAGTGGCCATGTCGCCGTTGAGCAATAACGCCTTGTTCCTGTCATACGACCGCAACCCGTTCCCTCAGTACTTCAAACGAGGTCTCAACGTGTCCCTCTCAACCGACGACCCTCTGCAGTTTGCATACACAAAGGAGCCTCTGATGGAGGAATACGCTGTCGCCGCGCAAATCTACAAGCTCAGCCCGACAGACATGTGCGAGCTGGCCAAGAACTCGGTCAAGCAGAGCGGTTACGAGGCGGCGGTTAAGGCGCAGTGGCTGGGACCCTGCTTTGACAAGCCTGGCAGAGAAGGAAATACCATGGCCAAGACGAATGTTCCCGACCGGAGAGAGGAGTTTAGGTATTCTACCTTGTTGACGGAGCGAGAGGTGTAAGTGTCTTTCTTCTTCTCTTGTTGTTGCTATGAGAATGTGTTGCTGATCATTTTTTTTTTAATGGCTGCTGTACAGACTGAGCCGATACGCCGCATTTGATCCAAATGCAGAGAAGAAGAGCATCAGTGCCGAACTGGCCTCGAAATCATCCGTTGGAAATATCCCCTCCTCTGGCGCGACAGAAGCTGCGTCAAGCATCACGAGCCCAACATCAGAAGCATCGTCCCTTCGTAAGACGCCCAGTTCAGCTGCGGATGTGCACATTTCTGGAAATGATCCGATGATATTTCCAGGAATTCTGAGTCGGGATACTAGTCGCCGCAATCTGACCAAGGTTGATAGCTGGGGGATTCAGTCGACTGAGCATCCTAGCCCGGGGACAGATTGAAGGGCACCTACGATTGTGTTTGGGGATTGGATCTTTTCGCGTTGCATTTTTTCCATGATACATGTATGAAATATCTGAGGCCTAGTATTAATAGTTATATGAAGCGTTCGTCAGTACCAACTAACCATGAGTCCATCTTGAATGGTGAGAAGCTGCATATACCGAGAACTGGGCGCTTGTATTTCATTCAAGCGTAATTGGTTTAGTGGTAAAATTCTCCGTTGCCATCCGAGCAACGTCGGGGAGCCCTGGGTTCGATTCCCAGATTACGCATAGAAACTCATTTTTTGGCACCTGGCGATGATTTTTGTGGGCTCAACTCGTCGTGGAGTCGTGATGGACTCTGGTGGGGTTACTCGGCCTCGGTGATGATGTTATCAACGTTGCCAATGTCACATATGTACCCCTCTGATGCTCTTGAACGTTCATATGATGATGTATGGAGAAGTGGAAGTTGAGACGCTGTGCAAGTATATCGGAATTTTGTAATCATGACAGATGACAACCTCGCCAGATTGTAAGTGTGGTTCTTGTTTCTACCTTAGGTAGCGATACTGGGCATGTTAATCCCGCCTTGAGCGACATAATCGATGAGCCCAGTTGGACTTGCTTCTTCGTCGAGAAGAAGCCCCATGTCGTATGCCAGCTTCTCAAACAGGTGCTTCAGCAACCCATTCATACCAAGTGTTTGCGGCCCTCCAGAAGAGTGAACTATTTCTGCAAGCCCACGTACATGCTGCCTAGATGCAGCGATATTGCCAGCTTGTATCTATACATCTGGCATTAGTCCATGTCAGATTCTATCAGTATTCGGTTATACAACAGGCACTTACCTCATCTAATGTCAAGGATATAATGGTGGCAGTTATCGAGTCTCTCGTCGAGCAATTCCCAGCATCAATAGCCTCTCTAATAGCGCGAATGCAGAGGATTCTATACTGCATCGCCAACGTAATATACTCCTCTTTCTGGTAGACTTGATGTAAATGGCGGCAGGTGGATAAGAATGTAGTGCTCAACAGGTCCGCGTTGGATATGGCTAGCCGGATCCAGCTTATCCGGAGCTGGTGGTGGTGGATGCTTGGATCCTTGAGTATCATGCACTTGGATCCATACTGGGTAGTGACTATTGTGATATCTGGAGTCTATTAATCAGCGAAATGAGAGAACATCTCCGCTGAACCACCAATGACAAGCGACAGACCAACTTACAATGGTCAAAGAGGTAGTGCTCCAGCGGCGAAAGTGGCCTAGCAAAGCATCCAAAAGGATCCCGCCGACTAGATGTGAGCTGACCGACAGGGTTGGGAATCACAACAGGGCACCTTTTGGGTCCAATCTTGACCAAATGGTTGTCCCTCCGCTCTGTGGCTTCACCGGCTTGACCTTTCTTCACAGGCGGAATACTCGGTTCCACATTGTTGGCCTGGTTCGCGGCTTTCCGAGCATGCTTCACTCTGGCATGAGATACCCGAGCGGCATGTGAGTACGCGCGGCGTTGTAACTTGGAAGAAGCTCCTTGCGAAGGATGTGACAAATTTATAAACTCAATCTTGCTCTCCATTGGTAGCAGCACTCCGGAGTTGAGCCTCGTTCAGCTACAGACGAGAGCGCATCATGCAGAACCAGCTGTGCCCAAGCGGCTCGCGTACTAACGTGGGGGGTTGAGATCGGAATAATCGCGTGAGATAATATGACGGAGTATGATCCAGGGCGTGGTGGAGGAAGTGCTTGTCCTAAATCTCTCTTGTATGTGTGTTTGTGTGATGCCATCGCTGAAATTCCGACGTTTACAAAACATTTTGCTGCTTTGATCAATGTACCTTCGTACTCTTTCCTGATTTGGATAGACCCCGCTTACCAGGATTATTTCGGGGTTTTACAAAAGAACCCCCATATTAATCAAGATGCCGAGAATTCAGCATAAGAAACTTTACTCTCCGTACAGATACTCGCAGTTATGAACAGCTCCAAGGCCAGAATGCCTGGATATCATGTATAAAATACTTGGGTAATCCTGGGTGTAGAGGATGCCCCCACGTGTACTCATGTACTCTTTCTAAACTGGGAATAACGGCATACCCTGGACAATTAGAAGACTGGAGTAGATTGCACGGAATTATATTGTGTCAAAGTGTTGATAATTATTGCATCAAAGGCGGAGAATGTTTCTCCGCATTATTATTGCGGACTTGAAACTGGCCGGAGGTATAAGAAGCCTGGAATGTATCTAGTTAGTGATTGCTATTCTTCTTTATCACTATAGTCACACCAAGAATTCATCTCTGAGCCTAAATCACAATGGCTGCATCTAAGCAGGTTAACGTGGCCATCATCATCACTAGCACCAGACTTGTTAGAGTTGGGCCGTCAATTGCCAACATTGTCAAAGACATTCTTGAAAAGGAAGACGGAAACGAGACCAAGCTCTCCTTGGTTGACCTTGCAGACTTTAAGCTGCCAATCTACGACGAGAGCGTTGTTCCGTACCAAGTTCCCTCCCAGGCAACTTATGCCAACGAGCACAGCCGCCACTGGAGTGCCGAAATCTCCAAATACGACGCCTACATCCTGGTCATTCCCGAATACAACTACGGCGTGGCGGGAAGCACAAAGAATGCGATTGACTACTTGAGGAATGAGTGGATCGGGAAGCCAGCAGCCATCGTAAGCTACGGCATGACGGGCGGCAAGAATGCTTCGGAACAAGTCAAGGTCTCGCTTGAAGGAACAGAGCTTCGCGTGAGCCCTACACGGCCTCAGCTCATATTTGCAAAGAATGGTGAAACATCAGACATCTTTGCTGCCATGCATAAGGGCGAGCTAGGGGAGAAATCCCGCGAGGTTTGGACCACTGAGAATAAGAAGGATATTGTAAAGGCTTTCGCGGAGCTCAAAGAGGCAATCAAGAATCCCCCGGCAGCTAAAGAAAAATAGACATGGATAACTGATATATGTAATCCTTCTATCAAGGAATATTGGAGCACAATGGATTGATCTTCTTTGAGAACATCGGTTACACGATAGAAAATGATTTGGTTGCAGCTTCATATCCAATGTCACTGATAATTATCTCGCATAAACCTTTGTGATTATACTCATCCTACTCTTAATATGTCGGCTTTGTCCAATACGAAGATTCTTCGCTCGGTGTTACAACACATATAACGTCGCCGTGTGGATAAGCCACAGAGTCTTCCATCCTATGCCCAGCTAAGCTCAATATTTCCACCCACTTGCTTACTGTTGAACCACTCTACAATCTCAATCTTCTCTACCACCGGTCTTGCACCATCTAACACACGGCTTCGAACCAGAGCTTCAGAAGCCCACCAAACAATTGCAGAGGCAAAATTGCGGGCAATGCATTGCCGCGGACCTTTGCCAAAGTGAAAACTGTCTCGCAACATTTCCGGCGTACACTCCATCCAGCGCTCTGGCATGAATTCATATGGATTTGGAAACACCTCAGAATTGAAATGCAGCGAGTAAGCTCCAATTCCAACGCTTGTACCAGCTGGAATGGTCGGCAGACCCGGGACATTCAACCCTCCCAATGGGACAACCCGGGGAAGACGAGTGGGATTGGCCAGTGCTAGACGGCAAGCTTCTTTAACTGCTCCTGATAGAAGAGGGAGAGATCGAGCGTCGATGCCAGGGTTCTCCATGATCTCCTTATAAATACTCTCGAGCCTAGAGGAACGGTTAACAGGGTGCCCATACGTGCAGTCAAGGCCCACTCACTTATCGGGTGCCTGGGTAAGATGCCAACAAAAGACAGCCAGAACCCTAGCAACCCCATCTGTGCCTGCAAACATGATATCCATTACCTGTGCTATAGTTTCTTCTCGTGAGAGATTTGCATTGAGAAGCCGTCCTTGGTATGTTTCTTTCTCTCGTCGAGCCATACTGCCATGCACAACTTTGGCTGCAAACTCCTGAACGATATCCGTACTCGTGGTTATTAGTACATTATTCTTGTCAAATTTCGCAGCCCAACCATTAGCAAAGCTGAATAACCAATTTGGAAGATAAAAAAAGCGACCGCCTGCAGCAAAGTTGTCGACGAAAGCAGTTGCGCTGAGCCTCTCAGTACTAACACTGTTGAAGCACTCCCCAGTCAGATACTCCGTCAGGGCATCCATCGCCATGGAGCGAAAGAGGTTCGATAAATCAACTGGGCTGCCTGCTGCCAGAGATCTTCGGCGCTCCAACTCAACTAGTGTCGCATCGATAATTTTCTGCATAGCCGGTTTGCTGTTTGTGATTGCTTGCTGCGCAAACAAGGGTGACACAGCCTTGGCTCGCACTGCCCTGTGGGCATGATTCGTCACTGAGAATATTGTAGGAAACCCATTAATATCGAAGTTTCTGTATCCAGTAATTTTTCTAAAGCCGCCATTGTCGACGTATATAGGATTGACAGCCGCTCCGTCGGAAATATCGACTTCATTCGGGGCAATGCGAACTACTGGTCCGTATTTCTTGTGCAAGGCAGTAATAACTGTACATTCAATGCCTTTCCACGTGAGATACCAGTACCAAATTGGAGTAAGGCGAGCGATGAAGGGGCCAGGGATGTGTCCTAGGCGGTCGGTGCTCAGTCCGTGGAGGATTTTCAGTACTAAGATCGAAATCACAGCCACCCCAATGGATACCGGGCTCAGAGTTGTCACAGGCAAGATCGAATTGGCAGCGGCAGTCGCCATTATGGCTGATGTCGATGAAGCTGCTCTTGGCCAGTTTTGATGTTGACGACTGTTGAGCGGTACGAATTGAGGGGTTTGCGAAACCAGGTTTTTAGTTATGTAGTCATGCCGCTTGAATCCTACGCACAATTGTGGAATTTCATGCATGCCAAAACTTGTAGTCTCCCTTGCATACGTGCCACAAAGACGCCGGTACTCGATGACATCTTTGCAGTGGTATTATTATTTTCATCTGGTAATATAATTGACTTGATTCTACAAATCAGCAGTAGATTGACAAGTGATTTGTAACCTCAACAGATTGCTTCTAGGATAATAATCTCGATTGCAACCCGGACCGCTTAACATATGCTTCCACTAGACAACGTTACTATTGAACCCTCCCAAAGACGCTGTCGACACTGGGGACCTTGGGATGATCTTGTATCAGTCGATTTCGCCGCTCGGAAATGTGGACCAATCCCCCTCTGGTTCTGTGTGTGCGTCGACTGAAGAGCTGTATTCATAAGAGCCACTGTAGGCACCGATATGTTGTATATTCATAAGAGCCACTGTAGGCACCGACATGTTGTAACGGGCTGAAAAGCTCAAATACTCAGCCGCGCATACATGTTTACGTCAATTAGACATTCATTTGACATTTTCATCTGTAGACCTGCCTGGAGTCTGTCTTGGTAACCTAGAACGATTTCAACAGGTTTCTTGGAGGCGACCTCTGTTTCTTATACGAGAATAATCATGTGCGAGCCGGCAGCTCAGGCCAACCAGTGATCTGAGATTTGAATCCGCCTTGGGCGCAGATGAATTCACTCTTTCAAGGGCTATGTTCCTATTTAGGTAAAAAAAAAAAAAAAGATCCTAACCAGGCCCGAGCACCAAATGCCGGGCCGGAAGACGGCTAATGGCACCGGGAGAGCTGAACTCTCGATCGGTTAGATGTCTCCATAGCTGAGGCGGACCCATACAGTACTACCTAGCTATTGTGTCTCGACGTGGTGTTGTATTCCATTAATCATGTTAGTGAAAATTAAAAGCGCGTTATGTGTGTATTGGTCCAGGTGTTTTTTTAACATGTAGCTCAGAGTCCAGTATGGGCGCCAACGACGACTGATCTTATGAGGTTGACATAGAGTTCTGTGACGCCTTCTAAGCTATCTCAACGGCGGCTGACAGGAGCTTCAGTGGTTCATGACTGGATGAGATTCTCAGAAAAACCGTAGTTACAAATATTAAACTGTCGCTTCTAACTGTCTTGAAAGCTCTTGTTGGTTTCCATGGAGCTCGGAAATACCCGTCAAAAATTCATAAATCAGAGCGCTAGAGAGGCTTGGAATTTTCGGCAACGGGACGATTTGGGTATAAATACATTACTCGATATGGATCGTCCTGGCATTATTGGATCTGCAACCCTCTTCACAACCTATCCTCATTGGCTACAGGGGGTTAGAATAAACGTGTTGCATCCATGGAGGTTGAAAGAGATCCATGGATTCCTCGGCACTTCGGAGCCTCCCGAGTGGCCGCTCCGTTATTCCCACTTTGCCCAGGCCCGTTACTGATCACGAGCTGGTGACGAGCTGCCATGTGAAAGTTCTTTGCATATTTGACTCCTCTTTCAACTCATCGCGACATAAGTCATCTGGCAACCCCTTTAGAATTTTTCCGTGTAGTTTTGCAGTAGTTCCGTCTCCCCCAGCTTTGAGATGTCGCGATTACTCATCTTGAATTGTAATCATGGCCATGACGGTGAAACTTGCATCTAATCATATAACTGGGTCGGATGTCATCAAGCAGCCAATCACGCGCCCGACCTCGGCTGACGTGGGATTCAAGTCCGAGGTTTAATATTCCGAGGTTTCCATGAATCGAAGCTCCTCGATTCTATTTCCCAACAGGCAAAGATCCCTTCAATGGTTCAGTAGCTCTGCGTCAAAGGCTCGAATAACCAAGGCTCTGGGCGTCAAGATGTCGACTCGCCGCTATCGTTCGGCTATTGCGTGTCAAACCTGCCGAGTGCGCAAGGTGCGATGTAGCGTGTCCATGACCGGCGTGCCGTGTATTAGTTGCGAGCAGGACCAAACGGAATGCATCCTGAAGCCAAGACAGGGCAAACGGTAAGCCATATTCGTCCATGTATCATGGGAAACGATGTTTACTCGTATATCATCTAACTGGGTCATTGATTGCCAGCCACTCGTCCCACAACCATCGGGAGACCACTACTGTGTTCCCGACTTCCCGTCACTATGTCGAAAGCTCGGCAACGCGGGATACCGCTAACCAAAGCAATGCCAATCCTTCGTCGCCGGATTCTAGTCCGGGGGGTGAAATTGTACCGTTGCAAGTCTCACAAGCGCCATTGGATACGCCCGAGACCAAAGTTTCGACTGCGTCCAGTGAGCCAAGTGCTGCTGATGAGGAACAGCTCGGCGTTGAGATGGTGGAAGTGGCCTTGGGACATCCACGAAGAGAGTGCCAAGTCCCGTACTACATCGGTATGTTAACTGGAAGGATCATCAAGGTGCATAATCTCATGCAGCAGCGTTTATTAAATCTAAACCCATGTAGGTGAGCAGACTGGGGGGCCTACATCAACCATGCATATATGCACAACCGACCACCTCATACCAAAGCATCTCCTCATGCCAGCAGCAAAGCAAACCATCTTGACGGAAGATGAAAAGACCTTTCTCCGCAGTAAAGGCGTCTATTCGTTTTTATCAGAGACAGCAAGTGATAGTTTGATCCGGGCCTACTTTCACAATGTCCACCCAATCATGCCCATCTTGGAAGCGGACAAGCTCCTGGAATATCATCGCTCTAAACGACTGAAAGAGTATAACCTTATACTGCTGTGGGGTCTTTATACCATTTCCTCCAATGTAATTCTCCCCTTCCATTCAGATCATCGGTGGTGTATGTAATTGCTAAGTACAGACTGCAGTACGTACCTGCAGAGATATACGAGAACGAAGGGTTTACATCTCGAAAAGCGTTCAAAGCCGAGATGTTTGCTCGTGCAGTCGTAAGTCAACTCTTTATTGTTTCTATCATCTCTCTTTTTCCGATAATGCCAACACATGCCTTTAGTGCGTGTATAACAACGGCGGGGAGAAGAACAACCTCATTCTTCTACAGGGGGCGCTACTACTAGGCTTCTGGAACTCGGATATAGAGGATCACATGCAGCCATGGCAGTGGAGTGGCCGAGCTATTAACCTGTGTCATGTCCTCGGTCTCCACCGCGATATTGATGCCATCGGATACAACACATCCATATCCGAACGACAGCGTTCACTATTTCGGAGACTATGGTGGACGTGCTTCTGGAGAGACCGTTGGCTTTCCGTGTCGCTGGGCAGGCCTTTGCGGATCAACCTCGACGAATCTGACACTCCTGATCCGCTGGTCTCGGATATTGCCGTGGACCTGGAGGGCATACCAGAGTCTGTGACATCAGCGTTTTTCCCCAGAGACCTGCCACGATTGGCAGAATATTGGATCCAGTTGATACAAATGACGAAGTTGCTGGGCAAGACTCTCATGACATGCTACCAGCTGCGACGGCCGAAACCCACAATTAACCAGATTGATACTCTCGAGGCAGAGTTGATGCGCTTTAATATGCCGGAACACCCAGATCCGATGTTATCTCGATTGGCGACATTTTACTATCACCATTTGCAGCTACACTACCAGTTAGTACTTGTCCCCGTTGTCCTTTTCTCGCTTTACGATTGGCTAACCGATGGATCAAGGGCCATCTTAATCACATTTTATCGACCTTGTAGTGTAGAGGCTCCTTCAGATCTCCCTTCTTACCGTCAGAGAGAGTGGCAGCAGGAAATGCAGGGAAAGGCAATGTCTGCTGCCTCAAAGACTTGCAACATTGTTTATGCACTCGCCCAAGGCAACTTTTTCTCTTTTGCCGGACCAATGACGTGAGTTATTCTTGATTCAACAGTGCTTTCGACGGATACTACCCAACTGTCTGTGTTTGATGGAGATGTAGACTAATGCTGCTGCTTAGGCCAACGCTTCTGGTCCCGGCAATGCAAGTCTACCTTCTCAACTGCAAATTCGGCGACGCCCTTTCAAGGCGACTCGGCTTAAATATGCTAAACATGTGCATGATGATCTTGGAAGAGCTGCAAAAGACGTATTCAGTCGCTTCCGTGTGCCGAGGTATATTCGGCAAGGCCATCCAGCAGCTTTTCCCCGACGACGCTGCCAGTATTTCTCTAACCCACTCTCTTCCCGAGCAAGACGTGACGCCAGTAGCGGAGCTGATGCCCCCTCCGACTTCTATCCCAGACACTCCTCTTCAGCTGGAGCTCTTTGGTGCCAATGTCACCAAGGCTGATTTTATTGATGCCCTTACAGCTGAGGCATCCATTTTCAGCTTTGTCGATATGTTGAACTTTACATCATGAACTTAATCCGATACCCAATGAGCTTAATATGTTGTATGTACATGTATGTAGCTTAGGCTGGGCTTTGTGCAACTTCGCTGTGCAAATACAGTCAATGATCAAAACATGGTACTTCTATATGCAGCCTATGAAGCCTAAACGGAATTCATAAATGTATTTCTTTTACCAAATAATTACCCATGGCGTGGCTAACCACAAACGGCACGGTCAGCGTGCCAAGGCATGCCTTGAGTTAGATCTCGGGATAAATGGAATGATAATGCTCTAGAATTCCTCGGCAGCTTGGCAGACCTGAATCTCCCCAAGCCAAAACCTTGGCGATCTCGGGCCGATGCCTAGCCTGGACGCTGCACGAGCCATCATCCGAAAAGGGCAATACTGATAGATGGGGTTGAATTGGTACCGAGGGTAGGATATTGAACTGATGGTAGAGTATACATTAAGTTATGACTGAGTACCACGACTCAATATTTTTAGTCGATTACTTATTATTCTGACCTATATCATATGCTCGGCCATGAACTCAAAAGCATTGTTTATAGCTTGAAGAGAACCCTATTTTGGCATTCTCTATTCAAAATGAAACCGCTGAGGAGCACTCATTACTCAATCCTATTAGATAACAATCGATCAAACAAAAGTTCCATTAAAAATTATCACAGGTATTTTTTTTTTGAAGTAATCATCCCCCCTTATCCGTCGAATACAACGTCAATAAGCCCTACACTAGCACCAGGGATCATCTTGATAGCATTCACACGGAAGCGATCATCTGCCATCTTGAATACGGCAGTCCAATCCTCAGCTGTACGTTCCTTGGCATTGAAAAGTACCAACATCTCCATGTCAAAAGCACTCTGCATCTTCCTCACCGGTAGAGGCGGCTGTTGTCCCTTTTCATCGTAGTCTGGAAGCATAATGATGTCGAATAACGCGATGCGAGCCCCAGGAGTCAGAGCTGGGACTAGTTGCTGGAGAATTTTCACTACGTACTTGTCTGGCCAATCGTGGAAGATGTTGCGAACCATGTATGTGCTTGCAGAAACAGGTTGTGGCGTAAAGAAGTCGTGAACTTGGAATGATATGCGGCTGGAAAGCTTGGGGGCTGATGCCATGGCTTCGTCAAAAGCTGGCTGTAGCTCTGGGAGGTCTTGAACAATGAAATGAAGCCGTGGATGGGATTTCGCAACCATTGCGCTGACATGACCGTTTGAACCGCCCACCTGCGAGGTCGATTAGCAATTGGAGCTCTCGTGTGAGATTCGTGCGAGACATGCATCAACAACAGTAGCCTCGCCAAGGCTCTCCCAGTCAAAAGTTTCCACATAGGTTTCGGTGGTAACCATACCGCCGAGAGCTTGCAACCCTTCAGCAAATCGAGTAGCACGATAGCCCTTTGGCTTGCCCTCCTTCTCATCCATATGAAGGAATTCCCACATCGGGCGGGATACCACCTTGCCGTCAAAACTCGCTAGATAGAAGGGGGCGTGTTCCACCTCTTCGCTCGGTGTCGGATATCCGGCTGACCACTTTTGCAATGCATCTGCCATAACTACAGTGGCGGGGCGGACGTCTTCAAGGAGATGACTGGTGAAGGACTGCATATGGTGGTTACGAGCCATATATGCAGAGGCAGCAGTGTGGACAATCCGACTGGACCCGGAAAACTCTTCTCGAAACAAGTACATGTTCATGCCGAAGCGAAGGAATCGACGAGCCATTTGTTCGGGAAGTTTCGTAGCGGCTGCAATCTCGGCGTGACTGGCAGAGCCTCCAACTGGAACCGCGCCCCAGAAGTTGAAGCGGTTGAGGACATCCAGAGCCATGGCCTCATTACCCAGCTAAGATTCGTAACGTCAGTACAATGAAAATTCAGTGTTGACAGGATGTATGAGTTTGTAGAACTTACCCACATGTTTTGTGTGATAAAATACTCATTAGGCCCCATTGCTAGATGCAGCATATCCATCAGAGCTCCGACGAGTTTTGTACGGGGGCCTTGGATATCTTGATCAGGTGGTAGGGATGCGGGTGCATCTTCGTTGAATGATGGAGCAGCAAGGCCTTTTGCTCGAAGAGTGGTTGTGAGCATTGTAGTGAGCTCAGTAACGACGGCGAGCAAGCTCTCGAGTGTTTCACTAGCTTGTGCCATGTTGGATTGATGAGTGGGTTATCAAGTAGACTTCCTCCTCTGTATGTAATGATTCGATAGAATATCACTGTTTCGAGATATTTCAAAGACTGATGAGGCCAGGGGTGGTGAAATTATTCAACTCGATAACGTCGATGTAAGCACTGTCGGCGAAGGGAGCAAGCAAACTATCCGACCGGTTAGTGCTCATAGTTGTCCATCACTGACTTTGATAAGATACGAGGTAAGCTGTCACCAAGGCTAATAATTTAACTTTCATAAACTCTGCGGGCAGACAGTTCATTGTAAACGAGAGTAATTATTATTAATTCGTATCTATTCTATCCTCGGCCCTACTGGAGGCGGCATTAACTCTTATCTATTTAGCACGGCACATTCGTCCGTTGTTATCAACAGTCCAGGCCTCACTGCCCACAAGGCGGAGGCCATAAAAGAGAGAATTGGGATCATACTTCTTCTTGATTGAAAGAAGAGTGTTGTAGTTGGAGCCAAAGAAGGTCTGCTGGAAGTTGGGCTGCTGGAAGTCGCCCTCGTTCATGTACGCGCCGCTGCCGGGGGTTACTGCGGTAAGCTGCGGCACATACTCGTTGGTGATGGTCTTCTGGTCCGCGAGCATCTGCGACCACGGTGCGGTGTTGTTCCAGGGAGTGCCGATCTGCAGATGCACAGTGGTGGTTCGCCAGACCGGGAATACAGCGTTGTTGACGCCGGCCGGCTTGGCGTAGTTTGCCGAGCTGCCAACCATGATGACGCCATGAGCAGTCAGGTTTTGCAGGACAGCTTGCAGAGCATTGTTGTTGTTCAAGAGGACGCTGCGCGGGATCAGTCGGCTGCCGTAGTTGAAGTCTCCGACATCGAGGTTTCCGTTGGGGAGCGGGCCCATGTAGGTGTTGTAGTGGTCATAGTATGAAAGCTCGGTGTATTGGGTGGCGATGGGGGTAATTCCAAGCTCGCTCAGCAGGGCGTTGAAATCAGCCAGGACGACGTTCTGGACGTAGTCGGCCGTGGAGTTGTAAACGGTAACGGGCTCGAGCACAAAGACGGTGTTGGTGAGAAGGTAAATGACCATGGCGCCCTTGTCTATCATGGCTGGCAGCATGGCATGGAACCCGGCTACAAACTTGTTGAAGTTGTCCTGCGTGGTGGTGGCGGCCGCGATGGTGATTTTCGCACCACCGATGGTAGCATCAGGGTGAAGCTTGACCGTCATGGACGTGACAACTCCATACCCAGAGCCGCCTCCGCTCAGAGCCCAATACAGGTCGCTGTTCTTGGAGGGAGAGGCAGTCAGGATCTGGCCAGCCGCGGTGACAACCTCGAATTCCAGGGTCTGATCAGCGCCGAGACCGAAGGAGGTGCTCAAGGCAGAGTGGCCACCACCTTGAGTGTAACCTCCAGCAACACCGACGGTTGGGCACTCGCCAGACACGGCGACAAAGCCCTTGCTGTGGGCAGCCTGTAGCATTTCAAAGCCTTGGACGCCCGCGCCCACCTTCATCGAAGGACCGCTGTAATTGGTGCTCTTGTAAGTCGAGATGCTGATGCTCTTCAGGTTGTGAGTCCAGATGCCCAGGGCGCCAGCGCCGGTAGAGCGACCAAAAAAGCTAGTGAAAGAAACGCAATCAGCCTACATGTATACCTTTAAAGAGGAATTAATTGCAAAGAAGTGTCAGCATACTCATGGCCAGTGTTGCGCACAACCACGCGGATGTTGTACTTGGTTGCGAATGCCAGGGCGGCCTGGACATCGGCGTCGCACGAGACGTTGACAGCATAGCTGATGTAGTTGCCCAGAACGCACGGCTTAGACTCGGGGGTGAAGGGATCGCAGCTCTGGTTGGCGAAGAAGGGCTGCATCACCGAGGAGGATGTCGTGTAGCTACACATCGCATTCTGTCAGACATGCGCCGGCGAGGAGAATTGGACCAACGAACTGGGTTTGTGGCAGCTCCCAATTGGTCTGCAATTGCGCACAAACGTTCTTGTTGTACTTGGGATCGTGGCACGGCGTTCCAATGGGGACGGTGGCAACAAGTCGGCCCCCGACTGTCGAGTTCAGTGACTTCCAAGCGGCAGCATTCGGCCACTGGGGATCGCTGGGGAGGTAACGGCAAGGCGGCGGCGGAGGAGGAGGAGGAGGCGGGCGAGCAACCGCTTCTGTGGTCAAGTTGGAAGCGTTCGCAGAAGCCAGCAGCGTGGCCGCGGCGGCCAATTGAAGGGAGAACTTCATCTTGCTATTTTCCGAGGCAGATGAAGATCCGGTGAGAGTAGAGTCTTGACATTGAAAAGAGAAACACCAACGACATGTCGCGATGGACAGTATACATATTCCTGCGACCGATCCATTTTTTATCGCTGAGACAGCGTCGTATTACCAATTATGGAGACGTTGGAGACACGGAGATTGGAGACGGTCACTGATCGAACAACAAGCGAATGTGACGTCGCTGCCGCCGAAGCCTTGAGAAGCGTTTAGGGCATAAACGGGCTCCATTGTGTTGGATCCAGCAGGTGAAACTATTGAATATTGAAGGTGTTCCTATCTATCTTTGGAGATGTCAAGAACCGAGGAGGCAAAGTAAAAGTGCCAAGAGGGGATGTTGCTCCGTCTGCGTTCGCAGAGGCACTCAGCCGAGTTCGACCTTGACCGTGGATTGCAGCCGAGCCAAACCCCCTTGAGGGGCCACCACATTCTGCATTCCATATATCGTAGATCGGGCTTGGCCCAAGATGGACTAAACACGGATCCGGTCTCAGGTCAGGTTTACTGTGATGAGGAACATGTCCGAAGCCCCCCGGCAAGCCACAGCCTCCCCAAGTGTCGGTGAATCCCAGGCGAGCTTCCATTCATGTTCCCACGTCTCACAACTCCACACAGCCGAGGCATGAATCTCGACAACCGTTCGACTTTTGCCCTGTTCAAACTGAGCCCGCCGCCGGGAGAGAACGACATGCCCGTATCTGTGCTTCTGTGTGGGGTAGGATTCGTGCATTTTGCAATCTCTTCCCAACAGACTGGATTTCCTCTCAACGGAGATTGCAAATTCTCCATAAATCCAAGCTGAACCCACTCGCTAATCGTGGCGACAGGGGTCGTTTGCTGGCTGATACGGCGGATAAGTTGCTGTATACAGCACTGGACTGGCCAATGTTCGCCTGCGAAGAGAGTCCGTCTATTTTATGCAGATCCACATCGCTGGGATTAACTGCAATCTTCTCGAATGACTCGACGACACCACGTGGTTATCAACCATTGAAAACGTGGCACAGGGACAATTGCAGCCGGATCAGCGCATCTAACGCAATTATTCCACGGACAAGCCCAGAAGCTGATGCTTTCGTATTATAATCTCCCCGATAAACGTAATTCAGATTGAAGCCTTGGTCAGCAGGATCGGCGGCATCAAAAAGTATATAAAGGGCATGTTCTCCCGACAAAAGGGCCCAGGAAAGATGGCTCGTTGAAGGCTTTGTGGTTTGTTTCGAGCGACAGCTTACTTTGAACAAGCTTGGCCAAATACTCGACTGGATTGCAACAGCATGTCCATTTTTGTTAGTCAGTCTACGGAAGAGGGTCGATAGGTATTGTTCATTAACTTCTATAGTTGGTCTACTTGTGATATCATCCCAAGTTCTGTATACCTACGAGGAGATGGGTGAGTCGCATGATATTGAAGAGCTACAACTCAGCTCGTGTTCTTGATAAGTTTGCAATGAGTCAAATTCATTTCCACCTCTCGGCTTTCTTTTGCTTTCATGATTCAATCTCAGCTACGGTGATGGTCTTAGACTCTCACCACACGAAATATCGTCATCTCTGTAGAGCCGCGAAAGACTTCATGAACCGAGAACAGCCGTTGGGAAAGAACTCAGATATTAGGTGGGGGTTTAATGACCTACAACTAGGATACGAGAAAACAAGAGCGTTAGTATTTGCTATCCATTTGGCTCGCTCAGGGCAAATGGGCGTGGAGTATAAATAAGTATGGCGGAGAATGGCCTTAGGTCCACATCGATTGTCGGCGGAACCAGAGCCGAGAAACAAAAAATTTCTCTCCCGAGAGTGGGAGGGACTTGACTCGACGATCGGAGAGGGATTCACCGCGCGCGACGGGAGGGAAGAGCGCGAGGAGATCATGGACCGTGTTCCCATAGTGCCAATCTTTTGCGGATACCTTTTCTCAGCGTACGAAGATCCGGGGTTAGTAGAGACACCTAGTAGCAGCTGTTAAGAGCTTTTCAGGTCTTGATTTGTCTGCAACAGCCATCGAAGGCGAAAATCCGGATTTTGGGCGCACACTTGGCCGTGACAGCCATCAATAGCGGCCCGGTTAGCAGGTGGCTTTTTTGGTGTGTCTTGGTGACGCTTGATAACAAGCCTTTCCGACGGACGTGAGATGGAAGCTTCGGAAACCAGCGGAGACGGATCGAATTCATGAGCTGTGGCTGAAGCCACTCCCCTCTTCTCGAATGTAAGGGGGAACTCGTTGGAGAGGGTTGAAGGAGGGAAGAGTTGGACAGAGTCGAGGATGAGTTGTGTCGTTTGTAATGCTCGGCTAATAATTAAGCATTAACGACGAAGAAGCCAAGACTTTTAGAATGAGATGAATTGGCCCTTTTCGCCGAAATTGGACATCAGATATAACAAAGTCCCTACAGCGTTGACGGTCCAGACCGGTCACTACCGTTATACGATGCATGAGCTCGCGTAACTCTGCGATCTAACGAGATTCACAAAGGGGTAGGGGAGAGAAGAAGAAGAAGAAGGCTCTCGGTACTCGAGACGCGGGTATTCGTAAAGTCACCGGAGAAGGCCTCGATGACATGGCTCAGGGTTATTTATTTACACAGGCCCTCCTCCCACAGCCATATGGTAGTGGTTTACTAGATTCAATCCCCCTCTACAGAGCCTCCACAACGGGCTGCTGAGATATCCAATGGAGTCTCATGCGGGTAATTATGGCGTACTAGTATACTCGTACTGGTGAAGTGGGAGAAAGTGCCGGCTGTGAACTCCGCCGTCCTGAGATAATTACCTAATTCTTACGGTGGTTGGCGTAGGTGTAAACTGAGGTGATTGAAGTGGATTCAAGCCAAAGAGCAATGTGTGGAACCACCACTGAGCTGAGACTCATCAGCGCATCCCAAACTTCAAGAAGCATTCCAGTCAGATTTTCTTCTTTCTCATCTTCTCTTCCCCCGTAAAGTGCGCCATACAGTACAGCCGTTACAGTACATACTCCGAATCTCCCTGTCATTGCTGCAACTACCGGGAGGAAATTGCTCTAGCCATGCAGCCAAGCAATAGCCAAACCCCGGACTATAACACCATATTTGTACTTAGCCGGTGTCCCAGGGGGAGGCATGCTGAACCGTCCCTTTGGTGCTTCACGTTGTGTTCCACGTAACTGCATCCGGCAACTCCTTGTAGGACCGTTCGCGTAGCTATCCGAAGTTGACCTAACCATCCCCATGCCCTTCAAGGGGTTCAGCTCATGCAGTCTTGAGTCTTTCTGCTCCTCTCCGCTGCAGATTGCGAGTCTCCACCCCGCCGGTTTCACGGGGGAGTCTTCCTGAGTCTTGCTACGAGTTTTAGTATCTCTCTAGACCCAAGCGTAGAGGCAGCCGAAGCCCTCTAGGTCTACAGCCCGTTCTAAGCGGAACGCCGACATAGGCTTAGAGAGGTGGTTTAGTGCCTCCCAGTTCCATGGTTTTTTCTGTCTTGTCTTTTTCGTCAGGGGTCCCTGCTTTTGGTGGAGATTTCTCATCCAGCTTTTTTTTCCCGATGAACCAAACGCCCGTCGCATCCTTCACAGAGCCGATTCAGCACGCAGGGCTAATGCAATGCAACGTCAGCAAGCCTGTCCGGCTTCAACAGCCATGGTTTTCTAGCAACGTTCACGAGTCAGTCAACGCTTTAGCTCCCAAAATACAGCACTTGATTCCCTCCCAGACAGCCATATTCTATTCTAGAACCAAAGGGCCGCAGGAGATGGCGGCTAGTGCAGAGCGGCTACGCAAAGTGCGAATTAGACCCGTCCCTCAACTCATCGACGCCACAGCTTCGTATTAATTATACTAGGTTCTTTTTGCACCTTTTCTACGTACAGTATATTTCAAATGCCCGCAAATAACATGGCTAGTACAGTGTGCTGAGCTGTTCCCCGTCTTTGAAATAAAGGGGCGTGCCCATAACCTCCATGTAAAGGATGCATAGTAAAAGCAGGTACATGGACTGCCCGTCTTTGACGTCCACCTCGAGTGCAGATCAACCTTAAAAGTGATGATTTGACATCTCATTTTCTTGCCGGCCCCGAAGAAATAAGAAGATTTCTTCGTTCCCCCGGACATCGATCTCGGAGACCAGGAAAACGAGAAAATGAGGTTGCTTCTCCATCTCTTGCTTGCGTTCCTGGCAACGTTTGCGCTGGTGCTTGCAGACAGCTCGGCCGCTGACAACCCGCTTTCGGTGTTGCCGGCATGTGCGGTATGCTATGCCTTTTTCCTTTTTCTTCTTCCCCCTTCTCCAGATATGTGATCCGAGCTCGAAACTAATGACGATCAGCAAAAATGCCTTGCATCGGCCATTGGGAATTCCACCTGCAGTCCGACTGATGTGAAGTGTACCTGCGAAAGCTCGACCATTCAAGAAACCTCGGCCATCTGCATTGCGACCACCTGCACGGTTCGAGAGTCCCTTAGTATGTTGCCCACCAACCGCTCTTCTTCTGTAACACAACACTTCAAAAGCCATATCTTGCCTAACTCTTCACGATAGCCACCAAAAATGCGACAGATACACTCTGTGGTGTCCCTGTCCGGAACAGGACCCCCGACTTTGCCAATGTCACCATCGTGCTCGGTGTCGTCTCCGGCGTAGTCGTCCTCCTACGTATCGGCTCTAAGCTCTTCATGAGGATGGGCTTCGCCCTGGACGACTACGCCATCATCGTAACGCTCTTTTGCGGTATCCCCTCGTCAGTGATGAACGTTCGAGGCACTGGCGGAAATGGGGAAGGAAAGGATATCTGGACGCTGCCGTTCGACATGATCACCCGTTTTGGAGTATACTTTTACGTCCTCGAGATTCTATACTTCGCCCAGGTCATGCTTCTAAAGATGACGCTCTTGTTCTTCTACCTCAACATCTTCCCAGGCAAAGCCAGGACATTGTTGTGGGGAACGGTTCTCGTCAATGGCGTGTTTGGAGTTACCTTTATGCTTCTTGCAGTCTTCCAATGCCACCCAATCAGCTTTTTCTGGACAGGCTGGGACGGCCAACACTCGGGCAAATGGTAAGTAGAAGCTTTCAGCCTTCAACTTTCTCTCGCACTATGAGGCATCCCGCTAGCTCAGTATAAAGCTAATAGCCACACAGTCTCAACAGTAATGCCATCGGATGGGCAAACGCAGCCATCAGCATCGCCTTGGATTTATGGATGATTGCAATCCCCATGTGGCAGATCCGAAATCTCAACCTCCACTGGAAGAAGAAGGTCGGCGTGGCAGTGATGCTCCTCGTCGGTACTTTGTAAGAATCCACTCCCCACTGCGGCAACAAGCTCTTTGTCTAACCATGACCCTAGTGTCACTGTGGTCAGCATCGTTCGACTCCAGTTCCTTGTGAACCTTGGTAGTTCCGCGAATCCCACATACGACCAGGTTGACGTGTCCATCTGGTCCACCATTGAGATTAACACCGGCATTGTCTGCACATGTCTACCGTCGCTCCGTCTGTTTTTGGTCCGCCTGTTCCCTAGCCTGGGTGGCTCTTCACATAAGAACAGCGGCTATCAGAATTACCCGGACAACTATGTCAACAAGTCAGATCACGCAGGTAGTCGGGCGCAGACGCTGGTTTCAGCCGTGAAATCTCAGAATCGCCCGGACCATAGCGGGATTGAGCTCAACACAATGTACGAGGTGCGGTATAGCGATGAGGACGAGTCCAGATTGGTTAAAATGCAAGGGGAGCATGCAACAAAGGGAGGAGTGCATGTGGGCAGTTCACGGAGCATGGGTAGCAACAGCGAGGTGTCACTGTAAATTTCTATACTTAATATTATTAGCTAGGCCTTCAAGGATACCAGCCAAGTTCCCCGTCTTATTACAAAGGGGAATTTAAAAGTCATCAATAATTTGCTTGTTTTCATGGATAATTTTCAGCGCGTGCAATGAGTCTGGGTCAATCTTGCAAAAGTCTCATAGTTTTTTATTTTCGGGCTCATCCTTGTGCCTTGTATGCTCACTTGTAGCCCAAGATGGCTTCACCTCCTGAACTATGTAAACATACACTAATATCATACATTGACTGACCTATCCCAGCAAAACTCTCTTACACTCCCAGAGCTTTGTTGAAAGCATCGGCTGCAGCCTGGCCCGTCAGTTGGGACGCAGCAGCAGAAGCACTTTGGCATGTGGAAACCACCGCAGCACTAGCCTTGCAGCTAGAGTTGAGTCGGTCACAGATGAAGTCGGAAATAACCTTGATAGCTAGAGCCGAGCCATGCTGAAAGTCAGCTTCGTTGACGGGGGCAAAGGCAGGTTCAGTGCGGCCGTCAAGTCCGTTGGCGAACTTGATGCTAGGGTCAGAGCACGAGCCGAAATCGCCCGTAGCAGCACTGCTTCCTGCGTTTCCATTGCCGGTGTTACCGCTATCGGCGTTGTTACCACCGGCAGCGTCGTTCGCTCCACCGTTGCTGGTGTTATCACTTGTGTTGTTGGTGTTGGTGTTGGTGTTGGAAGCACCAGACGCGGCGGCCTTGCACTGAGTGTTCTGTTCCTCACATTGGCTTACGCCTCCGGACAGCTGACCAGAGTTGGCAGCATCAGCACAGGCGTTGTGCTGAATATCACAAGACCGTCCAAGAGCGGCTCCAATGTTGACAAAGGTATTTCCATTAACGGAGAATGGTCGGTTTCCAGTGCCTGAAACGACAGGCGGGGCAGGGCCGCCAAGAGAGCCGGTGAAGGTCTGAACGTTGTTTCCGCTGGCTGTAGAAGGGGCTTGAGTTTGAGTAGAGGCAGCAGCTTGGGTGGAAGATGCCTGAGCAGCCGGTGGGGGAGTTGCTTGAGCAACTGCCTGAGAGGTTGTCGCAGCATTGCTGTTGTCTGTTGGAGCAGCGGCGCCTCCTTGAACATCGGCGATGGAGAACTTGCTCAAGTCGACCAAGTCTGTGGCTTGAATACCGCCAGTGCCGGTAAATGTCTGAGACACAGCGGAAACAGCCGATGCAACTTCGTCCTGGCTAGCGTCGAGAACAAGCTTGCCCGTTGTGAAGATACATCCAAGCTGGGGGTCAGGATCGTCACAGGTGTTGCCCTTGGCTGTGGCATCGTTAAGCTAAGAGTTTGTTAATCACCAAGGTTTCAGAATATGTAGCTAAGGGAGCGGAAAACGTACATCGCCCGGGGCAAAAGTGCCACTCAAGAGGGCAAGGTTGGGATCTGCTCCGATGGCCTTGAGCTGCTTCGCCAACTCAAGAGTAATACCCTTGTTTATGGAAGCAGCATTGGCGGATGCCGGGTCTTGATGGGGCTTTACGGCTTCGATTTCGGGATTCACAGCTTGCTCAGTGCAAGTAACACTGGCGAGTCCGACTTTGCCAGTATTTCTCTCCAGGGCCTGGTACACCAATGCACCAGCCATGAGTCGAATATCTTTAGCAGCCTTGCCATTGGTGAAAGCCTGATCAGCAGTCTCTTGCTTGAGGCAGTCCAAGTTGGTTACACTTCCAGCACCACCTGCAGCCGCCGCATTACCAAGCAGGCCAAAGACGGCATCGGTGATGCCCTTGGGGTTGTTCTTGGCCAGAGCTTCGTTTGTAATGGTAAGGAAAAGATCGTGGGAATGCTCCTGGGGAACCTCTCGGCGGAGCAGGTTGGAAGAAGGGAGAGGATAGGCGAAAGCCTGGCCCAGCAGCAAAGCTGCAGCCGCGGAGGTGCTTTGGAACTTCATGATGATTGAGCGAGAGGAATGATTGCAACTTAAAAAACACAAGAGTCTTTTGAGAAAAGAACAAATAAATATTGAATACAAGAATAAAAGAGTGTCAAACTCGAAAAGAATGGACCAGCCTGCTGGACAAGAAGAGAGAAACGAAACAAAAAAAAATAGAGACAAGAACTGATGATGCTGCTAGACAATTCCCAAGATTCAGTATCAATCGGCTGCTGGGACAATATATACAGAATATCTCGGCCCCTGCTCCCCCAAGCTCCCGAATATCAACCCCAATACATGGTTAAGCGATGTTTCTGTAGCCGCTATATCGCTCGTTTCATAAACACGACAGGGCGGTTAAAACGCTCTGCCCAGAAGCTTAACCCTTACAAACAAGATAAAGTACAGGGGCGAAATAGGGTCAGTTGTCTGATATACAGTGTTTCTCCTGGATTCTCAGGTTTCTGTAGCAGGTTTGACCAGGATAGCTGAAACCATTACCGTTTCTGGTGGGGCGAGACAAGGGATTGGTTGGCGTTTCATACGCAGGATGCGATGATATTGGCAGGAGTACTTATACTCTCGGCTCACTTTATTAAGCTTAGAAGAAAGAAAAAAGATGACAAACGTTCCGTCTCATCGGATGTCTGTTATGACGACACCGAGAGGCTTCAGGGCCAAGCTAGAGAGATTTGTTAGACCACCCTTCAATTTGCAAGTAAGAGGAATGAGCCGGTCTGTAGATTCTGTCTTTCAACTCCATCCGTTGTTGCACGTTTACATATATACAGGGCCTCAATCATGTAGGCACATGTATCGGCTTCTGGACGGTTACCTGGTCGAAGCGCAGTCCATGTCAAAAGAAAATAAACATGAGAATCCTCATGATAATAAGCCACCGTGCCCAAGTTGGACTTGGTCCCAGTTGCCGGGGTTGCTGTCGCAGGTATGGGACGCAGAGCTAAGCGAGCCAAAGAAGCAGCTCTATCATATTCAAACCAGCCCATGGAGCAGACTGGAACATGGCCGTATACCAGGGGGGCCCTTAACAAGAACCAAATCCCCGCCTACGCTCCACATAGCACGGGGGGGCCACGCCGACTAAGAACAACGCTGTTTGCTGTAATATCCGGCCTCGACGGAATATCGAGCTCTACACGGCCCCGGGTCGCCAGTTTACTCGTACCCGCACTCTCTATTCCGTAGTCCAGACCGTTAAATGGCGTGTTGCGGGAACGCTCCACGTGCTTACACGAACCCCGGCCGGCTCACTAGACCAAGGTTCTGACCGGATCACCAGTTAAGCCGCCGCCAGGGGGGCTTGGCCAACGGGTTTCGGAACGGGCCAGCTTCACCACGCTCAATAGAAGACGGTGGCTACAGTACGTTAGAGTTCGGGCTTTGAATTCCCGGTTTGACTTGCGCTTGGCAAGTTTGTGCGAATATAGACAAAGTTCTTGGCAAACTCCAGACGCACCAATTGGAGACACTATGGTAGCCTGTCTTACGCTATGGTAATGCTTTTTCAAATAGAGTGTCGTGGCAAAACCAGCAAAGAGATTAACGTAATAAAACGAAAAAGCAAAGCTCCAAAGATGCCATTCTCCGATCGAGCCAGCAGTGGCATTTCATACGTTCGGGGGAACAACCTGGTTTGCTGAACAAATAATATCGTATTCATTTCTAGGGTAGTAAGGCATTGATGCTAGAAAGCTGTGTACCAACAACACCTTTGGTGTAAATAGCAGACATAAGACGAGTGTGGAGGTTTGATAAGCTCCCAGGGAAGGATGCAGCAGCAAGACATATTGTTCGTCGTTCTTTTGGTAGAAGGATTAAATCATGCCCTTTGGCCAGCCAACTCTATTACAACTTAGAAACGCATACATACTTGAGACACTCACTTCAAATAGCATACATCTATTAATCACTGCGTAATAGCTGCCTTATTGGCCGTGTACTTCCTAGGACTTGTACCCCAACTATCCATGGCTTCAGCTATGGAACAATTTTGTCATCAAAGCCTCCTTCAACATAATCTTCTCATTATAGCCCAAAAACCCCCAAGATGGCGTGGTAGATTCATAACCCCCACGCATTAGCAATCCATTGTGTCATGGTGGTTGACAGCTAAATTGATTCTTCGAATTCTTGCACAACCCACCACGCCGAAAATGGCTGGGATTTGCTTCCACCCGAGATGGACATACCAATAGTACCCGCTATGGCCGTGGAGAATGTTCGCACGCCCGCTTCAAGGTCAGTCATTGTTATAGGGACCATGACCAGGCTACTCGGAATGTGATTTGGATGGATAATCGGATATACCACTCCGCCCAGCTCAAGCTGTTCGCCGACGTAATCATCTTGCGCAACGCTTCCGTTATCGTTGAAATACGCAAATGCCGTGATCCAACCAGAGATTTTCAACGGGTCACCACTCATGTGCGAATCTGCCGTCTCCCACGCGACATTGAGCCAGAAATCTTTAATCTCTTTTGAGTCTGGTTCGTCAAAGGTTCTTTTCATGCGATCCATAATGGGCCGCAGCAGATGAGCCCAATCCTTACACTCCTTGCCATAATGGTCCAGCTTGTCGACCCGACGTTCAAGCTTCTCCCAGTCATTTCGGGTTCCCAACAGCGTCACGCTTGGGAAGCCGCATCCAAAACACATACCGTATTCGAAGTATTTTTGCATTGCTCCCATCATACTGAAAGCCGCCACTGCCTTGTCATGGTCTGTTGTGGTGGAAAAGTTCGGCAGCATCCACTCACGCAGCTCTGGATCAACGACATTTTCCTGAATGAGGGAGGTAAACTCCTGGGCCACCTTGCTAAAATCGAGTTCGGAGAGGCTCGTGGCTGTTAAATCGAGGTCCAGAGTCTTTTTTCCTTCATGAGAGACAAACTTGTGCCGCAGGCGCTCGGCATTCCCACGCCCATTGATGAAAAGGCTAAACTGTGAAAGGATAGCCTGCCACACATCATCAGGTCGGATGACTAGGTCGAGATCCTGGTTGAAGGCGCGCATGATACCTTCCACAAATCCATTATCGTACCAAGACACGGACACCGTCACAGTCTCGTCGATGGATTCCTTATCCTCTGTCTTCTTAGGACAGATGGAGGAGGCAATAATTGGGCACTCACTGAAGCCGCGGCCAGAACTATCCTTGCTTTTTCGTCGTGGGTCTTCGGCATGGGGGCTGATGCATTTGGAGGTGATACGGTCGAAAATGGACCTACCATTTGTATCAATGGTCATCGCTTTGTCCTGATTTGTCCCCGACTTGAGGGAGGGCTTCGTCGTGACAGGCATTCTGGGTGGAAGTTTTCGAGAGTGGTTTTTGCTTTCTTTCCAGATCGACTTGAAGTTGTAATTGTAAAGAAGATGAAGAGCTTGATTTTGGACAGATGAGGGGATTTTATAGTCTTGAGATTCTGGCAGGCAGCAGGTCCTTGCTTGAACATGTGCAGCACAAACATATAGAACAACTAATCTCCGCTACTTCGTGTGACGCAAACAGCTGGCTCGTTCACGGAAACAAAGACTACAAAGGGAGAACAAAGACTACAAAGAGAGCCCGAGGAGTCAAAGCGGTTTGGCCAAGTCTTCCATTCCAGTGATAGAGCCAATAAGGATCAATTTTAGACGTGCCGCAATCCTCGGTCAGACGTCATAGGTTGAGCAAGGCATCCGGCTCATGATGCGAGAGCGAGGAGAGAAGAGAGATTCGCTGGCCAAGTCCCTTTGTTCACGTCCACTTCGTGTTGGGATCTCTTTCTGGTGCAGAGCTCTTTGTTTGATGATTACAGACATAACAAAGACGAGATGGAATGTCAGATGATTCGAGTCAGTAACATTTCTAATCAATATTATTGGCCAGTGGATCACTGAAAGGACTTTGTGAAAGGACGTGGAATATCGAGACGATTCGAGTGAGTGACGCCTCTAAAGATATGATTGGTTAGTGGATCACTGAAATGATTGCTGGTCATTCTAGTGTATATGGGAGCTATGTAACTCGGTGTGCTGACGCTTGTGGTATTCGCGCTTAACATACAAACTACATTCATTTACAACTAATAAACAAAAGTTCTTCCACTAAAGAATACATCTACTACTATAAAGTACATTATATATTTAAAATTGCCAGCATAGTACAATACCTTTATAAGCTTATTGTATATATATGTCTTTATGAACTACGAAATCTACCTGATTCAATAATAAGAGCACTTTACCAAGGATTGTGCATAAACACTTAAACCAAACCCAAGGAAGCAGAGCTTAAGACTATGTTCGGTCTTGACACAGTCCACCCGGTCCCATTTGGCGCAGTTTAAATGGCCGATCAGCTCTCCCACATCGTAATCTTCGTAGGTTGTGTAACCGTCCACGTTGACGTAGTTACACGTGTCTCCAAAAACATCCGTAATGCCGGTGGTGTATTGATCATCCACGATATCCGTATCGGCGCTGTCGGCATTGACTGACCAAGTGGCGTCACTGTCGCAGACATTGATACTCCCGGTAGCCGGGACGCCGTAGTAGTTGACGATGATGGTTGGAAAGGGGCTATGGTCAGGGTCTTGGGTTTGCCTATCCAGGACAAGCCACCAATCCGCGATGCCAGTGTCAGTAGGGGGTTTGCTGACGGGATGGGGGAGGCTGGGCAAGCCAGGATCGATGGGCTCGGGGTAGTCGTCGCCTCCCGAGCACTCGTTGAACCAGGTATTGGCGAGGGCGGTCCCTGGATAAACATCGTGATAATCGGCGCGGCCAAGCTCGCCGAGCGTTGGGAAATGGATGTTCTGACCGCGGCCGTGTCCTTCAAAGCGGGTTCCCAGGTCGATCCAGGTCATGCTGCTCCCTGATGCGGGAATGAAGCCGCCGTTTCTCCAAACTCGGGCCCCTGCCTTGAACTTGTCAACCCAAATAAGATCCACCTTGCCATCGCCATTGACCTGGAATCGTATTAGTTAGTGCCAAGCTATGTAGACTATGAATGTCAACTTACGTCGGCCCATTTGAAGTTTGCTCTGTCGAGCCTTTCTGTTGGCGCGAACTTGATCTGGCCCTTGTCCTCGAGGCCACCGGCCTTGTTGAGGTGCCCGCCCGTTCGAGCGTCTTTCTCCATGCAGAGGTAGTCGACGCGGCCATCACCGTCCAAGTCTCCGAACCTCAGACCTTGATCATATAGACCCCTGCCCCAGCCCTCCTTACACAGCGCGTCATTCACCACCCAGGTTGGGCCGGAAAACGTGGGAGACGCGGCTCCGTCTTTGTAAGTGTTGCGCCACATCTCGACCCGTCCCGTGTGTCTTTCGACTGCAAGGATATCGCAGAGGCCGTCCCCGTCCCAATCGCCAAAGTGGATGCTCTTCCTGTCCCGGCCGATGGAGATGATCTTTCCATGCTGTCCCCAGTTAGGCGGCGACTTGATGTTCTCGAACAAGGTGATTTCACCCTCCGCGCTCACCCAGAGATAATCTTGCATCCAAGTTAGTGTCTCGCTGATGAAACATGTTATTAAGAAGTAGGCATATAGCCACATACCATCGTGGCCTCGGCCGAACATGTCACAATAATGGACTCCGTCTCCTTTTCTCTGAGTCCCGCCGGCGCCTCGATTCGTATAGGCATAAGATTGAACGTATTTCTCGTCAGCTATGCGATTCCAGATGAGGTCAGCGCGCCCAGAGCCCGATATCCGTCCAAAGACGAGCTCTGTTCTATCTGTCAGCTCGGGAATTGCAGGATGGGCCGCTGTAGCCTCTACCCAGTGAGGTCGTAGGCCTTTGCCGTCGGCATCAAAATCTCCTCGCTGGTTGATCCAGATTTCAGAGGAGCCGTCCTTGTGCAGGTAGACCCAGTCTGATCTGCCATCACCGTTGATATCGACGAGATTGACACCGAGGATCCCTTCGGCTTCACCTTTGGCGGTAAATGTTTCCTCGCCAACAACCTAAGCCAGTCAGTTTGTCTGTTTGGTCAAATTAAGAAAGTAGCCAGTTTGGATAACATACGAAACTTTGCCAGTACCCCTTATACGTCTCTGTCGGTGCATCACCCACGCCGCCGTTGCGCCAGCAATAGATGTCGCCCTTGTCATCAATGGCGCAATAATCCAGCCGCCCATCTCCGTCAATGTCGCCGAGACGGACCCTATCTTGAGGACCCCATGAGTATCCCTCCTTGATAAGGCCACCGTTCTCCAGAGGCTCGAATTTCGGAGGGTTGCCGCCCCTGTTGATCGACACATACATGTTGCCATCCGGGTTGATGCAGATGAAGTCGTCAAGGCCGTCGCCGTTGACGTCGCCCCAACGGTGCCCTCGAATCAGACACTTCAATCCCACATCGATAGCAACGCCTGTTACAGCGATATTGCCACTATCGTTGAGATACATACGACAAGTTCCCGGCGTCGGATCATCGCTTGTGCCCTTGTCAACGCAGTTGATCAGCTCGTCGAACTCTCCTCCCGGGTCTGCGCCTCCCAAGTTCACCAGCTGGGCAAAGGATACTCGGCTGCCGGCCGTGAACGCTCCGCTCTCGGTGATATAACCCCGAACTGTCTGAAAGTGCCTGTAGGGCCCATCATCCTCGCCCCATCCCTGCTGCGTTTTCACAGGGCCGCGTCCAGACCCCTTTGCTGGGTCACAGCCGACGCTGCTGTCGTCGTCGACTCCAGTATCGATCGGTTTCGTCAGAAAACCCGCCTTCTCGACCTCGGCGATAGCGTCAGCCCAAACAGCAGCCATCTTAGCTGCGCCCTTTTCGTTGGGGTGCATAATGTCGTGATAGTCGGTCGAAGTATCCAGAAACCCATTATTCAACTCAGCCAACCCAATCTTCTTTCCTGTATCCCTGAACCTCTTATATAAATCCCGATAACCAGGATTAATCTTGTTGACATTGTTGTTTGCCTCATTGTCAAGGTAAGGTATCAGAGTTGACAGAATAATCGTGACACCCTCGACCTCCCCATATAGATAATTAAGTAACAGCTCCATTCGACCTGCGGTACCATCCACATCCTGGCCAGTTTTTGGGTTGGCATCATTTGTCCCGCAGTTTATGAGGATCAGATTTGGCTTCGTATCGATCCCCAGACCGGCGTTTTTAATCATCTGTGACACCACCGCACCAGGATGTCCCTCGTGCTGCTGATCCTTAAACTTCTCAGGATCACCATTCGACTGGCTACCGACCATATTGACTGGCCAGCCTTCCCATCTTAACTGGTCTCGAAGGGGTTTCCGGTATCCGTTCTGCGGGTCTGTGCCTACTCCTGCGGTAATAGAGGCGCCGAGAGGCATAATCCGTAGGTAGAAAGGCTTCTCTGCTGCCGCCCTGACGGCCTTGGGCCGATAGTGGTGACTCCATAGCTCTGCCAGAGCATCGTCATCCGAAAGAGTACGGTTATACGTTAAAGGCGTGGCTAAGACTGAGGAAAAAAGAAGGAGTAAGTGAGTCAAGAGACGCAGCGCGCATCTCGGAGACGACGCCATGTCAAGTGTCCACCGCGTGTAGTGGTGATGCGTGATGAATCAAAGTTGTAGTTTGAATCTGCCTCTGGTTGGGGATCAAGAGGCTTATATATCTAGCCAAATGATATCCATACCTGGGGCTGTGATTTAGAATCTATGGTAGAAAGCAAGGAGACTTCCCTGCCCGTGATACATGGACTTAATGACAAATTACTGTGTGCTTAGGATTTTCCTAATTTCTGAATATCCCATGGGATGGAAATCCTGCCTGTGCAACCTTTGACTATGTTGGCGCTAATCGATACTGACTTGCTTGCCAACCTGCGCTTGGAAGGCTATGTGCTTGGGATAAAGCGTATTGGGACAGGGGTAAGGTAATAAAGTAGGCGGGTAAGAATACGCTTATTGAATACGCTTATTAAAAACGCTGCCCAAGCTATGATTCTAATAGTCTGTAAATTCCGCGGCTGCGTATCATGACTTCGTGGATAATCAAGTCAAGCTGGCCTATCAAGTTAAGCTTATGCCCATGAACTAACTACAATAGTATTATATGTTACTTGGTGGGCTGTGGCATGATTCTTCTCATTCTATAAAGTCCGCCAGTAAACGGCCTCTACTAGCATAGAGCGTAACTTGTGAGATTATACGACAAACCACTAAACCGCAAGAAAGAAGAAATACGACAACAGAACCATTATACTGCCAGCCTTGACAGCAATAAGCGTAATTTATAAGCTTATACTACAGTATTAGGCTATTGCCGACAATTTTGACAGCAAACTAGGCGTCCGTGTGATCCTTAATCACATGCATTTAACCAACCTGACGGGATCTCTAGTGCTAATCCCTGTCCAAGTTTTTAGTGATCCCCGTCAGCCAATTCACTATGGAAGCTTTGTAAATGTGAATGGCGATAATCTCCTGGCTTCGTGTGGCTGCATGTTAGCGATTGTAGTTTTCTGCGCGTTAATCATATGGTTGTATACAATAGGTGGAAACTCGGTACTTGTACTATTTATACAGGAGAGTGGTGGCGACGAGCGTTTGTGCTCTAGGATTTATTTCTGCATTTGATGATTATTGAGACCCTAAGATACATGTAAAACATAACTAACTGCAGCACTAGATATAACCGCGAACAATTCGTTATCTGCAATCTATTGCGCAAAGATTCAGAATTTTCAGCTCAGTTAGAGAAAAGCTGCACCCGCAGCCAACACAGCAGCAAAGCCAAACAAAGTTGGGGCAGAAGAATAGGCAAGACCTGTAGAAGTCGAGCTCTGTACCTCGGTTGTCCGAGTTGGACTGGGGAAGACGAATGTGCTGGTGGTGGTGTTTGATCTCGAGGGAGCCGAAGTGGTAGCAGGAGCCGAAGTCTCTGTGTGGCTGGAGGGCGGCCTAGTTGTCGCATTACCCGCGGTGGTCGTTTCTGGAACGCTGGTGGTTGTTGTTTTGGCACTCCCATAATCTATATTGCCATCTTTGTCTTCGGTGAAGTGATCCCAGGCAATGTTGTCCAGAGCTACCTTTGGGAAATCGTAAACGAGCGAGCCGGATATGAGGTTCACGGAGATGGAGAAAGCGGAGTATGTTCCTGCATCCGGCTTCCATTCGATTGAATATGGACCTGTACCATTCTTCGTCGGGAATTTCTCAATCACCGTATACTGCTGGGTATCGCCAAGGCTCAAAAGTTGCAGCTCCACGGTGATCTTTGTGTCGTCGTCGTCGAGCTCTCCATCAGCCAGGTGCGACCAGTCAACTGCAAGGTCGAACGCCAAGTTACCAAGGATGTGGTCCCCGGCTTGGAAGGTGAGATAATCGAAATAGACAAGAGTGTCTCCCCACAGGACATTATTTTCCAGTTTGTCAGATAAATCAATATCGCCAATTGGGGTCTCGCAAGCGTCCGTTCCGACAGAGTTGACTACGGTTGCGCCCGTTATTACCGTGCCCTTTGCTTGGGTTAGAAGTAGTTCTCTACGTGATTCGGCATAACGGAGAAACGTGGCATACCGCATATCGTTTTTCATTTTGAGAGAAGTCAAGGCTTCCACACTTATCATCGTTTGAGATATCGAGATCTTCAAACTTCTCATTGTTAGTACAATGATGCGTTCCTTGATAACCCAAGCATACTCACGCTGAGGGTCACTCGATCGCCGTAGACTAGAGGAAGAATAGCAACTGCCGCAACTAGGCTATTATATGTCTTCATGATGTTTTCTTTTTGATATGCGGATTCTGTTGAGTGGAGAAGTCTGTAAGTGTTGAGCCGAGTTTCGAGATGGAAGAGGCTGAAGAATGAAAGAGGCTGAATTGGAATTGTCACTTGATGAATTATCGCTATTGCCTCACCCTTTATATATCTGAGTTGCTGGCTGTTTCACTTCCAACTATTAAATTGGCATCAGGAGATGTCATACAGATCAGTGCTGCTTGGTTACTTGATTCTGCACTCGGCTATGCTGTTGGGATAGGGCTTTGAAGGTGGCAACGCGGCTCAGCTTACCAGGTCCACAGCGGGTGCTACTTTAGGTCGATCAGTAGTACGCGTACTTGGTTTTTTCTAAACTTAGAATCTTGTAGAGTAGAATAAGGACGCACCGTAGAATATGCCCCTGTCGGATTGCCCAATAAATAATACCGTGCACCAACAACAGGCGGAAGTACTCATAGACTGAAACCCCCGTCTAGACTGAGAAACCTGCCTATGCCAAGAACTCGCAAGGATTTTCCCACCTATGAGAACAGGCCATCTATGGGGTAGCAAAAGAAAGATCTCATCATAAAGACTAGGCTGAGCCTAACGAGGGTAGATCGTAAGCCTAACGCTATCTATATCCCTACAGATCCTCAAGCTATGTAGTACAAGTATGGCTATTGTGTGTGATTGATTAATAACCACGAGAACTACATTGTTGCTGTGTAATTCTTTAGCCTTGCTGATGCCGCCTCTAAAACAGCCTAATACGCTTAATTGGCCTAGTGTGCTCCTTCGTCAGGAAATGGAAGAGCAAATGATGCTGGTTGTGAAGCGCCCATCCGCAAAGTGGCTGGATTCGGACTTTATAACAACGCCGATCCCAGCACTCTGCTCTAAACAGCACCATGGCCCAACCATCTTCCAAAGATCTACTCCTTCTAGAGCAGTCGAACTCCGTAGTCAGTTACTAAATTTATCCTACTTAGTCGCCAAAAAGCGGTTCATCTCCACCCTCGATTAAACGTGGGAGGAGCCTGTTCTCTGTTATTTTTTTTTAGCTCGTCATTCTTAAGTCGCTGCCATTGATTCGCCCATTCGTATTTTTATCCGATGCCCAAGGGGGGTTCTTTTCTGTACTGACACTTGTAAAAGATGACTTGTAACTTCCGATGTATACTTGCAATAGTGTATGAAGGTAATTTATAAAGTATTCACTACAAGAGTAATTCCTTCTTAATCAAGTATGTAATAGCCCAGCCTGTTTCCAAGATATATACTACTTTATATCTAAGTGAGGTTCAGTTGTAATAATAATACAGAAGGTTAATAGAGAGATAGCTATATGTATGAAGGATATTTGTCTCTAGCGAGAATTAGTTTCTAAACTATATTGATGCAGTAATCTTCCCATTTGATGTACCAGCTTCCATGCAACGACGTGCCTCCACTATCAGCTGAGGCGGAATACCTTGCCAAGGGGAGATGCAGTTTCCCCGATTAAACCTGCTTTAGTAGCTGGTTCAGAGTTGTCGAAAGGAAGTCCTCCAACCTCTCAGCATAAATCATCAGATTCACAGCACTACTAGTATGTGTTACCGCACCACCTACCAAGCACGCGCTCCCGCCTCTCGCCATACGCTTTAGAACACCTGGACTCACCGATCTACTATTCTCCTTCGTCAGTCACTCAGAGAACTGGAACTCATATTTTATGAATTCGTCGTAGAATGCTTCTAGTAGCCTACCACGCTTGTTCATAGGTATTCTGGGCCACGACTGATGCGCCGTATTGGCTGCTTCAACCGCGTCATCAAGACTTCGCCTCGTAGCCACGGGTACGCCTCATAGTTTCTGCTCCGTTGCTGGATTAATCCTATTGTTCAATGGTTGTGCGCCCCGAAATTCTCCATTCACGACATTGAAAAAAGCGGTAAAACGAGACATATCAAAGTAAGCCAAAAAAAAGGCTTTGAGATAAATCTGCAATTATCGCATGATTGGTACGGTATATGTTTCTCCCTGCCGGGTCTGGACAATTGCTGTGGCAAATCCATGGAACGGAGATAAGAGGGACTCCTGATTCCAGATACCCCTGACTACATGTAGGCCCGGATGGAGCAGGCTGCTATTGCCGGGCCCGACACTCTTTCAACAATCGCCATGGTAAATGCCGGAGATGGGCGGGACCTGTATTCCGGATACCTCTGAATAGACTCGGGCGGAGGAGGTTATGCCAGCAAGGCCGAGATGTCAAGCCAAGATGAAGCATATGATTGGGCTTATTACGTGACTATTCGGATGCCTCTAACTAGATTTACTATGAAATAGCTATTCTATCCCGAGAGGTCAGGACTGGTATAGCTCTATAAAATTGACTCCTCAGCTAACTAACTATCGTCAGAATCTTTCGTTTGTAGGTTACAATTCCCACGTAAACCAATCTCCGCGTTTTCTAAAGTCTTGAGCGGCTTTTTCGGACTGTTTACTGCTTTGTTTCAATGCTCCACAGGAGCGTCTGGCTACTCAACGCGTGTTATTCATCATATCTTACGAAAGATGGCCCGTTTGTCGGTGGCACAATTCCAGTAGGTGCAAGAGAAATACCCGGACGATACGAAGTACATGTCTGTCAATTTATTCTAGAAACCAAGATACCTAGATCGAAACACCAGCACCGATCTCGTTTATTCTCAGTTCGCTGAAAGAACGGGATTCCCAGGAATAGCATCTTGCTGTCCGATGGAACACGCTGCCACTGCATTGGTTGCAAAGAATGCAAAAGGGACTTGCTTTACTCTCCGGGTACGGTGAAAGAGCGACTATCTCTATCCTGCTCTAACGCTTTACATAGGAAGCTTTGTTCTCCCTTCTAGTAGATTTAATCTGCAATTTGTAGCCAATTGTGCAAAGACCCTTGAGCGCGAGAGACAGGAGGCAGCGGTTCTGGTAGTATCCACTGGTGAGAATAATTTACTAGACACTGTCGTTCATTTATGTGGCCTACTAATGTGTACGCATAGATCTCGCACCAGGCTCTCAATATCCGCGCCAATTAAGCCAAGGAGCTACAGTCCTGAAATACTTGCTTGAAAAGACAAGCCGGAACCCATCAGATATACGACAAACCATTCGATATACCATGGCGATGAAACTTGCTGAGCGATAGAGCATAGATTACACTAGTCGGAGATTCGGCAGCAGGAAATCCGGTTCTTGCACTCCTGTCACATCAGCCATCCGGTCCCAAACGTTCCACTTCTTGAACTGAGAGAAGACCTTCAGGGCGGTATTCTCGTATCCCCGATCACAGACTTTGATGCCACGACATCGTCGACTATAGAAGATTCGAAGAAAGACTGGCTCGGCCAGAGTTCCATAAAATCGTGGGGTGATAACTATGCGGGGCACAACGTTCGAGATATATATATTAACCCAGGCTGGGCATCAGAAGATTGGTGGAAAGATGTAAGAGTAAGGAGGGTGATCGTTCTCTTTGGAGAGTACGAACTCGCAAGAGACAGCATCGAGACATGCGTTACAAAATTCAAGGTAAGGCCAGCTCGTCATAGCATAACATGTACGTTAAGTTCTGTACATAGAACCAGACTAAGACGGAGTAACAGAAACACAATCCAGCGACAACTGTGGTACTTGGGAGGGCGAATTCCACGCACAACCAGTCATGGACTTTATCCGGGGCTCTAAAGTACCGATCAAGCAAGCAGAGGCATTGATGCCGTGGTTGATACAATCTTGGTGGTTATAAACGCCTTATAAACTATTAATATTACTCAAGATGTAATAATAATTGATCTCATATTAGTTTCTTTGGGTGTTTTGCGCTCTGTATCAGCAGAAATATTCTTAAAAAAATAAATAATATGTATTATTTTATTAATACCACTTGGAAAATTCATAATTACTGCCATTATCTCTTTGTAACAAGACGTAGATCCAATGAAGCCCGGGGGACAGCATCTCGGTCTTGACAGCATCGCTAAACGGCCAGGCATACACCTCGTGCATGGTGTGGTCGTCAATGTTGGGTGAGAGAGCGTTTGGTAGCACCCATTTCCAGGCCTGGCGGAGATGCTCCTGCTCGTTGGCAATGAAATGCTTGATGGTAGCCATGGTACCCTGGTCTTGAATGTCCTTGATGGTCTCGTAGCATCCGTACATAGATTCCGGACACCGCGGCCCGGCCCGGACTTAACGTACTTGACTTCTCCTGGAATTCTACTGCCTAGGAAGACGAAATATATATGATTTGGCTTCGTACTTCTTGAATAAGCTACTGATAGCTCGTCACTTTAATGTTTTGAATCACATTGCTGTATTAGACTTGACACTAGACTACAACTCGCCACCATGTCATTTGATCCAACCAACCTTGATTCTATTGCGGCCAAGTCTGTTCTCATCACCGGTGGCTCATCTGGCTTAGGCCTTGCCACAGCCCGTGCTTTTGTGGCCTCGGGCGCATACGTGACCATTGCAGATATTCAGCCGCCTCCCGAAGATGCATTTGGCGATGGACAATGCCGCGTCAATTTTTCGCTTTGCGATGTGAGAGACTCTGCCTCGCAGGCCGAAGCTTTCAAAGGGGCGGTCAAGTTTGCCCCAAGTCATGCTCTTGACGTTGTTGCCCTCTTTGCTGCCGTGGACGATTCGCCCAACCTTGTCGATCTCGTCAAAGCCTCTGACTCTCAGGCAATAAATGTGCCGCATCAACTCATATCTCATGAGAAAACCGCTGGCTTTGCTGAGGCTTCGTCTGGTGGCGGTGGGCCAAATCTAGACAACCTTAGCATAAAGTGTCTAGATGTGAACTTGAAGGGAATCTATTACTCAACCTATCTCGCCTTGCATTACCTGCAGCAGCCCCAAGCGGCACCCTCTTCTCAAACGTCGGGCACGAACAATCGCTCGACGAAGTCGCTGATTTTGCTTTCCTCATTGGGTGGCTACCTCGATGACAGCCACGACAGTATCTATTCCGCCACCAAGTACGGCATTCGAGGTCTCTTCCGCAGCATCCGACTGCGATCATACAATGAACTAAATGTGCGCTGCAATTTGGTAGCACCATGGGTCATCAGAACACCGTTGACTGCTCCTCTGCAAGGCTTCTTGGACAAGAGCGGAATACCTCAAGGGAAAGGATTGACTTTTGCAACAGTGGACGCTGCTGTTGAGGCTGTGGGTCGGTGTGCCGTTGATGAGAAAGTTGTTGGTCGCTCAATTGCTGTTGTGCCTGAAGGCAACTTTGACCTCGGTGATGATGAAGAAGGGCTCTGGGCAGGTACAGCATTGAAGAAAATTGTGCAGGCAAGAAAAGATGCCGGAGATGTGATTGTTTGATGAGTACATCTTTTCAATAAGACATATAGCGACCCGAAATAACTCGTCTTCAATATTATTTCACCAAACACTTTGGAGAGATGCGACTTTGTCTTATTCTACAAGTCTGTAATAGTAAACAACTCATAGGATACCAATCAACAACTATAATTTGATCCTTTGTAGAATATATGCATATTTCAAGCATGCCGGCAAGACTGGGTATAATCCAGTAGTCTTCAATGCCATTACAATATGGTACCTATCTCTATAACCTACCGCTTTCCAAACGATATCCCAAGCATCCTTTGCGACTCCCGATCTAGGAGCCGTCTTAGTTAACCTATACTTCTTCACTTTACATATATTCCAACTAATAGCAAAGCACGTAGCATCTATGAAAGTTGAGCTATATACTAGGCCGATTTCAGCTTTTCCTAAATACTGTAGATGGGTTACATACAGTCAGGGGCGATGGGTCGGATGAGCTACAGCACGGCCTTGTGTCCCACGCCCGCGGAATCCCGCGGAAGCGTGGAGTCGCTCCAGCGCCGGACTGCCAGCATTTGATCCACATGGCCGGCCGGGGGTCAAGCTGCAGTGACAAATCGATATCTATTTTAGCTACTTCTGGAGTTGGTATAAAGTCCGGAGATAATCACATACCTAGAGACATTCAGGAGATAATAAATCCGGGGCCTTGCTGCAACTCTACCAGACGGGCGAGTTAAGGAGGGAGCGGGTCTGCGTCACATCGCCGGACCTCCGGGCGTTACTCCGGACTCGGATGGCTTGGGTCGGAGCCACTCATAGCACCCCATCGCTCTTACAGCCCGCGATGAAAGGAAACTGTTGCTTCTATTTAGGTAAATGACTATGTTGTGTTTGTTTCTTCATATCAATTTTGTTTGGTTCCAGCGATAATTTAGATCTCTTCTGCAGACTAGACACCCAAAATGCATTCGAAAGAACCCGAATTCTCAGAGAACGACATACCAGATCTGAGTGGCTACGTCGCGATTGTTACCGGAGGTGAGCCTTATCGTTACGCAGCCATAGGAGAAGCTTTCAGCCTTGGTAGCTTGCTAATTGGACATGTGGTAGGTAATTCCGGTATTGGATATGAGACAGCCAACCAACTCGCGCTTCACAATGCGCGTGTCTATATCGCAAGCCGGTCTCAAGAGCGAGTGAGCCAGGCCATCGGTCAAATGTCACAGGCAACCCAGGGAAAGACACTTGACCTGCATTTTCTTCAAATAGATCTACAGGATCTAAAGTCGGTCAAGGCAGCTGCCGACCGTTTCATGACGCTGGAAACCCGCTTGGATATCTTGATCAACAATGCCGGTGTACGTCGGTTCACTCTCCCTATTTCTTTTTAGACCAGTACTTGTATCTAAATGAGCGATCAACCAGGTCATGACTGTCCCCTTTAAGCTCACCGCTGATGGGCTCGAGACGCAGTGGCAGGTCAACTACGTTTCGCCTCACGATTTCACCAGCAGTCTCATGCCTCTTTTGTTATCAACTGCGTCGGCTCTAGGTACTAAGGATCGGGTTCGAGTCGTTAATCTATCCAGCGATGCATCCTTTTTCGGCCCCGACAAAGTGCAGTGGGACGACGTCAATATGACTTCAACCAAGGGAGTAATGGAGCTGTGGTAAGTGGATTGCGACAGCATCGGGGAAATTGCAAGTACCGCCGCTCACCGAAGTAAACCAATCTAACCAGGAAGCGATACGGACACTCAAAACAAGCTAGCATACGTGATGCAAAAGAATTAAATGATCGCTATAGTTCGCAAGGTACGTTGCCCAAGATCTACTAGATACATCTCATACTAAGCCACCACAACGCCGCAGGTGTTACTGCGTACTCTGTTCATCCAGGCATCGTCAAATCGAATCTGCAAGGACACGACCCGACCATTATGGGAAAGGTGGTGCGGGTGGCGATGAAGCTCGGAGCTGGTGACACGCCCCTTCATGGAGCACTCAACTCGCTGTATTGTGCCACGAGCCCCAGCGCCCCGTTTCAAGGGCAGGGGAAGTTCATGACGCCTGTTGGCAAGCTAGATTCAAGTGCGGACAAATGGATTAGGGACAGAGAGGGGAATTCACGATTGTGGGAGCTGGGAGAGAGTCAATTGAAACGCATACAGTAAACAGGACTGTACTGTAAGGTGCTTTGTTTCTTATTTTATTATGATGTTACAATAATTGTAGACAACATTAACATTAGGTAGTGTATTGTGATTAAATTATTTCATTAGAACCAATTCAACTTATATTCATGTACTTTTCTCTACAACTATTCCAATTTTAGTAAGTAGTGTGTTATGAACATTCTCTCCGGAGCTCGGACAGGAGACAGCGTCAACTCTGGACACTAAGGATCGGGCTCGATGATGATCGAGGGCATGACGAACAATCTCGAAGGGTTTGATTGGGTAAGCGCTGTTCTAACATTTCTGTCCCCTGTGTCCATATGTCACATCTCCCCCAAAACATTCCATCCTTTAAAAAGCCGTTACTAACTCTGCTAGAATGCCTGGGATAATCAAATCCAACACAACAGTTGGGAGCCTACAGATGAGCCGCGGATGGCAAGTTTGGCGCCCTCTAATTCTCAGTTTTCAATGTTCTCCCCTACGAACTAGACGCGTGTGGCCGTGGTTTACAATGTGTAAATTATTTTTGTATCAAGATGTATCAAGATTTCAGGGGCTTCCACTGAAATGAGGCTGGACGGACATAATGATCGATTAACAATCGCTCTGCATATCGTTTCGTGGAGTGATTATCTGTACCCATAAATTTCTCGTATTCTCTCTCTTTGGATATTAGGTAGTCTACTTTTCTAGAAAAAGAGTACCAAACTTATGTCCATCCGATTAACACCATTCATGTTTACTAAATGATCAGCATCAAACAGCAATATCGCCCGTTGTCAAAACCACCTTGCCCTGAGTCCTGCCCTCATGTACTGATTTGACGGCTTCAAAGCCCTCAGATAGTGGGAGAATTTTTCCGATGCAAGGCTTAATCTTTCTCGCTGCCACGAACGAAATAAGATCTCTAAACTCGTCCAGCGTGCCTGCATAGACTCCATGAATGCTAAGCTGATCAACCAATAGACGGAATGCATCCGTAGGCAGTTCAAAGCCGCCGTGGCCACCGCAAACCACAATTGTTCCTCCTGTTTTAACTGAGGCAACTGAATGCTTCCAAGTCACAGTGCCGCTGGTATCGAATACGGCATCGACTTGTGTGGGAAGCGTCTCCCCAGCGTCAAACGTTTTCTCAGCGCCAAGAGACTCTGCGAGCTTTCTTTTCTCAGCAGTCCGACCAGTAGCCCATACACGCATTCCCGCAGCGACACCAAGCTGGATAAGAGCCGTGGTAACGCCACCAGAGCTGCCTTGCACAAGCATAGTCTGGCCAGGTCGCATTCCGGACTTGGTGAAGAGCATACGATAGGCAGTAAGCCAAGCAATTCCAAGCACAGAGCCCGATACCGGGTCGATTTCCTTGGGTAGAGGCAAAAGGTTGGCCGGTGGGACAGCAACATATTCCGCCAGAGTACCATCTCGAATTTCTGACAAGACATTTCGCTTTTCATCCTTTGTCTCATCGCCAATGTATCCGGGCGAGATCATAACGGGGTAAATTACGACTCGTGATCCATCTTCAAGAGTTCCAACGCCCTCACAACCCAAAATGATTGGAAAGGTGAGTCCGTGCATGCCAACGCCCTTAAGGGTAAAAACGTCATGCCAATTGACGGTTGCAGCCTCGATTTTGACGCGTAGCCAACCCTCTGGAACCTTGGGCAAGGGTCTTTGGCCAACTGTAAGACCTGCCAGAGGGTTTTCATTATCACCCTTGGCTGCATACACTGCTAGCATAGTCTGTGCCTCGGATGATGCCATGGTGTATAAGACGAGAGTTTATGAGAGTATGTCGTGGGGATTAGGTTCGAGGGCAAGATACGAGGGATTATGCGTATGGAATGAAGATGAGTTGGAAGATGATATAGCCGAAGTAGACTGATAGAGCCATACCTATATATGAAAGGGCGTTCAAGATGTTGATGCCATCTGCGGAGAGGCGGAGAAACTTGGCTATCCAGCAACCCCATAAAGCTGCATTTTACTTGTCTAAAAAAATACGGTGTTTAGGAATATCCTGATTATTAGGTCTTCTCACTAACAACATGGTAGGACCCTAGAACGAGTCATCCAGTGTTACCTTTTGTGTGCGGAATTCCGCATGTGCGAATTCTACTCGCACCAGAACATATAGAAATCCACAACTATTATTACTAGCGCTGGAAACCTCACATACACTAAATTTGTCAGATAGTCTAATCATAACTCTTTTCAGTCATAATGTCCAGTTTCCCCTTCTTCGCTCCGACAAGTTGTGAATACACATGACGTGGAGACTCCGCTCCGCACTATGCGGAGATTTAAATACAACCCTTTTAAGACTACCGATGACATTCCATCGACTATAGAATAACGATCAAGATACCTTAAGTGAAGTTTTGATGGGGGAATGCATGTTGTGGATCTGGGCTGTGTTCATCTTGCGTGAATCCAACTAACGAGAACTTTAAGCTACAGACTTTGCACTTTTGCACTTTTGCACTTCGCAACTAGAGGTAGGAGCTATTTTATATGAGAAACAATGTTTCAAGATTGTTATACTATATCTCGTACGAGGAGAATACGCCAACTATGATTTGGGTCTTATTTGCTTTAATCTTGAAGAGTAGTTTCCCGTGGATTTTGCTGCTGTCATATGGGTTATATCGAGAAAAATAATGAATAACACATAAAGTAAGCTGCCAAAGAATTGTCCCATGAAGTTCTACAGCCTGAGGTAGAGAAGTAGGGGTCTTAGGGGAAACATCTCTTTGAGGGCGCAATTCACCAATGTAATAATCATTAGGAACCTCACTGCTGTTAAGTCTATGTTACTAAATGTGGTGCGCATTAAAACTCACCATTTAATATATTGTGGCTGATAATATGTATTCACTCTGACAGATAAATGCAACAGACGCGGTGAATTGATCATGCGATATGCCTAGGCGAGACCTCATTCACCTCTCTCTTTCGTTTGCTTCTCAGACTTCCCAGTGAATTCTGGTCTCCAGATTATAATTACCTTGGTCTACGCAACATTCCAAAGTCTATCGTCTCAGCCTTTCCCCTAAGATCCAAAACATCCTAGTGACATATTTGTACTGCTGTAGGCATCAACGGATTGTGAGTCATCATGATGTTTCTGCTGTCGTCTTTAACTCAGCGTTTAGCAAAACGAGCGGAGGCATTACCATTCTCCATTAAACCGCTGGTATGTAGCAGAAGTTGCCAAGACTGTGCAGTGCTAACAACATCATTGACAACGCATCAGCTTCAACCCCCTGGTATCCATTATCCTTCTCGACTCTTTACATCTAGCCACAATCTATCTCGACAACGCACAAAAAAGCCTTCGTTTATTTTATCCCTTGAACAAGAAAATATCGTAAAGCTTTGTGCTGAGCAAAATGTTGTTGTATCAGCACGGCCTGGTTCAGGCAAAACGGCCATAGCAGAGGCTATTGCAGCTCATTATCCGCACCTGCGAATAGCCCTTTCGACTTACTCAAAAATTCTTCAACTTGAGAATGCACGCCGTCTGAAAAAGTATCGCAATGCAAATGTTTTCACCATACACAGAATGGCAAGGTTGCTTTTCGGGACCGTTGTGCACGACGACGTCAAGCTGTTAGAGCAGATAAAAGGAGCTGTATCCAGTAATGAGCTGCCAGAAGGGGACTTTGAGCCTTTCGACATCATTATGCTAGACGAATTCCAAGACTGTGATGACCTCCTCTATTGGTTGATTATCTGTTTCATTCGAGTAAACACTCGAAAGAGGGGAGGTCGACCTGTTCGCCTCGTCACTCTCGGAGATGAGCGGCAGTCCATTTTCCGATTTCGCGGCGCCGATCATCGGTACCTCACTTTTGCCCCCGAGTTGCTGGGTCCTATTAGCTCCCACTCCTTTGTCGAACTCTCTCTAAGTGAAACTTTCCGACTATCGAATGAAACTGTCCAGTTCATCAACAAAACATTTCTTGGGGGAGACTCATATATGACCAGCTCAAAGTCCGGCCCAAAACCTATTGTCTTTAGGTACAGCCCTCCGGACTTCAATGGGCTGGCTAAGAAACTGGCAGCTTTGATCAAGCAATATGGCGCCGAGAACAGCGCTATTATTGCACCATCAATACGGAGAAATGAACATCTGATCAAACTGGTCAATATCCTGAGCGAGAAATATGGCATACCAATTGCTCAACCCATTGAATACGACAGCCCTGTAGATAAAAGGATCTTGGACGGAAAGTTGTCCATATCTACTATTCATGGATTCAAGGGTAGAGAGCGTGATCTGGTCATTCTATTGGACATAGACTCCTCCTTTTTCAGGTATCTTGGCCGGGATCTTCCGGATACCACCTGTCCGAACGAAGTGTTTGTCGCCTTAACCCGTGCAGTGGAACAGCTTGTCTTAGTCCACGATGAAGAGAAGAAGGTGATGCCGTTTGTCTCTGTGGATGGTCTGTACCAAACAGCCAAGGTCACCAACATGACATCCGAGAAGACCAAAATTGCATCTCCCAACGCACCAGGCCGGGCTTTGCAATTTGGGCTTGCTCTACCCAGCAGAGTTAGGGTCACGGACATGGCACGATATGTCCGAGGTGAACGCCTTGATGCTATTGTTCAACGTCACTTGTGTATTCGAGAGCTTTCGGCCTCCTTGCCGGAAAAGGAACACATTCGAATGCGTGATGTTGTGTGCTCGAATCCAGAAAAGGGATTCCACGAGGCGGTGGGTGACATAAATAGCCTCGTGGTTCTAGCAGCATTTCAGCACGCTGTTACAGGAACAGCACCATTGTTCGTCTCTAGCAACCAGGTCACCGAAGAAGAGCTTCCGTTCTATACAGATGAGCAACTTTCTCGGCTTTGTAGGAACGCTTGTGCTTATCACGCCCGGATTTCGGGCTACCTACCTCGCTATCTCCAGATGAAAGATCATGATTTCAATTGGATCTATCTCAGGGACCTTGTTCTTGCACAGAACCGACTCCAGAGTGAACTTGGAGATTCAGCTTCTAATCTCAAGTTTGAGGTTGACGTCGAGCGATACCTTGTTGTCGACAAGAGAGAAACCCTCCTCTATGGTCGAGCCGATGTTGTCACCGCTCCCATCATTTCGAAGAATGGCGATGTTGAAAGCGTAGAGTCTGTTTGGGGGATCAAGTTTGTCCCAAGGCTTTCCAATGAGCATATCGTACAAGCGTGTGCTTATGCGTACTTGTTGGCTGCTCGATCCGGCCAGGTACCCCGTATAATACTCTACAACGTGCGAGATGGCAAGAAGCTGGAGATCACACCACGTGATGGACTAGACGGACTGCGGCGTATGATTGAAAGCGTTCTTCGTTTAAAGTATACGGCGGAGAGGGGGTTGGAAGATGACCAATTCACCGACATGTGTAGGAGGACAACACGACAAGTTCTGGACTTGGATGATTCAAGGAATCAAAGAGGAATTTAATGGCGGGACTGATTAGACCAGTCAGCTGAGAGGGGGTTGCTAGGCCCTCATTATGCCGTTTATTGTGGCTTTCAGAGAATCGAGTGATGGAAGAATGGAAGTCTTTGGTGTAAAAACACCAGAAACAAACGCATCTTGAGCATATTCCCAGGAAGAAATCTCATGATAGATAGGTAGTGAAATTTACATTTATTTAATCTTGATCACACTTGTCTATTAATGCTCTATGGAAAAGACTAACTGACAGTGAACAAATCTACCTTACTGATGAAACACCTCCGTCAATGATTTGAGAACCACCTTTCCCTCCTGTTCAGCGCACGTGATAATCGTCAGAGTAGACTGCTGCGTCTCGACGCCAGTTTCTTTATCGATGACTGAAAACACAGTGCGGTGAGCCACTGATCCTCCCTTCGTCTTGTCCGCATCATGGCTAGCAAGAATCTCTTCAACCTTGACGACCTTGAAGATCGATTTGGCACGAGAGGAGACAATGGCTGCCTTGTAAGCATCGCCCGGAACGGGACCGCCGTTGATGCTATCATGGTTAGGAGTGGGAAGAAAGACTTGGGTCGCGAAATATAACCTACTTGGCTTCGAAATCAGAAGCAAAATACTCGCCAACTGTCTTTAGGGATAGGTCATCGTCGGGCTGGAAGAAAGCCTTGACAAGTATTTGGTCAACGTAGTCGCCAAACTCTGTCGTCTTATATGCCATGGTTGGAGATTTAGGAATGAACTTGGTATAATAATTTAGTAGATAAGTTGTTGGGCGGGACTGAGAATGGATTGTTACTGATGAGTCCGTCTATTGAACTACATATATACCCATCGCGAGCGCATGACAATCCGACGTAACATAACTCGACAACATTGTTTGTTTGTCTTCTTCTGCCGGCTGCAACTATTGATCCATAATGCATAATCGGACTTCCGCCGCAATATTCCGGCGATAGAGTGCTGACAAAACGATGTCATCACAGATGTGCGCCGCCTGCGGAATTCCGCTCGTGAATTTTCTCACGACAAGGCGACGGTGGAATAACGGTAGTTTAAGTTGGCGTTATGTAGCACCACCTGGCAGTTATTCCGCTCTTTCGTCTACCGGTGGACGCAATGCGGAGTTGTCATTGTGAAACAAAAGATGCAGACTCTTTGTCACATCCGCAGACTAACATAACGCATCAACCCGTTATGCTTGGATCAGCCGCCACTCATACGCGTTATGTTACTTCAAGATTCGCTCACTATCATGCAAAAATAACGAAACATGTAGATCTCTTTTCTCTTGAGCTTTATTCATTTGCTCGATCATTTGACAGGGGGAGGAGTGTAGGTGAGAAAAGCAAACTCCTACTAACCACAACTCCACGCGGCAATCGTCACACCATGAACCAGTAAATGCGAATTACTTGTCAATTGCCCGTTGGTTCCACTTAATTAGAGGCCAACTGTGAGATCTGATATCCTCACAAGGGTATCTCACAGTTGGCCTCTAATCAAGTGGAATCAACAGATGTATACTACTAAACGCTGACAATTCCATATAAGGCATCAGAAATATTCCTAGGATACAAAGCAGCAATATTCGGATCCAACGTTGAAGTCGTATCCGTATGATTCAAGCAACCAAGGTAAGCATCCTTCCCATCAAGCTGATCCCGCAACCACGACACCACTCCCGAAATCCCAACAATCCCATACTTGACGTGGTCCAAATTTGGCGAGCTGGCTCTCTCGTAATGTACGTTGACACCATGGTCGCAGTAGTATCGCACCAAAGCGTCTATGACTTCAATGTTGGAGAGGTGATCAACGACACTCTGATACACGTATAACGGAGCTTTAATCTTGGTTATCTCCTGTTGAGTCTCTTCCTCCCATGCTTTTTCAAGCTCTGCCATCAATCCCGGTATCGACTCATTGCGAAACATGCCCAGAATATCTTGGTACGCAAACATCGATGTGCTCGCCTGCAGACACTGATGCAGCGGGCTGTAGAAATACTCCCGAAACTCAGGTTTCAGAGACTGGTCAATGTATTTCCGCAGTTCCAGATGCTGACTGGCCAATCCCAGCAACGCCGGTGGTATGAGTGCCGCACTCGGCCCCTTGTTGATGCTAAAGATGTCACTCGCATTTCCCAAGCTCGAGAGTCCTCCCATGGCGGCGCCGGCAATCTCCAATTCGGGAGCATAACCTTCTTGCATCATTACGGCTACTTGAGTGGCGGCTCCTCCTCCAGAGTAACCCCAAAGCCCTATCTTTGGGCTTGGTTCAATTCCCGTCATGGAATTTGACTGCAACGCAGCTCGAATGCCATCGAGAATTGCGTGGCCTGTCATTTTGTTTGCCGTAAATGATCCTTTAAGCCCCTCGTGGTCTGGAACGATGACGATCCACTTCTGAGCCAGCGCTGCCTCTGCGAATAATAACTGAAGCTGAGTGATATTGGAAGCGAGCAATGGATTCTCTTGTGCAGAAGCGAGCATCGTATAGGATGGGCTGCAATCAATCGTAGCAGAATCCTCAGCCATTTGTAAGGATACCAGCTTTTCGTAGTCAGCGTCGGGAGGTATAAGAGCCGTCAAGACAGCCGCAGTAGGATTGTTTTGACTATCTGTTGTCCGATATAGAATCTGGTAGGCTTTCTGCACATGGGTGGGAGTCCATCCATAAAGGGATATCCGCGAGGGCGGTTCTCTATGCTTTATTATGTCGCCGGGAGAAAATGTGTCTATATTTCCAGGCACGGCATAGAACGGATCATCGCTTGGAGGCGGAATGAGTTGAGGGCGACTTCTGTTGATGAACCGTAGATTTGAGGCCGACACGGCGAGAGATGCTGCCAGCCAATAATAGAGATGAACCATGGCGAATATGATGGGCACGCCTATGATTGGCGCATAGAGTATTGAGGGAGAACAAGCAGCAGGAGAGCGACTCTTAAGCGACTCAAACCACTGTCAATTTTGGGTTATACAACTTTATCATATTGAACCAATTGATAGGACGGCGAGTTCCTCTTATACCATTCACGTAGACAATAAGTGTGATTGATGTGAGACAAGGTGAGACAAGTTCAAATTTCTGCCCACGTTCGTAAGCATGGCCGCGGACACGGGTGGCATGTTACATTGTGATACACGGCTCATTTATTTTAGATATTCTGTTGGATATTCTGGCAGTGTTTTATGTTGCACGGTTTTACAATAAGACTTGGCCAGCTTGAGCGACTACTCATTCCATCTCCAGCTCATCAACACCAAGCCTCACATGATGCAGTATCAATCAAGCCTGATATTCGTAATACACCACACCGCAGTCGCACAAAAGACCTCTTCCGACGAGTATCCGCATTCCAACGCCTCGATTCACTCAATGTCTCACAATTGAACTCTCATCATTTCAGCCGTTTAGAGTGGCTACATCCACCTGTCTTGCTTTAGCCGCCCCAAGGTACGAGATTTTACCCGCCATCCGGTATTATAAAGCACAGAATGCCATCACTCCGCTCCCCACACCTCGTAATAGATCCAAGATCCAAGACACGCGCAGTACTCGTATTACGTCAAACACAAAACCTCCAACACCATTAAGCAATACAAGTCAAGTCAGAGTAACCACAAATCCCAAAATACGAATCTACACCACGCCACTCACCATACATCATACATATATCACAACTCTCCCCCCAAAGAACACCACCAATCAACGCCCCAACATTTGTCCCACGCCAGCACTCCAAAACAACCAAATCACACCATCAATCTCAACCGGCCATTCCGTCGGATATTGACCAAAGGACCTTGCAGAATGCCTTTCAACCGGGAACCCCCTCTCCAACTCCAACTCCAACACACCCTAGCCATGCACCCGGGACGATCTCCAAGTGTGGGGGAGCCAGTCAAAACAGCCGGACAAGACTCCAAGCTAAAAAAGAGTCCGTGATACCCAGATGCGATGCAATGTCACATCGAAAATACGCAGAATGGGTGATTACCAATTTGTAACAAAAAAGAGGTGAGGGGTAAGATTCGGATTCCAATGCGTGCCAACGGTTTAGTCCCATCGTTACATACCCAGGAAGTCCGAGGTTGGGCTATAAAAAGGCAAAGTTGACAAATGCCGTCGAGTTTGGCATTCTTCTTCATGATCGGAGCTTCTAGCTCTCACGATATCAAATAGCAGTAACCATGGTTTCATCAAGGAAACTCCTCATACAACTCACTTCTCTACTACCAATCGCCCACGGCGCTGCAATTCACCAGCGATCCGACGACACCTCCCACTCTTCTCCCATCGTCGACCTGGGATACGCCAAATACCGCGGTGTCAGGCTCGATGCCGGAGTAGATCAATTCCTGGGCATGAGATTCGCCCAAGCTCCCCTCGGCAATCTCAGATTCCGCGCACCGCAAGATCCAACTCCGGAGAAATCTGTCCAAGATGCCTCCAAGGTCAGTCAAACCACCTCACCCCTTACTTACAACATCACATCAACCAAGTTGGTTAACTCTCAACAACAGTTTGGCCCAATCTGCGTAGGCGTCGGCCAAACAGTAAACGCAAACAGCGCAGAAGACTGCCTCTTCGTCAACGTCTTCAAGCCCTCCAGAGCAACGCCAAACTCCAATCTCCCCGTCTGGGTCTACATCCAAGGCGGCGGGTACGCCCAAAACTCAAACTCCAACTACAACGGCACCGAAGTCATCCAGCAGTCCGGCGATGGCCTCGTCTTCGTCAACTTCAACTACCGCGTAGGCGCTCTCGGCTTCCTCGCCAGTGAACATGTAAGACAAGACGGAGACCTCAATGCAGGCCTGCTCGATCAGAGAAAGGTCCTCCACTGGGTACAAAAGAACATCAAAAAGGTACATGAACCTCTCACCCCCAAGATCCAAACAAACACTAACAAAAACAAGTTCGGCGGCAACCCAAGACACGTCGTCATCCAAGGCGCTTCCGCCGGCGGCGGCTCCGTAACGCACCACCTCACAGCCTACGCAGCAAAAAGGGACAACCAGCTCTTCGTCGGCGCAATCCCCGAGTCTCCCTTCTGGCCAACCCTCCGTACCGTCGCAGACATGGAGTTCCAGTACCACCAGCTCCTCTCCAACACAAACTGCTCATCCCTCGACTGTCTCCGCGGCCTAGACACCCAAGCTCTCGTAGACGCCTCCCCCAACGCGCCCTTTGTCGGAGCAGCAAGCAACAATCCTCTGCCCTTGTGGTACTGGCTCCCCGTCATCGACGGACATCTCATCACAGACCACCTGTACAATCACTTTGAGCGCGGCAACTTCGTCCGCGTCCCGGTCCTCGTCGGCGACGACACCAACGAAGGCACCTACTTTGCCTTCAACGCCACAGAACCCTCCCAAGTCGAAACCTTTCTCAAGAACAACTACCCCTACCTCCAAGATTCCCAATTGAAAAGCATCATCCGCGCTTACCCTCTCAAATCCTCCCTCCCCAAACACGCAGCATACTTCCCCTCCGCGGAAGCCGCCTACGGAGAATCCACATTCACCTGTCCCGGAAACACCATCGCCGCCTCCGTAGCCAGATTCTTCGACCCCCGCCGCGTCTGGAACTACCATTACAACGTCCTTGACCCCGACAACATCGCCAATGGCCTCGGCGTCCCTCACACGTTCGAGACGAGCGCAGTGTTTGGACCCGGATACTCAGACACGGCGGCAGCGTCCTACTTCACGACCAACGCCGCAATCGTCCCCGTAACCATGCACTATTTCCTGAGCTTTGTGACAAAGTTGAATCCGAACGCGGCCAAGTATCATTCGGCGCCAAACTGGGATCCTTGGGGCCAAGGCACGGGGCAGCGCGTCAGACTGCAGACCAACAATACTGCCATGGAGCCTGTGCCGTTTGATCAGATAGCGAGATGTAGCCTTTGGAAGAGCCTGCAAAGCTACACACAGATGTAAAATACAAAATCACGAAAAAGGAGGTCAATAGCAAGGCATACACAGATAAAGAACCAAGAAACGCATCAAAGAAACATCCATACTTTCTCTTGAGCGTGTACTGATATGAACCATCATGCAAAAGGCAGCAAGCAGGGAAACAAGCGTGAATAATTTTATTCATAAAAGTCAGTTATTATCATCTTTCTAGGGCTGTAGGGGGGTAGAAGTTGGCGGAAATGGCCCCGATACAAATATTGGGGGGTTTCGATTTTTAGGTGGTTGTAGACTTTTTGGTCACATACCCTAGTATGCCCGATCCCTGACACTATTTCATCTTGATCAATGAACACACTCATTCCTTCAAGTCGTATTTGATGTTTGACGTTCAATGATTCATCCTCAGACACTGTTGCCATTACCGGTTTCGTTCTTATCATTGGCAATCTGGCTCTCCCTCATCGATACGACAATCGATGTCAGCTGGTCAATCTTCTGCTGCAGTTCCATAATCTGAGCCTCAACCGGCGTTGGCGCATCCACATCGTCCTCTCCTCTATTTCGGCTAGACGGACGCAATTTCATCGCAGATCTAAGAGATGCAATTGGAGGACGGCCGGCTGCGGATGAGGGTCGAGCGGCCTCCGACCTACGGCGTCTCCCCTTAGGCTCCCTTGGGCCCTTGAAGCCGCGGAACTCGTCATCGTCATCGCCCTTGTACTTGAGATACTCGTAGAATTTGATGACGCCCACAATGGGCGCGTGGGTCACCTTGAGAAGCCAGATCCTACCTGCGCGGTATTTGTGGGACCTCGGGAAGATGTATCGCCATGGACGGAACAGAACCAGGGAAACAAGGTTGAAAGGGGGGTAAAAGTGTGTCAAGCGGTTGCTGGTTGAGGCCTCCAGCACGTAAACACTGTACACGTAAAGGTACTCCTCCTTGGCGTGGGTGATGACGCGAGAAAAGCTGTTGGAGAGCATACCGGTGAGCGAGCCCATGAGAAGGAACGACGACAAAGTGATGAAGATGATCATCAAGGGAGGTCCAAAGACGGGATCAATCTGGTCCATGATCTCGAACCCCACATAGCTCGAACCATAAAATATCTTGGTCAAGATGCCCGTCATCTTGCCAAAGCTAAAGATGTCTCTGCCCACGAGGGAGAAGGTGGTCAGGAAGCCAAGGTAAATAACAATGACGAGCACCATGAACTTGATAAAGTCCTTGCCCATCTCCTTGAGGCAGGGAATAAGCGTACCCCAGTAGGGGCTCAGACTTAGGATGGAGCAAATACGAGGGATCATGAAGAGGGCCTCCAGGGCCAGCACATCGAATGCCAGGTCGTTTAGGCGCAAATCTTGACGCACGATACCAATGATTCCTTGGTCAACGATTAGCACTCGTTGTTTCTTGTGCGAGCAAGAGAGACGACACTCACTTAATACAGCAAAGATGGTGCCAATGAGAATCATAATCATGTCAAACAAATTCCAGATGTCGGTTGCGTAAAAGATGGCTCCGGCATCAATCCATTCACTCAATTCATCGTAAAAGAAGGCAGCCAGCCAGAAGAACAAGGCAATTTCGGGGCCAGTCAGGCGGCTTTCGTCCCGCACAATAAGGACAGAGTAATACAGGCACATGAAGACGACAAAGAACAAGACTTCCCAGCATTTGAGATATTTGGGCACACGGAGTCGGGAATAGGGGTCCGACGTGAATGGGTTATAGAAGTGGGCGTGCTTGGTCGAATGGATCGACATGGAATCCCAGAACACAATATCGCCGTTCCATATGCCCGAGATGATCTTCTGCACGACGTGCTGGCTAAGAAATCTCTTGGCGTCGGCAATAGCAGCAATCTCAAGAGCATTGAGACCCTCGAACGCGGCGGTTGGGTCATCATCATCATCATCACCTCCGCCATCCTCGTCATCCATGCTAAGATTGGTCAGGCGAGAAAGAGACGACAGAAGCTGTATCTTCTTGGACGAACTTCCCGCAGGGAGATGAGGATCCGAGCCGTCAAAAGAGGCCAACACGCGAGGAATCAACGGAGTGCCCTCGCCAGCTTCGGGGTCCGATCCGATGAGGCGATCGGACTCCTGTTGCCGCTGCTGTTGCTGTTGGGCCTTTACCTTCTTATGGTCAGGGATCTCGTAGAGGCAATAGGTCACAGCCTCGCGCTCCGAGTGGTGGGTCAGGAATCTCCAGGCTACAATCTCACAGGCGTTAGAGCGAGCTTCGCCGACGCCCTGGTTATCACGATCCGAGGCATAGTGCCATTTGAGCGCCCTAGCGGTGGGTGATGAGTCAAGCAAGCATAAGAGGGCCCGAAAATGGGCGTCAAGAGAACCTACAAGAGAGCATTGACGATGGCCGGATTGACACAGGTATCGGCCAAATGGTCGACCAAAAGGCGCAGCGCGGAGCCGGCTGACGTCGTGCGGAGCTGCTCAAAGGAGCTGGGCAGCTCGATGGCCTCGGTGATGTACTGGGACAGCTTCTTGACGACGAGGCGGAATGAGTCGTCCGGGCCGATGTAAGGGGGCTCGATGTAATCAAAGCGGGCGGAGAAGGGACTTCCCTCGCGGACAGGCGGTGGTTTCTTGAGCTTGACGCGGATGGGCATCTCTGCTGTTGCTGCTGCTGTTGCTGTTGCTGTGCTGTGCTGTGCTGTGCTGTGCTGTGCTGTGCTGTGCTAAGGACGGTGGCAAATCTCCAAAATTAACAAGAAAGAACAGGACAAAGGAGGTGATGATGATGACAAGAAATTGAGGTGATGAGAGCAGAGCGAGTCCCCAGCCGGGCTGGAAAAGACAAAGAAAAGAAGCTCGAGAGAGAGGAGCAAGAGCCCGTGATAGATGTGGATGGAGCTCTCGAGATGAATTGAATGGGGAAGCTTCAACCTTGGCGACGTCAATCTAGCGCGGCGTGGCCTGTGCGTGGCGCGGGTGACTGTCGACTGCAGGTGCGTTGCGGTACGAAGAGGGTACCCGTCTCCACGCGGTGCTGCTGGTAAACAAACGGGGCATCACAGCGCTATTTTGCTCGCTGTATAACCTCAACGGTGTCTTCCCATTTACGCTGGCTGAGGTATCTCGCTGGTACTCTCATGCAGGCAGCTGCTGCTAGAGCTGCCAGAGCCGCTATTACGGGCCGCTGGTCCCCTAAAACATGAGGTCAAGTGTCGCATCGCCCACTCGCACATGCCAATGAGAAGAGCTGCAGCCGCCATGCTACCGGACATTCATTGGTGCCGTTTCAGCCATCGACCCCTGTAGCACCTCATTTTGACTCTACTGTACAATTCTTTTCGATGAATTGATGGTGTTGAGAGTTGAATAGCGAATCAATCGTCCGAATGAGGGTTGATGCAGCAACTCCACAGCTCACATCGATCTCACTACACCGAGATGGGAAATCGCAGTCGCCTTAGTCCGTAATAGTACCCAAGTTGCAGCAGGGAGGAGAAAGGCAGCCTTTGGACGTTGCCGGTGGATCAAAGCTGGGTGAATTTGAGGCAGTGTTCGAGACACTTGACAGCATCTCGAGATACGGAACCTCCAGATTACTCTGAGACCGGAGTCCGGGTACCGGAGACACCACAAAAACCCTCAATTGCCTTGCCTCTCCCAGCGCCTTTGCACCTGTTTCAAGCTCACGGTTGCCACGACGCACTGTTTGAATTTGGCGTCGAATCTTGTATCGTTTCATGGCAATTCATGTTAATAAATCCCCCAACACAGAACAGAGTACAGTATACGCGTAATTGCCCATCCCGCGCTGCCATGATTCAACACCCCGCCCAACTTGTGCTCTCCCTCTGTACTAAATACCCGCGCTACCCAGCATCTAATATCGCAAACGCCGCAAATCAATGCATCCATTGATCTCTCTTAATTGAGCGTTGCCCCCAGCTACTGAGCTTGGCCTAGCTGGTCCCGACCCGTTCATTGCCAATCAGGGCCAACCAATCGGTAGCTCCCAATTCAGGGGGCTTGACTCAGGCGAACAAACAAAAAAAAAACACCACGGGTTCATGTGTCGTTGAGCTGTGTGAGAGCGCATGGGGACCTCGGGCGTCTGTGTCACTTTTATTCCGTGCAGAACGCACACAATTCAAAATTTGATGCCATCTAGAGCTTCAGTAGCGACGCAAGGGGGACGGACCTGAAGCAAGTTGCCGCTGAAACATGCAAATGCAGCCGCCCCAAAGAGACAGTACCTTGGACAATGTAAATACGCAGTGGATTCATACAGCACTGCTTTATTCACAGCTCCCTCACCTCACCTCACCTCACTTCACTTCACTTCACCTCTCGTCTCACTCATCTCACATGCTCCCGCCCTCTCTTTGTTTACTCGCAAATCAGCTCCCCAATGCCTATTTATACCATCAGCCCACCCTCCACGCAAGATTCAATCGTCCCGCTGCACCCTCCATTGGCCGCATTGCTCAACTAATGTATGCCAGTTGGGGCCTTGCAGGGGTCAATACGAACAAGGCACACTTGCCGAGCCAAAAAAGCACGAGCAGCGCCCGGTGCGACCTCACAAATCTGCAATCTGCCAAACACCTTCATCCGCAGCTTCTCTTCCCTCTTGCACGTCATTTTCCGGTTTGGCTTTTGTTTCCTTTGTCCCGCCAACTCTCTCCTATTTTGCCGCCCTACCTATAGAGGTGTTGTAGACAAAAGAAAAAACCCACCAAACAAGATGATCGTGGCCCCTCCGCCGCGATCCTCCACTCTCACTCTCACAGCCCTCGCCCTGTCCTCGACCCTCCTCCAGATCTCATCCAGCCATGCGCTGCCCCGAGAAACACAGACAATCGCCGTGCGTGAGCTCGACGTGGCGCCGTGGCCCATCGCCCCAACGCCGGCACCGCGCTCGCCCTTTCTCAGATCAATGCCGGAGCATCGTCTGGTGCAGCGAGACTTCAACACCGTCTGTGGCTTTATAGGGGGCGATGCCAACTTCCCAGCCACGTGCCTCGCCGGATCGCACTGCGCCGTCGACGTCGAGAACAAGGCCATCGGGTGCTGCCCGGACGGCGCGCCTTGCACCGAGGGAATCTTCACCGGCTGCGTCGACGTCAACAGCCCGCCGCAGACGGAGCTCAACCCCTACGTCTTCACCTGCACCGGCGCCGACGTGTGTTATCAGAACTCCTTTGACGGCGGCTTCTTCCAGTTTGGCTGCGGTGCCTTTTCGCATCTGGCGACGACAGTGGCCACCACGGCGGTTAGTCGCTCGCCGCTGGACTTTAGCCACGTCTCTTTCCAGCTGACGGCCACGCCCACGCTTCTCTCCGAGCCGACGACGATTGGATCACGGACCGGAACCGCTACTTCCAAGACCACCAGTCGCGCAACCAAGACTAACACCAAGAGCACATCCGACGCCTCGGAGACGGACGCGGCCACCTCCAGCGACTCAGCCTCCACCGGAACCTCGACATCCACCTCCACCTCAACCCCCGATCCCGCCGCGCCGACGTCCAGCGGCAGCTCAAAGGCCGGACCCATAGCCGGCGGCGTGGTCGGTGGTCTCGCCGGCCTTGCTCTCCTTGCCGGCCTGATCTTCTACTTCCTCCGCAAAAGGAGAGCAGCCACGCCAACCCAATACATCGCGTAAGGAAACATGCGCCATTGCTTTTTCGCAAAGATGCCCAGAAAACTAACCATGACCAAAAAAAAAAAACAGGCCATCAACTGAGAAATACGACAACTTTGACCCTCGCACCTATCCCCCCAACACCGCTCTCCTGACGGAAGAAAGGGGCATTCACGGCGACGAAGCTGAACTCACCCCGATTACCCCAAGGCCCAGCCAACCCGCCCCGCAGCTCGGCGAGCTTGGTTTAGCTGTGCCTCTCGATCCTGGCTATGGCCGGCCGTCAGACGAGATTCCTCTGACGGAGCCTGCTCCCAAGCCAAGCTTCGTTCCGCCGCCGCTGGATCCCGAACCCGAAGATGACAGGCCGTATAACCCACGGAGAAGAGGTGACGGCGACGGCGCCTCATTCTGGTCCCAGACCAGATCCGAGTCGCGGTCTCGAGGCCGGCCGTGGGTTTGAGGAATCTGCTCTGAAATGATTTGGGGGGGGGGGGGGGGGGGGGGGGGGGGGGG